AAACTGAGTGCATGGCGTGACACTGTGAGCTGTGGATTTTATTTGGAATGTTTGTCAACTGTGATCAGCCTGATGTTGTGCACTGTAGATTCAGAAAATGGCGCCTGGCTTGTTGTCACACTATTGGTTGGAGTCCTGGGTGATTAAGATTGATCACGTGTGCAACTGCTGATCACTTTGTAACTGCTGATTCTGCCGATGAACTGCATTTCTCATGTCGGACTATGTGTGGGTGTTAACACTTCTAATGGCTGCCTCGTGCTTTTAATGCGTGTGTGTGCTAATGGATATGCTGAGACTGCAGTCTGTGCCAGGGATAGTGACGGGCATTGTGTTGGGGTTTTGTTGTTGTCACAGGAACAGAGCATCAACGGGGGTGACCTATTCGATATAAAGCTGGAAATTCGATGACCTAATGAACTTGAGAACATTTGCTAAATTATTTCAGACCAGATCAGCCTGTGAGTACAGATCAATGTTTATAAAACTGTTGCCCAGTGCTACTCCCTGTATGTATTATCATCATGTGCCATGCAAGACATCATTGTTGCGCCACAGATGTGGGTCCCTGGTATTGTGAATCAACTCCACTGATGATATCCCTCCAAGCTCTGTATGTGTAAATAACAGAATGTTAGTCAGCTCTAGGTACAATACACTTGCAACAAGTGACAGGTGGTCGTTTTAAGGTGAGGTGTTAGGCTCCCTTTCTCGCCAATCACCTCTCAGGCTCCAGTGTTGTGAGGCAGACAAGAATGCACAGGGGAGATTCCGACCCAGAAACAAGTTCGTCCAGAAATACAAATCACCACTAAAATTATCTGATGATGGTTTTTCTTCATTTTTTTCTTCTTTCAAAAATGGCCTTGTCTCCCAGGTCAACCTAATGTTAAATGGGTACCTGGTTAAAGCCCTGGGAAGTTCAAGTGGCCGCCATGGTGCTGGCCAAGTCACCCACCAAGTGCCGATTTGTCTCTAAAATATAGGTCTAGCTCTGTATGCCTAAAACAGATAAGGTGTAGGAAGGGGTCCTTTACTTGTAACTAACATGATCACTTGTGTAGACAATATTCTGTATTCAAAATGACCTAAACATCCAGCTTAAGAATGGAGGTGGAGGCGGTCACTGCAGCTTTTCGCTGGCTAGAGAACACCACACACACATCGTGATTGTAACTGACTCAGAAAGCATGCTGAGGAAGATCAGGACAGGCATGCTTTGTGCAGAGTGACATGCCTCGCTGCAGAGGACACGGGTAAGAAGCATTGCCTGAATTTTTTCACCAGGAACGCCGGTGTGTTGGGAAACGAACAGGCGGACAGACTGGCTGGCTCTGCACAGCTTGGTGGAATACTGATGAATAATAAGGCAGATGTGGTTAGTGACTTGTAAGAGAGCGCGTACAGTTTGGAGGAGCAGATTGATCACCAGTCTGGTGAGATAGATGCAGGGGGAGTGACGAGAGTTCTGGCAGATGCTTGAGACTCAGAGGAAAGGCAAGACAGACGTTTAATCAGAATGCTACTGGCACCATTAGTATCAGAACTCTTTGCCAGCTGCTGAAGAGGGGGACAGAGCGCTTATGGGAATGCCCCGAGTGCTGTGATATCGGCTCTTGAATCAAATCAATCAAAATGATGCTTCCCTGTTGTGAATCTACACGAAACAAATCCAACAATATATTGCACAATTTATTCAGTAAGCAAAAGTAAATGATCATTCTTAGTATTTTTTTCAGTGGTCACACACTGGCAGAGATTCAACTGGCCGGACAGAGATGTGATTTCTCTCTGAGACACCTCAGCTGATTTCTCTCTGAGACACCTCAGCTGATTTCTCTCTGAGACACCTCAGCTGATTTCTCTCTGAGACACCTCAGTTGATTTCTATCTGAGACACCTCAGCTGATTTCTCTCTGAGACACCTCAGCTGATTTCTCTCTGAGACACCACAGCTGATTTCTCTCTGAGACACCTCAGCTGATTTCTCTCTGAGACACCTCAACTAAGAAATGTTGTGTGTTCTTGTTCGTATCTGTGGCACTGAATACACATACAGTGTTCTGATGAAGGTGCTGAAGCTGCAAAGCTGACTCGTCATTTATGTTTGTGATACTGTGAAGCTACTGCCGTAATGCCGACCACATTACCCACCTAGTACCGATTGGTCTGTAAAAATATGGGGTGCTCTTCCCATATGCCCGATGCACCAAAGGCGTGAAAAGGGATCTTGACTTTACTGATTGTGAAGCTTTCTTACTCCAGTGAAACACTGGCTTTATCATGCTAGACTCTCATATTTATACAGACCCAGTCAGCATCGGACGGCTGATGTGATCAGCAATAACACACAGGCATCAACTGTTACTTGCCACACTTTGCTGTATCTCATATAACGAAGCTCAAAATACGATCCTTGTAACTGAAATACTTACTTATATGCTGTGTAAACTCAGTCAATTAGTTAGCGGACAGATTATTTTCATTGCACATCAAACCATTCAGTCCATAAGTACTCAGAACCCCTCCTTAGTGAATCCCACAGCGTATTGCAGCTCACGACACCAGTTCTGTGTTGGTTTCTTATTCTTCTTTGGCTTCCTGCTTAGTGCTCTTGTCTGGCCACACCCATTTCAACATGCTGTTCTGGCTGATTCACAGTCATCACTTGGTTTTCGCAAACTCTGTAGTAATTCACCTGATGAGCTACGGCAACATATACAAAGTCACAAATTCAGTAAAACATTGAATGCGTCTCCATTATTAAACTTCCCTGTATGCTCTGCATAATAGTTACTAACAACACTAAAAAGTTGAAACTCTAAGCAGCAATAAATAAAACAAAACATATATAATTTCTACAAGTGATGTACATAAATATATGGTCCAACAAGCTTCAAGTTTATTTTAATGCCTCACTGCACAGTATTTTATTAGAAACCATAGAGAATAAAACCAGTTGTGATAAAAGTGCACTAGTCTGAAAGCCAAGAGTACATTCTTCCTCTCATACAAGACACTCAGCCAAGTCAATGAGGCACCAGCCGATGCCAGGTATTGTATAAGTTAGTATATAGTGTAAACATGTACAAAATAAACTTAAGTGAAGTTATTATTCTACAGATGTTAAATCACTTTTTTTTTAAATGTAATGTTACTGTAATTTGTTAACAAGTAAACTGAGAAACAATGTTCAATGGTAATGAACAAATCAGTCAGTTCCATAAGTAATAGAACGGTTTACGAAAAGCAGCACAAAAGATTGGGGACACTGTTATAACAGTTCAGTACGGCAAAGTCTGTAGATGAGATGCAACTGTTGCTGCTAAATCCAACAGTCATCAACAAAACTAGAACAGGAGCCTATGCTCTACTGGGGAATGGCCTGAAGTGTTTATCTAATCATTCCGTTTTACATCAGGGCAATTTATTTGTCTGGTGGTATGCAATGATATGCAGTACCGGCACTTTTTATTTTAAGCAGCACAAGTATATCGGATATTTTGTAGTCAGTTGTGGCAAATTTTTTTTATTTTTTTTCATTTGAGCACAGGTATAAGAGATATTTTGCAGTCAGTACCGGCACCTTCTTTTTATAGCACAAGTATATCAGATATTCTGCAGTCCGTACCGGCACCTTTTTTTCCCCAGACTTTTTGCGGTTAAGTACAGGCGCCTTTCTTTCTTTAATTAAAAAACAAAGCCTTGTTTGACATCACAAGGTTAATGAATTAACTGACACCAAATGGGGGATACATCAAATAATACGGCAGACCCCTTGATGTTTGACATCATGAGAGTGTTGAACTGACTGACACTAGATGGGGGATGCATCCAATCACATGACAGTCCCCTTGATGTTTGACATCATGAGAGTGTTGAATTGACACTAGATGGGGGATGCATCCAATTACATGACAGTCCCCTTGATGTTTGACATCATGAGAGTGTTGAACTAACTGACACTAGATGAGGGATGCATCCAATCACATGACAGTCCCCTTGATGTTTGACATCATGAGAGTGTTGAACTGACACTAGATGGGGGATGCATCCAATTACATGACAGAACCCTTGATGTTTGACATCATGAGAGTGTTGAACTAACTGACACTAGATGGCGGATGCATCCAAATACACGACAGACCCCTTGATGTTTGACATCATGAGAGTGTTGAACTAACTGACACTAGATGGGGGATGCATCCAATCACATGACAGTCCCCTTGATGTTTGACATCATGAGAGTGTTGAACTAACTGACACTAGATGGGGGATGCATCCAATCACATGACAGTCCCCTTGACTTTCAAAGTCATTTTTTGGTATCCATTTTATGCTGAATCCATTTAGAAGCAGCAAAGAAATCTCACCTTGAAGAGATTTGAACCTATAACCACTGGACTGGCAGCTAGCAGATATATGCCTGCACTAGCACATTCATCATTAATTCCACTTCTGGCAGTTGATTCAGGAATTCAAATAATTTTACTGTTTAGATGACAGGTAAATAACTTCATACTTCAGATCTCAACTTCTTAACCCAGCAGTTTACAACCTGCGGATTGCGACCCTTTTTTTTTTGGTCGAACGACCCTTTCACATGGGTTGCCTAAGACCATGTGAAAACATATTTACTGAAGGTATGAAGAAAAATAATTGTTTGTGGGTCGCTACAACATGAGGAAACTATTAAAGAGTAAGAAGATTGAGAGCTACTGATTTAAACAAAAACTATTATCTGAAAATGAAGCTTAGCTTCAGATTCAGATGACCTAAAATGTCACTCCACTTTGGAATTCACCGAATAATCTGAGGTTATTAAAAACAAACTTTCACTTTATAATTTATTTTACCAAATAATGTAGTCTAAGTTCAGAATTCTGTGACCCAAAAATGTAGATCCACTTGAGAATTAGGATGGTATCAAACAGATGATCACATCAGCAGGTGGTGTGCACTACTCAATAATTCATTGCGGTTTGAAACAAGAAATGAAGTTAGGTCTTTTCTCCAGGATTTGGCAATTTGACCGATGATGGCTCCACACCCCAAATTTCCCGGGCATATTCTGAGATGGTTCGGTCACTGGAGAATTTTCCAGATGCTGCCACATTCAGAAGTGCCTTTGCTGCCCAGCGAAGCTGATCCTGGGAATGCAGTTTGACAATGAGACAACAGATGGCAGCACTGTTGCTACATCTGACATCATTTAATTCCCCTGTATGGGTTCTGGGGCCCTGTCTGGGTTAGAATTGGGTGGAAAAGGAGGGGGGGGGGGGGGGGGGGGGAGAGAGAACAGGCCCATTGCTCATTAACAAACCTTTTGTAAAAGGTGACCAATTAAGATATACTGAAATCAGATGTGTTAAGTTTACAGCTAGGCTGCCAGGATATCTGCACCGTTTGGCCCAACACATCCAATTTCAACAAACTTCTAATTAGTTGCCTTCAACAACAGGCTTGTTAGGCGACCCTGGGTCTACTCCCCCGTCTCCTCTTTTTTCATGAAAAAATGGGGCCCTGGAACCCACATGGAGAATAAGTTACTCAAAGCTCGGCACATCTGGGTCTACAATTAGTGGAATAATTACACACAGTAGGACAAAATGAGTTACTATAAACATGAGGACAGAATGGGCGAATGTACCAGATGGAGGATGATTAACTCTTTGAGTCTCAGGGGGTTAAGCATCATAGGCCCGCGGGGTAGCCAAGAAAGACGTAAAATCTGCGCACTTGCATTCATTGGGTTTCTAGGTAGGAATCTATGAACGTATGATGTGTTCCTTGGGACTCGAAGAGTTAAGGGGTGAAGACAAATATATCATGTACACAGTAACCAGACGAATACACAACCAGCTGCTTGTTGTTAAACAAGTTAAATGTTGTTCTTTCACAAAGACAATCATCTGACAGAACTATCAGCCAGCCATAGTATTTAGGCTTTGGCACTGCTGAAACCTTTAGTCAGCTCTGGAAGGAAATAAAGCTGCGCCAAAAAAATTCAGCATTTGCACTCCTTAAATTCTGCTGAAGGAAATTATGTACACATGTGTGTTTACTCACTGTTACAAGTTGCTAAATGTCCCTCTGTCAGAACACACATAAACACTAGTAAAGTTCAATCTTAAACAGATGGAATACAAGACACAGACAAATCATATTTTAAATACACTGCCTATTTTGGCTTGACTGACTGCCCAAGTGCTGGTAAGTCAGTCAGTAGCCTGTCCTTTGCAGAAAACTGCTACCATAATAAACCTTCTGGAAAACTTCTTGATCACAAGCAAGATGTCTTACATCTGACACACTCATCTGGAGATTATCCGCCACATCCTGCACTCATCTTCACTTTGGCTTTCCTCTTCCTCTCTTTCCAGGCATATGTTTAGTAGGAAGCCGGCAATCACATGAACAATCAACTTCATCAGCCCAAGTCTGCTGCTTTGACAGCATATGCCTCAATTCTTTCAGTGCTCAACAAATCATACTGTGTGATTTGGTCTCCATTTGATCTTTTAGCTTTTTTTTTTAGATTTGGTCAGGCACGCTAACAAAACCTGACTTTGTCATGGACCACTTCCATTTGGTAATCAGCCTCTTTTAAAGTTATGACTGACGATGTTCGTAGTGGTTATTTCCTCCTGGAGAATCTGCTGCAGAAACTTAATACAACTGAAGGGGTTAGAACATCTGACATTCCTGTGTTGTGTATCTACAACATCTGACATCCCTGTGTTGTGTATCTACAACATCTGACATCCCTGTGTTGTGTATCTACAACAACATCTGACATCCCTGTGTTGTGTATCTACAACATCTGATATCCCCATGTTGTGTATCTAAAACATCTGACATCCCTGTGTTGTGTATCTACAACATCTGACATCCCTGTGTTGTGTATCTACAACATATGATATCCCCATGTTGTGTATCTAAAACATCTGACATTCCTGTGTTGTGTATTTAAAACATCTGACATCCCTGTGTTGTGAATCTAAAATATCTGACATCCCTGTGTTGTGTATCTAAAACATCTGACATCCTTGTGTTGTGTATCTAAAACATCTGACATCCCTGTGTTGTGTATCTACAACATCTGATATCCCTGTGTTGTGTATCTACAACATCTGACATCCCTATGTTGTGTATCTACAACATCTGACATCTCCGTGTTGTGTATCTACAACATCTGACATCCCTGTGTTGTGTATCTACAACATCTGACATCCCTGTGTTGTGCATCTACAACATCTGACATCCCTGTGTTGTGTATCTACAACATCTGACATCCCTGTGTTGTGCATCTACAACATCTGATATCCCCGTGTTGTGTATCTACAACATCTGACATCCCTGTGTTGTGTATCTACAACATCTGACATCCCTGTGTTGTGTATCTACAGCATCTGACATCCCCGTGTTGTGTATCTACAACATCTGACATCCCTGTGTTGTGTATCTACAACATCTGACATCCCTGTGTTGTGTATCTACAACATCTGACATCCCTGTGTATCCCCGTGTTGTGTATCTACAACATCTGACATCCCTGTGTTGTGTATCTACAACATCTGACATCCCCGTGTTGTGTATCTACAACATCTGACATTCCTGTGTTGTGTATCTAAAACATCTGACATCCCTGTGTTGTGTATCTACAACATCTGACATCCCTGTGTTGTGTATCTAAAACATCTGACATCCCTGTGTTGTGTATCTACAACATCTGACATCCCTGTGTTGTGTATCTACAACATCTGACATCCCTGTGTTGTGTAACTACAACATCTGACATCCCTGTGTATCCCCGTGTTGTATATCTACAACATCTGACATCCCTGTGTATCCCTGTGTTGTGTACTAAACAAACACTGATGTTCCACAGACAAAGTCTTCTACCTTAAACAGCTCTGACACTTGATTCTGGGCTTCGATGTAAGACCTGTAGTCTGCCAGAAGTGCAAATCTGAAACACAAATCATTCTCCTGTATCTTCCCGGAGACAAGACTGTGATGAAAGATGCGACTTTCTACACCAGTAACTGCCCACTTCATAACAGTAAAACAAGTGCACAGAGCACTATTCAATCAAGACCGTCTCCATCTGACAAGCTATGCTGCTGATGTCACCAAACAGGACTAATGAGTTTGGTGACATCAGCAGCATGGCCCTTCAGATGGAGATGGTCTTGATTCCATACAGTATTTTGACCAACACTGTGTTACCAGTGCCAAAATGGACATTATCAACAACAAACAAACAAACAAAAACTGAAACAACAGAAATGAAATTTCTTTGATGTTCTTAACCCTACCAGACCGCTGGCCCGGTTTACCAGGAATTTCTTAACCTGTCGCTATACAGCTGGCCCTAATTTTCGGCTTTTTGCGTAGTACAGGAAAAAGATGCATCACAGACTAAAAATAACTACCCAATCGTTATCAATCCTCTTTGTTAGACATTGCAAATGTCTGCCCGCATGTGTTTGGATTATATTTGTGTTGTTTTATGTGGAAAAATTCTGAAAATTCACAATGAAACGAGCGGCTGATTATAGGCTTTTCACAGTCCAACAGGTGATCAATACTTTGGTTTATTCAGACTCTGCAGGGTGATAATTTCATAAAGAATAAGTTCTTGAAGTGACACTGTCAGTGAGAGGAGGAAAATCTTGAAAATTATAAATCTTGAAATAAATTGATAGTAGGAGAAGGGGGTGTGTCCATCCAAACGGCAACATCTGGTGTTCACTTTGTGAAACAAAGTTAATCCTGATGAATGAATTCGCACACAAAGGTGGAATCTTGGCGCTAGATAAAAGGTAAGTCTATTTTCTACAATGTGTCCAAGTTTTATCATATTCTAGCCACTCGTTTGCATGTAACTAATATTTTTGTATATCATGTTGGTTTTTTCGCGTTAACGCCCAGGAGCTCAGGTTATAGGGACAGTTAGGTTCAGGGCCTCAGGTCTGGTAGGGTTAACGCCCAGGAGCTCAGGTTATAGGGACAGTTAGGTTCAGGGCCTCAGGTCTGGTAGGGTTAAGTTTAATTAGAAGAGACAGGACAAGAAATGACAATATCAGGACAGAAGTTGGGATGGAACCACACCAAGAGACACCAGATCAAGTGGTTCGGACATGTGTCAAGACTTCCACTAGTGCAACACAGAGAGGCCATCACATAGACATAACAGAAACAGAGCCAGAGGCCAACCACTCAAGGCATAGATAGATGGCATATTCCAGGCCGTAAGTACCAGCATCTACATAGCACATGCCAAGGCTTTCATCCAATGTCTTTTCAAAAACTGACGCTGAAAGCCAGAAAAGGACTGGAGAAGAAAAAGAAGAAGAAAACAAGTACTCAGATACACAATACATCATGCTGTAATACTGGCTATCATTCTTGAATGGCCATATTAACCAGAGTCAGTGATTATGTCTTTCCTCTTCCTTCCATTTCCAGTTATGCTATTGGGACACACTGTTTTGATATCCTACCGACCAATCAATTAGCCCTCTTCTTAATTAAAACATTCTGATCTGGACCTTGACCCTTTCACGCTGACAGTGCTGCTCTTAGTTACCCCAGTGTTAGCTGTCCATGTGTACTGTTGTTTACTTCTTGCTCACCCACCTCCTAGCAAATTTCTATCAGATTTCCAAGCTGTCTAATGATTCCAAGGAATGCAACCTATGTCCCCTACATATGGACTGATCTATAGTCTCAGGAAGATGTTCTCATTGCTTGTCTAATGATTCCATGACTCCAAGGAATGCGACCTCTGTCCCCTACATATGGACTTATCTGTATAGTCTCAGGAAGATGTTCTCATTGCTTGTCTGATGATTCCATGATCCCAAGAGATGTAACCTTGTCCTCCTATATAGGCACTTGTCTGTATAGTCTCCGTGTGATGCTCTGATTGCTTGTTCATCACACTTCTGCCCAATACTTCAGTGTTTTCATCATTTGTTACAGCAAATAAGAGCAACCCAGATGTTTTGAAAGAGGTGAGAGCTCAAAGACAACTCAACTGATCACAGACATGAGAAAGAGGCAGTCATCATATTTTTGGTCATGTTATGATAAGAAGGTAGTTGGAATATGTTGTGACCACTGGAAAGATCAGTGGAAAGACAGTGTGGAAAGATTCTTGACAGCCTTTAGTCATGACAATGAGGGGTGTCAACACAGGAACTGATGCATGCAGTTGCAGATCATAGATTATGGATAGATTGTCCACGCCAGTCAGCTAGGAACGTGATGAGGATAATGAAGATGGCCTTGAAATTCAGTGGAACGTCCTGGTTGTCCACTTCTGGACTTTGTTCCAAGACCTGAATATTGTGTGCCATCTACTTTACAGATCTGGCTTATGTTTGCAGAGTGTTGGTTGCTTGCCTCTCAGACAGATACACTTCAACTATAAGGAAATATTAACCCTATCTACGCTTTCCTGGCTCCCTGCTGGAAACCTGTGTTGCCGGATTACCACTGGAGATGTAGACAGGTTTTTACCTGTAGGATCCCTGGTACACCACCATGTGTGGTACAGCACCTGTACCTCATATATGAACATCTATCCGCAATGGATTAACTCATGGCTGTCAAATTTGACAATTATACATCATATTTGAACATCTATCTGCCATGGATTAACACCTGGCTGTCAAATGTTGACACCCATACAGCATATATGAATATCTATCTGCCATGGATTAACTCCTGGCTGTCAAATGTTGACATCTACCTATACATCATATCTGAACATCTATCTGCCATGGATTAACTCCTGGCTGTCAAATGTTGACACCTGTACATCATACAAGTAAGACATACCTGTCATGATTCAGGAGGATGTTATAGAGTTCACTGAAGAGTCCCGGGGTGTCAGGCGAGTAGTAGCCACTGTTTAACTGGTCCAGGGCCTGCTTGAGTTCTGGGTCCTTGTTATAATAGTCATTGGGGTTGTACCTGCAACCAGGAAACAGCAATTATCATCTAAGTGTCTGCTCATATTGTAACACCATCAGTCAAGTATCTTCATAGTACCTACTGATTGACACCTCATGTATCTTAACATCAGAGCTCACAGAAGCCAGCTTTAGGCCTCAGAAATGAAATATTTAAGAAAAGGTGGTCCAAGTGACAAGAAGGGACAAAGTCCACAATCAGACAATATGCCAGGATCTTGAAACCCAGGCCCTATGAACTCAAGTGGATCAGTCACAGTTACGATGGTTTGGACATGTATGCAGAAGGGGGGAGATCCGTATACTAGGGAGGCTAAGAACCAGAGCACCTGGACGACCCAGGGTCCGCTGGGAAGACAACATCCGACAGTCCCTGATGGACAGAGGACTGGAATAGAACAAAGCCAAAAATAAAATTGCTGATAGAGAAGTCGGGCGATCTCTCTGGCAAAACTCTACACCCCAAGGTAGAAGAGGACTGACTAAGTGATCATGACATGCATGCTGTCTGTGTGGAAGGAGATGCTTGTCTACCAGCCTGAAAGGCTTGGGTTCAAATTCACATTAGTGCAGATTTTTTAATGACATGGGAGCTCAGTTCAAACAGCCTACAATGGGTACCAGGAAATTTCCTGGGAAGTAAAGGTGGAGACCACATCACTTATCAAGTGAGCATTGGTCTTTACAGATATGCTCAAGTCGATGCACTAATGGCAGGAGCAGAGATCTTCACTTTACCCCAAAAGAACAAACTTTATTTTTAAAAAGTCAACAACTGGGCACACATGCCTATCTTTCTTATGGTCCTTTCAAACACTATTCTTTAGCACAGCAATTGTATTTTATCTATTCAGCATGTTATGTTCATATAACAATATACATAATATGAATATCAGTAAAAACATAAAACTGTGGATAGTGAATTCATACATACAAGCTAATAGAGTGCACACATACATAAACACAACTTTACCTGTATGAGTGTATGTTGCTTTTTCTTCATTTGTCCAAGTCACATAATTGTGTTGTGTCTGTTTACAGTAAAGCTGTGATATTTGCAATTTTTTGTCGACACATGTGACTTCACTGAGCATTTGTTGATTGGGTTAACGTCCCACGTAAGTTTTTTTAAACTTGACGAGCCTTTTTGTGAGTGTTTTTTTGTTTCTCCCTATCTTCTGGGGCATTCAACCGTATGTAAACTGGTAGCCCTCAGGGGAAGGCAAAGACAGATCATGGGCATTACCTGCCATCTAAGGAGGCTTCCAATAACGCAGAACTGGTACATGACGCTCTGGTCCTGGGCTCAGCCAAGGAATCGTCACATCCTGCACATGTCACTTTAAACTGACATCCATATGTTGAGCTTCCAGTTCTAATAGGCTGTGCCTTCCAGAGGTCAGCAGGGAGCAGCCAGTAGTCCAGGATTTTGATGACCACATAAATAAAAACATTCTTCTCTAGCACAACTTTAATGTTTGTTTTATCTGGCCACTATGCGCAACAGTATGGTAAAAGCTGGCATCGGCCATGGGTTTCCCTGATAGGTCCTGACACTCGGATGAGTGGGGCCATGGCAGCGGACATTTGAACCTTTCGCCAACTTTTGACGGTCAGGCATTTAAGACATAGGTTGTGTGTCTGACAGACATTTGAACCTAATCAGCTGACAGACAGTGGCAAACTGTCGTCGTGCCCCTCAGTGCGGTGACAAGGATGTTGAGAGTTGACACAGGATGTACACACACAGGACTGTACTGCGATATACCACCCGCAGGAGATGTTGCTCATCTAAGCTGTGAGCAAATCTTTTGTTCTATGGCTGAATCTTAGCAGTTGACTTGTTCTTTCACTCGACAGACATTTTAACTGAGGGTTGTCATTTAATAGAATACTAGACTAGCGGACTTTACTCGTGTTCCAAATGAGTTTTGTTAAGAGTTTTCACCCATGCACTGAGGCTGGGCTGATGAGAGCCAGAGTATTTCTAAGGACTGCATCTCTAGAGGCCCAGACTCTGACATACCCTGCCAGTTTTGTTTAGACCCATAAGAGCCATTATCCATAGTGCATGATGGGGACCTTTGAAAGGCATTTCGCATGAGGATCTGTGAAAGCAGTGAAGAGCCTGCTGGTGCCCCAGGTGAGGTATAAAGTATCTCCTTATACACATCACAACAGACTTTACTTTCCCAAATACCTATGACCAAAATCACTACGCCACTGAGTGTGTGTTTGAATGTGTGTATGTTCTTGCACATACATATTTCTCTTATTGGCAGGGGCTCATTAGCTGTAAACTCTGGCAAAAAGTCCTGGGTGTTTGTCCACTTCTGGACTTGAGTCTTGTTCCACAACTTGATTTTGGAAGCACATCCGTTTTACAGATCTGGCTATACTTTTATGCAGACTGTTGGTTACTCACGGTCAGGCAGATATGCTCTAACTTCAGAGGGAAACTCCCCAATTAGTCGCCATGTAGGAATTAGAGAGAGATAAAGCTGTTAACCCTCTCACCCAAGGAACACCTTTAAAAAAAAAATTAAATTTTTCAAACGGATCATACCCTGTTGGAATTCCAGGATAATATCCTTTTTTTTACATAGGTCACTAATAAGTTCACTGAATTTTTTTTAATCTATATTTAAAAAAAATATTTTTTACAGTAAAAAAAGACACATAACAGGAGTGTAATGACCCTGCTTTGCATGGTCCTCACGATTACATAGTGGCAAGCAGAAAGTCCGTGCAACAAGGGACAGCACGAGATACTTGTGCCTAGTCGAGGAAGCGAGGGAAAGCCCGAGCTAGACTCGTGGTCAGTCGATCATGAGAAGTCAGCGTAGACGGTTGTAGTACTTGAAGATGTCGTCTTTATGTTGGGCAAATGGTTAATGTTCAAATGTGTCGCGAGTGAAATAAATGGACAAGAATAAACGGACAGAATGTACAATGAAGCTGAGTGGCGTTAGTGTGTGTTGTCAACCCTAGACGTTAAAGCTGGTGTACGTCAAGGTTCATGTCAAGCCTACGTACGTTTCGGTTCATTCCAAGTGTAGCATCGACTCATTCCAAGCAGACCACGCTTCATTTCAAGTAGACCAAGATTTATTACAAATGGTGACTGTTCAGCTCTGTTATTAGCTGTCAAGTTCAGTTGGTCCAACCAGCTGTGTTCTCGGTGATGTTCCGGTTATCTTATCGATGTATCTTTCATTGTTGTCGCTGAAGATACTTGCGAGACAGTGTTCTTACTTTTTACCAACCTTTTAGATGCCATTCTGATAAACGCACAATCGATGCAAAAAATGTCACCGTAGTAAGAAAACTGATCGTAACTGTAAATAAAATTAGTTCATAGTCCGCTAGTTTCCGCGAAACAATAATGGTCACAAACCTGATTTAATTCATAAACTAGATTTGAAGTTTTCATGATGTGTAACTTTGGTAAACCTGAAACTTCTTGAATCCACAAACCTTGGTAATACGATGTGTGTGTGGCAGGCAGGGCGTAGATGACACACCGATTTTCATTGGTCGGCAGCTGACCTGTCGGCGCTTGCTGTGTTTATTATAGGCTTTGCTCGGGTGAAGCCTTTGTACCGTACACTGTTTTCCGCATGTTTGTCTTACCTTGGAAGAAACAAACATGTTTTCCTAATGATTGTGGTCCGTGTGGTTCTCAAATTTTCTTCGGACGGGCCTCCATTTGTAATAAATCTTGGTCTATGAAAATATATCCAACATGCATCTTTTTTTCTGTGGTAGATTCCTTGGGGTTGGGTAATTACCCTGTAAAAGGTGTTATAGAGGCTTTTGGGAAACTAGAAGCACTATGATAAATATATCTCACCACTATCATATCGGCTAAGAGTCCTTGGGGTTTAACACCCTGTAAAAGGTGATGTAGAAATATTGGTTCAATCCAATTTTCTATGTAGTAAATATCTCAAAGCTGATCATCATCATCACCACTATCATCATTTCACTTTAAACCCGATAGATTAGATATAGTGACTAGACAATACTACAGATGCAATATGTGTAAAGATGGTTTAAACTCTTCACCAGCTCAGTACTAGGAAAAGCATGCAGTAAATATTAAAAGCAGTTTTAAAGGGCAGTAATTAAGGATAATCAGAAACCATAATTCCTAGCAGTAATACATTTAAATTGATTTATTATTCCTGTAGTAAATATCTCAAAGTTGACCATTATCATCACCATCATCACAATGATCATTTCACTTGAACCTGATAGAATAGATATAGTGACGAAGCTATACTACAGTTGCAATACGTGCAAAGATAAATATACCCTTCACCAGTTTAGTACTAGAAAAAGCATACAGTAGAAAATTAAAATAAGGGCAGTAATTTAGGCTAATTAGGAACACTAATCCTGAATAGCGAAGTTAGATTTTAGTGCTATTAATTCATTCAAAAGTTGAATGGAAAATGATACTTGATGTTCCATAAAGTATCATTTTGTTAAAAGGCGGGAGGATGTAATGACCCTGCTTTGCATGGTCCTCACGATTACATAGTGGCAAGCAGAAAGTCCGTGCAACAAGGGACAGCACGAGATACTTGTGCCTAGTCGAGGAAGCGAGGGAAAGCCCGAGCTAGACTCGTGGTCAGTCGATCATGAGAAGTCAGCGTAGACGGTTGTAGTACTTGAAGATGTCGTCTTTATGTTGGGCAAATGGTTAATGTTCAAATGTGTCGCGAGTGAAATAAATGGACAAGAATAAACGGACAGAATGTACAATGAAGCTGAGTGGCGTTAGTGTGTGTTGTCAACCCTAGACGTTAAAGCTGGTGTACGTCAAGGTTCATGTCAAGCCTACGTACGTTTCGGTTCATTCCAAGTGTAGCATCGACTCATTCCAAGCAGACCACGCTTCATTTCAAGTAGACCAAGATTTATTACAAGGAGTAATCAGTAATCATGAACAAGGTGAAGCACTAATTATTAATGTTGCAAACCCATGACCTTTATCACTGACACTTACGGGAAAATATGACTTGCCTTGAAAAAATGCTGTTTGGTTCACAGGTAATGTCCCTAAATTCTACTTTTAGTTAATGTGTTCAAAAACTGATCTCCTAAATGTGGGCAAAAGTGGCAAATAATGTATCAATGACCAGACCTGGGTCTCTCTACTGCAGGCAGACAGCATGTTTGATAAATTAATGCGTATCTATTTTTGGCCAATACTACCCTCTGCAGGAAAAAATATAACATCTTAAATGACAGATTCTTCACAGAAAAAAAAAATTATACTTCTCACAGGAAACATTACATCTCATATTATAGCTCGTCCTTCAAGAGAAAGAAATATAATCTTATATAATGTACCCTTTACAGAAGCGAATTCAACAGCCACATGAAATGCCTGCAGAAGACAAGATCACATACAATATACAACCCACCCTTTACAGAAGCGAATTCAACAGCCACATGAAATGCCTGCAGAAGACAAGATCACATACAATATACAACCCACCCTTTACAGAAGTCAATGCAACAGCCACAGCAAATCTCTGTAGAAGACAAGATCACATACAATATACAACCCACCCTTTACAGAAGTCAATGCAACAGCCACAGCAAATCTCTGTAGAAGACAAGATCACATACAATATACAACCCACCCTTTGCGGAAGAGCTCGTCCACTTCATCGACATTCATGCCAAATATGAAGATGTTGTCTCGCCCCATCTCCTCAGCCATCTCTACATTGGCCCCATCCAGCGTGCCAATAGTCAGTGCTCCGTTCAACTACACAGAACCAAGATCACACAGAAACTAGCATCAGAAGATAGTTTTACACAGCATGATCACAGACTTGTTTATGTAGCATGCCAGGTGTAACGAGGAAAGATCGACTTAGCAACGATGATATCAGGAGGAGAGTCGGCACAGAGCCAATACTGAACTTTATCAGCAGACAATAGATCAAAAAGTTTAGCTGTGTAACATGACTGGTAACAGATAGGGCATCATAGAGAGCTATCTAATACAGATACAAACATGACTGGTAACAGATAGGGCATCATAGAGAGCTATCTAATACAGATACAAACATGACTGGTGAACAGATAGGGCATCATAGAGAGCTATCTAATACAGATACAAACATGACTGGTAACAGATAGGGCATCATAGAGAGCTATCTAATACAGATACAAACATGACTGGTAACAGACAGGGCACCATAGAGAGCTATCTAATACAGATACAAACATGACTGGTAACAGACAGGGCATCATAGAGAGCTATCTAATACAGATACAAACATGACTGGTAACAGATAGGGCATCATAGAGAGCTATCTAATACAGATACAAACATGACTGGTAACAGATAGGGCATCATAGAGAGCTATCTAATACAGATACAAACATGACTGGTAACAGATAGGGCATCATAGAGAGCTATCTAATACAGATACAAACATGACTGGTGAACAGATAGGGCATCATAGAGAGCTATCTAATACAGATACAAACATGACTGGTAACAGATAGGGCATCATAGAGAGCTATCTAATACAGATACAAACATGACTGGTAACAGACAGGGCACCATAGAGAGCTATCTAATACAGATACAAACATGACTGGTAACAGACAGGGCATCATAGAGAGCTATCTAATACAGATACAAACATGACTGGTAACAGACAGGGCATCATAGAGAGCTATCTAATACAGATACAAACATGACTGGTAACAGATAGGGCATCATAGAGAGCTATCTAATACAGATACAAACATGACTGGTAACAGACAGGGCATCATAGAGAGCTATCTAATACAGATACAAACATGACTGGTAACAGACAGGGCATCATAGAGAGCTATCTAATACAGATACAAACATGACTGGTAACAGATAGGGCATCATAGAGAGCTATCTAATACAGATACAAACATGACTGGTAACAGATAGGGCATCATAGAGAGCTATCTAATACAGATACAAACATGACTGGTAACAGATAGGGCATCATAGAGAGCTATCTAATACAGATACAAACATGACTGGTAACAGATAGGGCATCATAGAGAGCTATCTAATACAGATACAAACATGACTGGTAACAGACTGGGCATCATAGAGAGCTATCTAATACAGATACAAACATGACTGGTAACAGACAGGGCACCATAGAGAGCTATCTAATACAGATACAAACATGACTGGTAACAGGACATAGGGCATCATAGAGAGCTATCTAATACAGATACAGAACAAACATGACTGGTAACAGACTGGGCACCATAGAGAGCTATCTATTACAGATACAAACATGACTGGTAACAGATAGGGCATCATAGAGAGCTATCTAATACAGATACAAACATGACTGGTAACAGACTAGGCATCATGGAGAGCTATCTAATACAGATACAAACATGACTGGTAACAGATAGGGCATCATAGAGAGCTATCTAATACAGATACAAACATGACTGGTAACAGACAGGGCATCATAGAGAGCTATCTAATACAGATACAAACATGACTGGTAACAGACAGGGCATCATAGAGAGCTATCTAATACAGATACAAACATGACTGGTAACAGACAGGGCATCATAGAGAGCTATCTAATACAGATACAAACATGACTGGTAACAGACAGGGCATCATAGAGAGCTATCTAATACAGATACAAACATGACTGGTAACAGATAGGGCATCATAGAGAGCTATCTAATACAGATACAAACATGACTGGTAACAGACAGGCCACCATAGAGAGCTATCTAATACAGATACAAACATGACTGGTAACAGACAGGGCACCATAGAGAGCTATCTAATACAGATACAAACATGACTGGTAACAGACTGGGCATCATAGAGAGCTATCTAATACAGATACAAACATGACTGGGCACAGATCTAATAGGGCATCATAGAGAGCTATCTAATACAGATACAAACATGACTGGTAACAGATAGGGGCATCATAGAGAGCTATCTAATACAGATACAAACATGACTGGTACAGACAGGGCATCATAGAGAGCTATCTAATACAGATACAAACATGACTGGTATCAGATAGGGCTCATAGAGAGCTATCTAATACAGATACAAACATGACTGGTAACAGATAGGGCATCATAGAGAGCTATCTAATACAGATACAAACATGACTGGTAACAGATAGGGCATCATAGAGAGCTATCTAATACAGATACAAACATGACTGGTAACAGATAGGGCATCATAGAGAGCTATCTAATACAGATACAAACATGACTGGTAACAGATAGGGCATCATAGAGAGCTATCTAATACAGATACAAACATGACTGGTAACAGATAGGGCATCATAGAGAGCTATCTAATACAGATACAAACATGACTGGTAACAGATAGGGCATCATAGAGAGCTATCTAATACAGATACAAACATGACTGGTAACAGATAGGGCATCATCAGAGAGCTATCTAATACAGATACAAACATGACTGGTAACAGATGCATCATAGAGAGCTATCTAATACAGATACAACATGACTGGTAACAGACTAGGGCATCATAGAGAGCTATCTAATACAGATACATGAAACATGACTGGTAACAGATAGGGCATCATAGAGAGCTATCTAATACAGATACAAACATGACTGGTAACAGATAGGGCATCATAGAGAGCTATCTAATACAGATACAAACATGACTGGTAACAGATAGGGCATCATAGAGAGCTATCTAATACAGATACAAACATGACTGGTAACAGATAGGGCATCATAGAGAGCTATCTAATACAGATACAAACATGACGGTAACAGATAGGGCATCATAGAGAGCTATCTAATACAGATACAAACATGACTGGTAACAGATAGGCATCATAGAGAGCTATCTAATACAGATACAAACATGACTGGTAACAGATAGGGCATCATAGAGAGCTATCTAATACAGATACAAACATGACTGGTAACAGATAGGGCATCATAGAGAGCTATCTAATACAGATACAAACATGACTGGTAACAGATAGGGCATCATAGAGAGCTATCTAATACAGATACAAAACATGACTGGTAACAGATCAATACAGGGCATCATAGAGAGCTATCTAATACAGATACAAACATGACTGGTAACAGATAGGGCACCATAGAGAGCTATCTAATACAGATACAAACATGACTGGTAACAGATAGATAGGCATCATAGAGAGCTATCTAATACAGATACAAACATGACTGGTAACAGACAGGGCACCATAGAGAGCTATCTAATACAGATACAAACATGACTGGTAACAGACAGGGCATCATAGAGAGCTATCTAATACAGATACAAACATGACTGGTAACAGATAGGGCATCATAGAGAGCTATCTAATACAGATACAAACATGACTGGTAACAGATAGGGCATCATAGAGAGCTATCTAATACAGATACAAACATGACTGGTAACAGATAGGGCATCATAGAGAGCTATCTAATACAGATACAAACATGACTGGTAACAGATAGGGCATCATAGAGAGCTATCTAATACAGATACAAACATGACTGGTAACAGATAGGGCATCATAGAGAGCTATCTAATACAGATACAAACATGACTGGTAACAGACTAGGCATCATAGAGAGCTATCTAATACAGATACAAACATGACTGGTAACAGATAGGGCATCATAGAGAGCTATCTAATACAGATACAAACATGACTGGTAACAGACATAGGGCATACAGATACAAACAGAGAGCAGGCACCATCTAATACAGATACAAACATGACTGGTAACAGATAGCATCACTAGACGGCACCATAGAGAGCTATCTAGCTATCTAATACAGATACAAACATGACTGGTAACAGACATAGAGGGATACATCATAGAGAGCTATCTAATACAGATACAAACATGACTGGTAACAGACAGGGCATCATAGAGAGCTATCTAATACAGATACAAACATGACTGGTAACAGATAGGGCATCATAGAGAGCTATCTAATACAGATACAAACATGACTGGTAACAGATAGGGCATCATAGAGAGCTATCTAATACAGATACAAACATGACTGGTAACAGATAGGGCATCATAGAGAGCTATCTAATACAGATACAAACATGACTGGTAACAGATAGGGCATCATAGAGAGCTATCTAATACAGATACAAACATGGGACTGGTAACAGACTAGGGCATCATAGAGAGCTATCTAATACAGATACAAAACATGACTGGTAACAGATAGGGCATCATAGAGAGCTATCTAATACAGATACAAACATGACTGGTAACAGATAGGGCATCATAGAGAGCTATCTAATACAGATACAAACAGATGACTGGATACAAACATGACTGGTAACAACAGACTAGGCATCATAGAGAGCTATCTAATACAGATACAAACATGACTGGTAAACAGATAGGGCATCATAGAGAGCTATCTAATACAGATACATCAACATGACTGGTAACAGATAGGGGCATCATAGAGAGCTATCTAATACAGATACAAACATGACTGGTAACAGATAGGGCATCATAGAGAGCTATCTAATACAGATACAAACAGACTGGTAACAGATAGGGCATCATAGAGAGCTATCTATACAGATACAAACAGACTGGTAACAGATAGGGCATCACAGAGAGCTATCTAATACAGATACAAACATGACTGGTAACAGACAGGGCACCATAGAGAGCTATCTAATACAGATACAAACATGACTGGTAACAGACTGGGCATCATAGAGAGCTATCTAATACAGATACAAACATGACTGGTAACAGACAGGGCATCATAGAGAGCTATCTAATACAGATACAAACATGACTGGTAACAGACTGGGCACCATAGAGAGCTATCTAATACAGATACAAACATGACTGGTAACAGATAGGGCATCATAGAGAGCTATCTAATACAGATACAAACATGACTGGTAACAGATAGGGCATCATAGAGAGCTATCTAATACAGATACAAACATGACTGGTAACAGAGAGGCCATCATAGAGAGCTATCTAATACAGATACAAACATGACTGGTAACAGATAGGGCATCATAGAGAGCTATCTAATACAGATACAAACATGACTGGTAACAGACTGGGCACCATAGAGAGCTATCTAATACAGATACAAACATGACTGGTAACAGACTGGGCATCATAGAGAGCTATCCAATACAGATACAAACATGACTGGTAACAGACAGGGCATCATAGAGAGCTATCTAATACAAATACAGCAGTAACAGAGCCAGATGTAGAAGAAGATAGACTGCTGAAATATCGGAGACACTGAAAAGTTTTATATGTGAAGTGAACAGAAGGATCCGTTCCAGAGATTTCTTTCTGCCGTGACACTGGGAGACATTCCAGGAGAAGAGGAAAAAAGATCATAGATAAGAGAACAAAGATTCCACATAAACAAGACATCAGTAGTAAGTTTTATAAATCATCATGACATACTACCACATATACAAAACATAAAAACAGAACTACAATGTAGCTCAACAAATTCTCTTGTCAAACAAGGACACAGTTGTAAATACTCTCACTGGTAATCTGGTAATTTTAATTTCAGCTTCATAGCAAACGGGTCACCCCATCTTTGCTCCGCTCCTGTGCCAACGAAAAACACACAGAATGTTTATCACAGCCCCTTGTGGAAAGACTGACAAACTGCTCTCTCAGCAAATCTAGCATACACTCGCATTAAAAGCATATGGTAGCCATCCGAAGTGCTAACACAAACAGTCCGACATTAGAAATGCAGTTCATCATTGATGGTAGCAGAAGTCATTAAAAGATCAGCAGTTGCACACGCGATCAATTTTAATCAAATAATGGCCCCACCAATATTGCGACAACAGGCATCGCGCCATTTTCTGAATCTACAAATCACACCACCACGTTGGTCAGTCAAAAAACATTCCAAATGAAATCCGCAGCTCACAGTGTCACGCCATGCACTCAACTCAGAGGCTGGGCAACAAAACTATATACTTCCAGTCTACAAATGGAGCAAAAAAGCAACGGCCACAGTCTGGCAGAAGCAAAAAATGTTTGCCTCGGCTCAAAACAGTGGCAGTGCCTAGTGTTCATTTGGACCTGAAGCATTATGTGAGGGTTAATAAACTGTCACCCCAGCAGTACCCTACTATTAGCTGGGAAAGGGATTTAGGACATTACATCCACCAGCAAGCCTCGCCCCAACAACGACCTGACTGCCTTCGTTAACGACTGTTCACCCAACAGTCATGCAGTTCTTTGGCACGAAGGAGACACCTTGAACTTGGGTTTCGGACTGCCGACTCCCTACACGAAGATATATGTGTGCTACTGGTGTCCCGTAGCCAAAATACTATCCCACTGTATTACTAAAATTCAGCACGCATTCTCAAACACACACACACACACATACATACACTCATTACCTGCCACCCGCTTGCTTGCTGGTGCAGCACACATGACTACATGTCAGAGACCCCGGTTAGGATCCTCATAAATGCTGTGTGTCCTAATCCTAACTGAACAATCCCAGGCGAAGCGCTAGCTGTGTGATCTGAAATTCTCAGACTCAGAGACAGCCCTGCCTAAGTCGCACAAGTGGTAAATATGGCCAGTAATGGCAGTGGGTGTGCTGATATTGTTATCTGTCAAGCAGTTGTTTAATCCAGTGTTCTTCAAGCGGTGGGCTGTGACCCATTGAAGAGCCACAGAAAAGGATGAGCTGCCAGCAATGTATGCTTAATCACGTAACAGGGTCGGGTCGGTAGTTTTTCTTGTCCACGATGGCTGTCTGTAGGATTTAATACCTCATGAATCAGAACGTAACAGAAATAAATCTCGGAAATCTGTTCAACCGCATAAAACAGTTATATTTCATCACCTGACAGTTATGTAGCCTGTCGTCAAGTTGTGGGTTGGGAATCAGGACAATAAACCTGTGTTTCGCTGATATGATTCCTGCAAGAGGAATGTAGCGTCATATGTGTCAGTTCTGTTTCTGTGTTCTATTAGCTGTCAGGTGGGCCAGGAAACAAATTCCCTGGTTCTGATGGGCCGTGAATGCAACAAAGTTGAGAAACACTGGTTTCACCTGTCCAAATACATATACACGTGTCCTCTTGTCTAGTATCATCCATACATGAAATACAAATTTGGATAGTTTCTGCTTACTGGGTTTGGTAAGGGAAGCCCATGAACATATATGTATACATATATGCTACATATCACATGTTTTATACTCTTTATCTTCTAAATAAAGAATCACAGTTCTCTAACCTTTACCATTCACAGAAGAGAACAGACACAGATACATACACTATGTACAATATCCAGCACACATACAGCATACAGCCAGTCCGGCAATTCGATAATCAGACTGATTTTATTAAGACCAAAACACTGATCCTGAGAAACTTGTCTCATTAACTAAACTGTCTCAAGAGCACTTTTCCAGAGTCTGAAACAGAATTCATATTCATCCTTGACACCATGCTGCATACGTAGTCAGGCAACTCTCACTAGCTAAACAAAATTGTTACTTGTCATATGCTGACCGGACGGCATTAGCATTCTGCCAGGTCATAGATTAGTAGTCCCTGTTTGGATGATATACTCTTCTATATGGATGGCTTTTTGTGTGCGTTTTAGCTTAATAAAATCACTCTGTTATTTTGTAATGTTGAGTAGTCACAAATAAATTACCATAAATTTCATGTTTCCGGTGCCGGAAGCTTCGGTGCCAGCTAGAGAGATCTGCTGACTCAGATCTGCAGCAGGTATAATCTTCTCCGCCAGGGTCACGCGGTAGTTCTCCAGGAAGATCACCTTGAGACGGTCGCCAACTATGGGGTCACTGTTGACGATGGCCCCCACGTTGTTGATGAGTTTGATGATCAGTTTAGCAAGGTGGTAACCTGGGGCAGCCTGCAAGCATAATATACCATGACTTTTACATCAGCATTAGAGGCATGCTCTTCTACAACATCTGAGAGAGACAGAGCACAGATGGGTATACCCCAAGTTCTGTGATAAAATTCTGACAATGCCAAAAATAATTTGTTACCAATAGGGGTGTAAAGTATTAGGCTTGTTCATACCTGACTCCATAGTATAATGAGAGGGGTTGACCAGTTCCTAGATTTTCCTTGTCCATTCCTTTAAAATTCTGAAAACTAACTGATAGCATAGTTACTGAAGCGGTAAAAGAGGAACTAAAGAGGAAGAAGAAGAGAAGAACTGATAATACAAATGTGACACAACTGAGTGAACTCAGTCATTCTGGTTCAGCAAATGCAAACATTGCCTGTGTGGCTTTCAGGAACTCATTGTGAGAGGGTGCTGCAGTCCTCTAACAAGCATCATGTAAAAGCCAAGTAATTAGGACAGTCTCCTTTAAAGTCAGAATGCATCTGCCCAAAAGGCAAGGAACCAACAGTCTGCATACTCATAAGTGATCGGGGAAGCCATCGCACACCTACAAAGTGTCTACAGGGTATGTTTATTAATGTCAGTCCTCATACACACTGGGTTCCCTCAGATGATGAACCAAGGCTGCCCACTCTCCTTGGCACAAGCTGATGGTGATTATTACTGGGGTAAAGGAAGGTCAGCCTAAACAGGAGCCCCGCAATAAGCCAGGCACACGTAACAAGTTAACAACCACAATATATCTGGCACAGGTGACATGCTCTATTGTAATCTCTAACACTGTCTAAGAAGCACTGTAATACAATACACCACTACAAATATGTAACTTGTATCAAGACAGTGTATCCACTCCCGTTTAGTTGCTTTTCTAACACTTGACTTGACTGTTAGCTACATTACTGTCAACATAACTCTAGGGGTCTGAAGAAGATACAAGCCCCTCTACTCTACCAGTATGTTTTGTTATCACAATCAAAAACTCTTCAGGAACATACAAGCCCCTCTACTCTATCAGTATGTTAAATGATATATTTTCACAATCAAAAGCTATCAGTAGCTACATCAATATCATCACAGGAACATACAAGCCCCTCTACTCTATCAGTATGTTATATGATATATTATCACAATCAAAAACTATCAGTAGCTTCATCAATATCAGTTACAGGAACATACCAGTATGTCCTCCCCCCCCCCCCCCCCCCACCTCAAAAACTCTAGAGACACACAAAAAGAGAGCTAAGTGGAGCTGAGGGTTACCTTGCCTCCAATCATGACGGTTCTGGGCACGTACTGAGCCTGGGGATTTCTCTTAATCCTGTTGTAGACTGTGATGATGTGCAGCACATTCATCAGCTGCCTCTTGTACTCGTGAATCCTCTTGACCTGCATGTCAAACATGGAGTTTGGGTTGACCTTGACGTTGTAATTGGTCTGCAGGTAGTTTGCCAGCCTCATCTTGTTCTCCTGCAACAAGTATCAGACATGACCAAACACACAGCAATCATTTCCTGCAACAAGTATCAGACATGACCAAACACACAACATTCATTTCCTGCAACAAGTATCAGACATGACCAAACACACAGCAATCATTTCCTGCAACAAGTATCAGACATGACCAAACACACAGTAATCAACTCCTGCAACAAGTATCAGACATGACCAAACACACAGTAATCATCTCCTGCAACAAATATCAGACATGACCAAACACACAGTAATCATCTCCTGCAACAAGCATCTTCTTCTTCTTTTGTCAAAATCTGCTTGTGCCGCTAGGCGTCGCAGTCTATCAGATGATCGGCAACCGAGCCAGGGCGCGCTCAGTCCCTTCATATGCCGTGATGGTATGAAGTCTCAAGTTGTCCGTGACTCCTTCAATCCATGTTCTTCTTGGTCTTCCCCTGCCTCTTGGTGTTTTGATTTTCATGTTGTATGCTCTTGATGCTGGCATCGTTGGTTCCATTCTCATTAGGTGACCAAACCATTTCATTCTTTGCTTCTCAATAAATTTAACGATGGGTATGGTTCCAATAGTTCTTGTAATCACATAGTTTCTCACTCGATCTCTTCTGGTTTTATTCGCAGCCATTCTCAAACATCTCATTCACAGGTGGTTAGTCTTCTCTCGTGTCTTTTGTTAATGTCCAAGTCTGACATTGATAACCTAATGTCGGTATAAAGATTGTATTTATAATTTGTCTTTTTATCTCAGCTAGGACAGCAGGGTGTTTTAAAATTGGGGCAAGCTGGTATGTGACATTGTTGGCTTGTTGGATTCTTGCTTCGATCTCTCTGTCTATTTTACCATTGAATGTAAAGATACTTCCCAAGTATTTAAATTCTTGCACTTGTTTTAGGCTGTGATCTAGAATCTTTATGTTGATGGTCTGTTGCTCTCTACTTATGCTCATGACTTCTGTCTTTTCAGAATTGATCTTCATATGATGCTTGAGGCAACTGTCGTGTAGTAGGTTTATGTGGTCTTGCAGCTGTTTACAAGCATCAGACATGGACAAACATACAGCAATCATCTGCTGCAAAACGTATTAGACATGGACAAACATACAGCAATCATCTCCTGCTGGTTAGAGAAAACAAATTAACATAAATTTTGACTATAAATTTGACTACCAAAAGACATGTACAGTAAAACCTCATTTATACCAACTCACTTAACATAAACACCTAATACTGGGCATTATCCTCTGCCTCAGAAGAGGGCACAACCCATCACGTAACCACATGTACACAAAATTCAAGATAGGCGTATCAGCCATGTGCACCTGTGGAAAGGTGCCCCAGACAGCAGAGCATGTACTCCAGGACTGCACCAAATTTGACACATTAAGGCAAACCTTTTGGCCAGAAAGAACAACAGTGGAACGTAAAACTCTATGGACCATTGAAAGAACTAACAACGACAGTGAAATTTATACAAGAGACAAAATTGCTGATATAGACAACTTATTTCAGGCGAACGAAAGAAGAAGAATAATGTGCAGGATTCAATAGTGTCAGGATTACAATAATATAATGGCTGCTATAAGTGTGTTAGCAAGAATGTAGTTCACTTCACATTGTATACTTTACTAACAAAACTCACAGGCAGAACAACAAATACATAAGACAGAAGCTTGGTACTGATATTTGCAGACCCTACCTGTTACATACCTGCTTCACCTTTATAAAGTTACGGAGAAAACCCTCGTCTTTTGAGAAAGGAGTCAGTTTCCTCAACTCAAACAGGTTGGTAATCCAAGTTTCACCAATTTTCTGAAAGTAATCAATTAATTATCAGCAATATTAACATGCTGCTGCCAATACTATTAATGATATAATTTACTGAGAGACAGTTCCTGAGTTAGGATCTGTGACTAACACGGTTTCATAATCCTGACGTAGGTACACTATAAACTTAGACATGGCTTAAGCTGCCCGCAGGGCAACCTGGAAACATGCCCTTGTCTCATTAACTGAGTGAGGGTCAACAGTGATCTCTGCTTCGATGAAGCCAGCAAGGATTGAAACCTCAGCTACAGCAACTGTTCAAGATGACGGTAGAGTCCAGTACTGATAACCTGCACACCTCACTGGGAAGTCTCATGAATGAGATCAGTGCATGTGCTGCTTGCCTGCTGGAATGACATTTAGTCAACCGTACATGATACTTTCATCAGCTTATACAAGAGGGAGAAACTCCACGCAACAGTTATCAAACACTTAATGAACACCTCACCAACACACAAAACGTTCACGCACACAACCAATCTAGCCACTCACCAACCACCCAATCCCTCACTCAAACAACCTACCAACCCAACAAAGAATCCCTCTAGCAGCTAATCTACCCACTCACAAACTAACCAGTCGCTCACTCAAACAACCTACAATCGACCCATCAAAGATTCACTCAAGCAACCAATCTACCCACTCACAAACTAACCAGTCGCTCACACAAACAACCTGCAATCAAACCATCAAAGATTCACTCAAGCAACCAATCTACCCACTCACAAACTAACCAGTCGCTCACACAAACAACCTACAATCAAACCATCAAAGATTCACTCAAGCAACCAATCTACCCACTCACAAACTAACCAGTCGCTCACTCAAACAACCTACAATCGACCCATCAAAGATTCACTCAAGCAACCAATCTACCCACTAACAAAAAAAAAACAGCCAGTCACTCAGCCAAAAAAGCTGATCTAAGATTACCTCAGCAATAATGTCCGACAAGCCTGGGTTACATAATAACAACCACCGTCGGGGAGTAATTCCATTAGTTTTATTTTGAAACTTGGACGGAAACATTTCATAGAAGTCCTTAAAACTAGGAATACACACATCAAATGTTGCTCATGCAATACAGGAGTAAAAAACACACACAAGCATATTATAGACTGTGAAAATAAAGTTTTTTCATTCATTCTTGAACTAGTGTATACAAGGAGCCACAGCAGCACACTGGCTAGATACTCAACTGCTGGTCCAAAGGTGCTGGGTTTCGAATGTGCATCAAGTCATATTTTTCGGGTCAAAAGCAGTCTTGGTTCCTAGGTCGACCCAACCTAAATGAATACCAGGTAATGTCATGGGAAGTAAAGGGGGCCAGCACTTTAACTCTTTAAGGCCCAAGCAACGGTGTGAGCATTGACTGAGAAGTTCCATTTTGCCCAAACAATGCTGTCACTGTCATCGTCATCCTGTACATTTTGCTTTGCACACGGCTCCATACTTGTTTCTGATGTTCAGAACTATGATTAACTTCAGGAAAAGTCAGAAATCCTTTTAGCTACATTCCCTTTCCTAAGCCACACGTGCATAGATTGATCGGATTCATAGCTAAATTTTTTTCAACAGTGCATTTTCTAAGTTCATTTTCAAATGCCATGAATACCAATGTTTCTAACCACAAGTACAGGTCTGAAATTGTTTCAGTCAGATGTTTTTAATTCGGATAATGATAATGAAAATTTAGATTTTTCGGAAAATGATTCGACAGTGAATTTTCACCAGCAAAGCTGAAGCATCAGCTGTTGGGAATCTAGCGATTCTGATGGGTTTACACAGACAATGTCCCACTGCTACCGTATTTATGGTTTAAAAAAAGGGAAAGTGCTCCAAACAAAGAAACAGTACTATACTATGGCTAAGCTACATTGAAATCATTGCAGCTACAGTCTGTATATAACTGTACAAAGTAAATAGTAAATAGTGTGTGTATAATGGCTAATTTTTCTGCCATTTGTTCCCTGAAATTGTTCTCAGCACTCTGTGAGAACTAAGAGCCCCTGAGTGCTAAACTAACTGAGAAACTTATAACTTTGGAATTTGTTAGGAAATTAAACAAACTTCAAAGTTTTGTTCTCAAATTTGGATATTTACTACTCTTGTGGCTGCAAAATCATGGTAAGTGAAGAATTTGTTTGTAAAATGTTGTTGTTGTGAAATTAACACCTGCTGAATTCTTTTTTTCCCACTAACTATAACATAATTAAACATACACTTATCAGATTCAAAATGCACATTCATTTCTCTTTAAAAAAATGTATACTTTTACAGGGATTAGAAGAATATTACATTCTCTATTGCCTTACTTGTGCACCCACCCCCTCTGCCATTTTTGTAAAGGAAAATTAATTTGGGCCACGTCTGTCAAAATTCATGGACCTGAAAGAGTTGAAGCTGTTACATTTTGTATTTACTAGTACAATGAAACTCACTGAGAGTTATACTTTAAAGCTGTTACATTTGGAGTTAAAAAGTGCTGAGGTAACAACAGTCTTGTTATGAAAGAGTTAATGGGTAATATCAAGAAAATGAAAAAGGGAAAAGCTTGGCTTGAAGACTGGGGATGTCAAGGCAGACAAAATCTCACTTCAACTGAGGAAAGAATATCACGTTTGGAGAAACTGGTAAACGCATGCTACACTGTTTGATATACAACAGTGTCAGAAATTGTAAACCAAGTTACGTTATTTAATTATAATTTTTATCATATGCTAATGAAAGTTAGAAACTACTCAGAATGAAATGAAAGTTTATTGCATTTGAAAACACAAATCTAAAGAAACTGATGAATATTAAATGGAATGAATACAGAAAAGCTGAAGAAATCAGAGAAATATATCAAGAGCAGAAGAAGAGGAAAGAATCACTAAACAATTCCAATTCCTTATAAGAAAATTTCAAAAACTCAACTACGTTCAACCTGCTGCTAGCTAGCCGAAGATGTCAACAGTCTCTGGTTATATTCATGGTTTTGTTTATTTGCCCCACTTTCATGGCGAAAATTCTGGTATTTGCGCTGTCTCTGGGCTTAATGCTTCTTTCCTCCATGTCAGACAGCTCCTTCCCTATCCTGTTGTCAACTTGTTCTTTTTGCCCTTTCATTTCTGATGTTTCTTCTTGGTTTCAGCTCCTTCTGATTTAGCCAGGTGTATTTCCTAGGAGAGCGAGCTTTTAAACATAACATCCTTTGGACTACCATTTTATAGTTTTAAAATTTTGAGTATTTTACTTTGCCAAAAAGTAATGAAAACAGTTTTTGGATTTGGATAGATCCGAAATGTAAAAACATTCCATGTGTGAACATAGTGGTCTTATTGTAGTCTTCCTGCAATAAGAACGGGTTAATCATGTCATGGAGATGCATGTGAAATGTTCCGTGAAGCCTCACAATGATTCTATCACAAGCACCGAGGAGGGAAACATTTAGAAAATGAGGATGTTCAAGAGAGACCGTAACACTAACATTGCTGAGAGGCCAAAGGTCGCAGGACCGGATTCCATCCGTGATATCAGAAAGATTGCACAGAACAGACAAAGAATGGTGAACACACACAACGGCATAAAAAGATAATAGTGTTGAATGTCAGACATGTGTAGGTCAAAGAATGGTGAGCACACACAACGGCATAAAAAGATAATGGTGTTGAATGTCAGACATGTGTAGGTCAAAGATTAACTTGGCTCACGTGCTTTTCTTGAGGATGTCTGAGTGAATAGCAGCCACTCCATTCACCGCCTTACTGCCAACGATGCACACGTTGGCCATGTTGATTTTCTTCTCTTGGCTTTCCTCAACCAGCGACATGCGAGCAAGTTTGCTACCATCTCCTGGCCAGCGTCTGCCCACTTCCTTTTGGAAACAAATACCTTAACTTAGGGGTAACGCAACAACAATTACAGGTGAATGCATGCTGGGATAGATCAGACTACATCAGTTTTATTTGTCTGCAGAATATATACCACTCTTAGTATTCCTGAATGGGTGGATTTTACAGCTAAGATATTTGTGGTATGTGTTCCTATACTGATGGTGCTAGCTGAAACCTGATGGAAAGCCTGCATGAGAGTGAATGAAAACTGTGCAGCTGCTCTGCTCAGTAGCCACTGATTGCCTCTTTAAAGGTATGGATACTCTGTTTATGGAGACTCAGTCTGTTCTGTTCACTTGATTCCACAAGGGAGAATCACACCTGCTTTCATAAATTAGCTCATCACCCAGAGGGGTGGCAGCAGCCAATCTATCAGCCTGCTCATTGCCCAGCAGAATCCCACAGGCAGAATTTTTTTTTTTACATTTTCATTTTTTCTCTTTTGAGTCTTAGTAACCCCTTTGTCCTTAAAATACAAAATAAAATAATTTAAAAAATGACCTTTTTCTCAAATTGTGTTTACCGAAATGCCTCTTATAATTCTGTGAAATTCTGCTCTAAAAATCAGAAGAGACTAAAGAAGCAAAAGAAATTTGGATTCTTGGTTAGCGTTTATATATACCCACAGTGTTAAACCTCTAGACCACAGAGAAGACAGGCAGGCGTAAAGTCCTCTACCTATTCAAGGTTTATTTCTATGTTAAGGGAAATAATCATTAAATATGAAAAAGAGCAAAGAATACACTGATTTTCTTTCCTCTGACCATTTCAAAGTTTTTTGGTCGCTTTGCCACTGACAGCAATGTGACTAAATAATGAAATTATCTGATATCACAGTGAATCTAGTTTTTGTAAATCTATTTTTTTCACTCGAATATCAAAAAAAAAAAAATGCTGTTGAGATAAATATCATCATTCCTACCATGTCTACACACTATGCAGTTGCAGCCAGTATAAAGCTGTCATACAAGTGTACTGGGCAGTGTCAAAAACATCAGTCAACCAAAACCCGTAAAAGCTAACAAAAAATAAATGGCTTTCGCAGGGTGAGAGAGAGTTAAAGCCACTCCCCATGCAGGATACCAGTTTGTATTCCTTTGAGTCCGTTACAATTACATCTTGTCAGGAATTATTATTATTATTATTATCGTTTGTTTAATTTGGGGGTATTAGATGAGGTCATCAATCTCACACTAACCCTTCCTTTTTGTGGACGAGGGTAGATAACTTCTTCACCTTCTCCGCGTCCAACAGCTGTCAACTCCCGCAGGTTCTTCATCCACATCTGGACACTGGTTTTGTACAAAAACTGAAATGTTCCCTGCATGTTGGTTTCTTGCCATTTGGGCAGACACATTTCAACTTTGAAAGAAACAGCCCTAATTAGTTGCCTTTTTATTTTTATTTGTTTAATTTGGTGGTATTAGATGAGACAATCAATCTCACACCAACCCTTCTTAGCTGTCTCTCAGGACATGCTTGAAGAAACATCTAGGAACATAATGTTCACATTCTCGGTCAAAGCAGGTCATGATCATTGTGTTTCTCAATTTCAACCTTCGGTCGGCATCTTCTTCATATCCTCCATGTTCTCTGGCTGCAAACTCCACTGGAAAGTTCTTGTTCTTTGTCCACATCTAGACTTTTGTCTTGTTCCAAAACTTAACTTTTGCGTGCATAATGTTGGTTCCTCACCCTCAGGCAGATGCACTTAAATTTTGAAGGAAACAGCCCAAATTAATCGCCTTTCATAACTTGCTTGTTGGGGGGCAATACGCCTATTTTGTTGGGTTTTTTAATCCCCAAAATAGCGCCTGCGACCCATACGGGCAGATAGGGGTAGGCATGAAAGGTCTCTTACCTGCAGAAACCTCGCATTGATCTCGTACAAAATGGATAAATGCCTAGGAAGAACGTGGCCTAGCAGGCCCACCGGCCACCGCTCCAGAGCTTCTGGCAGCACGGTGTGGTTGGTGTAGGCACAAGTTCTAGTTGTGATATCCCAGGCCTGCACAGAAGACAATATAACAGCTGCCAGGTTACACGTTAAAATTAAGTTGACTGCTGTTTGGTTATACAAGGGTATTTGTGTATGCATGCAGGTGTGAGCGTGTGAAAAGTATATATTCCTGCATTGTCCTGTTGTGCCCTTCCTTATATGTCACACAGGGCTCACAGTTTTGCCCTCCATTCCATTGTATCCTGTGTGATATCATGGGTGGAGTCCAGTCCAGCAGCTTTGGCCTCTCTCATCAACATTAGTTTTAGTGTTTCTCTTGGACACCTCGCTTCTTCAATTCCTTTATTTCTCATTTTAGTGCCTGTCTGGTGATTATCTGCTCATTTTTTTCTCAGGATGTGTCACAGAGAGAGAGAGAGAGAGAGAGAGAGAGAGAGAGAGAGAGAGAGAGAGAGGAAGGGAGGGAGGGGGAGAGGGGAGAGACAGAGACAGAGAGAGAGAGAGAGAGACAATGAACGCACACACTTTATTTTCAAAGGGTCACAAATTGGGCACTTAGGTCTGTCTTACATTCGGCATTTAAGAGAGAGCGTACGTGCGTGTTAAAGTCATTACACTCGAGAGGACTGACTTCAATTACTGGCTTTTAACCTATATGTCCTGGCCTCTACCCATAAAATGGCCAACTGTCTGCCAAGAATGTTGCACAAAGCACAAACTCCATAGCTCCTGTATCGATCCCCAGAGATCTTTGTATAAAATAAACATGCACTTGTAAAATGAATGACATCTTCGTGAAATGAACTCAGGATGTTCAGAATTGTTGACAAATGGCTTGACAGCTTTGCTACAGAGGCACAATAGAGAACTTCAGACTCTGTTTGGTCACATGCTAAAGCTTGAAGAAACACGTCAGTGTGTATGTTTATACTGCCAAAGAAGACTAACAGACTAACAAAGAACTAGTGTTATCAGCAGCTACAGGCTGAGGGAAATACTAAAGAGAAGACTCAAATGATGTATTTACTGAATGGCTGTATAAGAGCGAGGAAACACAATCTATCCATTCTCTTACTCTCTATCTCTCTCTCATGCACGCCCAGCCATCTCACACGCACACAAGTTTTGCCACTCACAACCTAAGCATTCACTGAATGATATGTGCCTCACCTTGTCCCACGGGACATCTTCGATGTCAATCAGAAGACGCATCAGTTCAGGAATGGCAAGTGAAGGGTGTGTGTCATTTAACTGGATTGCTACCTGCCAAACAAACATTGCCTCAAATTATATTTCTTATCTACTATTATCCTGTCTGAGGCATTCAAAGAAAAGCCAACAAACACAATGAAAGATAAATGACACATCAAAAATCCCTTGGGGACGGCTAATGTTATCTCTTTCCATTTTTCAGGTCCACATTGACATTGAGCTGCTGCAGTCAGCTGACAATGAGAGACCTGAAATTTGTAGAGAAAACATCACAAACTTGTGTGTTAATCTAGGAGAAAACATCACAAACTTGTGTGTTAATCTAGGAGAAAACATCACAAACTTGTGTGTTAATCTAGACTATCCATACGAGCTGTTTTGAATCACCTGGTTTTCCCCATGTGGGTTAGGGGCTCCCTTTTCTTTGTGGAGGCAGGAGTGGGATAACAGATCCACTGCCCTCCCAACAAGCATGCCGTACAAGACAACTAATTAGGGATGTTTCCTTCAAAGTGAGCAGCGCCTGGCTGAATGGTTAGAACACTGGGCTCTCAAGCAGGAGACCCAGGTTCGAATCCTCGGTGAGGCTGGGTATTTTTTTCTGTCTGGGGCAAGATCAAATCTTCGCCTGCACAGTTGTGGCGACAGCACTAGCCATGCAGCTGTAACTCCTCAGACTCAAAGACCCCCCTGCCTACACCGCAAATGTGGTATGATAAAGGCAGTAATTGGCAGTTTTCTTTCAAAGTCAGAGTGCATTGCATGAAGTCAAGAAAACAACAGTCTGCATACAAATAAGCCAGATCTGTAAAACAGATGTGCACATAAAAATCAAGTTCTGGAACAAGACCAACATCCAGAAGTGGATGAACAACCAGAACTTTCCACTGGAGTTTACAGCCTGTGAACACAATGAAAGAGAAGAAGAATCAGCTGGCGACATCCTAATATTCTTCATCAGAGACATGTATGCTGCTCCAGTATCAATTCTGAACACACTGCTGGTTTATGGACTTGGAGAGGGGAAGGAGAGCTCTGTAACATCAAATCAATGAAGATGGAATTTGGTACTACCCCTTCTGTGTTCATATTGAATATTGTTGAACTTGACAGCAATAACAGGAAGATTTGGACAAGGATAAGTCTGAATATTGTTGAACTGGAGATCAATAACAGGAAGATATGGACAAGGATAAGTGTGAATATTGTTGAACTGGAGATCAATAACAGGAAGATTTGGACAAGGATAAGTCTGAATATTGTTGAACTGGAGATCAATAACAGGAAGATATGGACAAGGATAAGTGTGAATATTGTTGAACTGGAGAGCAATAACAGGAAGATTTGGACAAGGATAAGTGTGAATATTGTTGAACTGGAGATCAATAACAGGAAGATAGGGACAAGGATAAGTGTGAATATTGTTGAACTGGAGAGCAATAACAGAAGATATAGACAAGGATAAGTGTGAATATTGTTGAACTGGAGAGCAATAACAGGAAGATATAGACAAGGATAAATCTGAACATTGTTGAACTGGAGAGCAATAACAGGAAGATATGGACAAGGATAAATCTGAATATTGTTGAACTGGAGAGCAATAACAGGAAGATTTAGACAAGGATAAATCTGAATATTGTTGAACTGGACAGCAATAACAGGAAGATATGAACAAGGATAAATCTGAATATTGTTGAACTGGAGAGCAATAACAGGAAGATATAGACAAGGATAAATCTTAATATTGTTGAACTGGAGAGCAATAACAGGAAGATATAGACAAGGATAAATCTGAATATTGTTGAACTGGAGAGCAATAGCAGGAAGATAAGGACAAGGATTTTTTTTTAAATATCCAGAAACCGTGAGTTCTTAACCCTTTGGCTTCGTACTATGGATATCGCAGCCCTTCGGCCTTGATTCCGTGATAAATAATGTAAATCTGGGAGAAATGTGGCTTTTCTGCCTACCGTCGGGCGTGAACCTGGACCACAAGGAGTTCGTCACCCGGTCGTTGCGAAGTCAGGTTTAGCCAACTTCGCAGCAACGCTAGCGAGCCGAGCATGGACAAGGATAAGTCTGAATATAGTTGAACTGGACAGCAATCATGGGAAGATATGGACTAGTCTGAATATTGCTGAAATGAAGAGCAATAATAGGAAGGTATGGAAAATTATACAAAATAAGCAGAGGAAAGAAGAAGATGCAAGGGTGAATTCCTTCATCCCCAGAAGGTTTTGTAGATGTCAGCTAATGCTCACAAGGAAAACACCACTTTTACATTGGCTAATTACAGTCTCAGTGGCCAATGCAGAAGCCAGATTTCTCTGGTATGCTCTGATCGAATATAATGAGCACACAAAAATATACAATTTGATGGTTGGGATTCCAGACGAAGAACCAATGTCACACTAAAAGACTTAAAACAATAGAAACTGAAAGACCAAAGAAAAAAAAAAAGAGAGAAAGAAAAATATGAAGACAAGAATAGACTAAGGAAAGGGGTAGAAACAGGAGATAAGCTGGAAAAGAATTATAAATTGGAAAAAAAAAGAAGGTTCCTGAAAAACAAGTGATGAAAACAAAATTTAAAAAAGGCAGAAAGACAGGGGGAAGAAGAAAGTAAAAGATTCCCAACATCAACCTTGTCTGGGAAATTATCAAATGAAGGTCTGCCTGCAGTTCCCTGTGCCTGTCCAAATGTGCTGGACTTGAACCGGCGAACAATGTCCTGTAGTGTGGCAGCAACCAAAAAGTACTCTTGCTTCAGACGAAGCTCCTTTCCTTCAAACATCTGCAACAGAGACATCAAAACTTGTGTTCATCATAATCTTCATCTCTCCTGTTAAACGTCTGAGTGTTGACACTTTTCACCCCCTCTATGCATCAGGTATATGGTGTTATTCTAAAGCCATCCGCCACTCAATTGGTGAGATGGTCAACATGACCCATTTTAGGCTAGGTCATTTTGCCAGCCTAAAGCCAATTTACAAATCCATCCCAAAGTGTATATAAATCCCACGACCTTGAGGCCAGCAGAAAGTGTCTCACCACTGTGCTACTGCAGTTCCCAGTTGTGATTACTTAAGCAATTTAACAAAATTAGAAAAGCACTGCATTTCTTTTTTTAAACCACCAAACAACAACTAAGCCTAATCACTGAAACATTCACATGCTTTCTCTGTGAACAACTCTACTCCAAATACAACAGGATGTGTCTAAATGTTCTATTCACCGCCGGACTTCTGAAAACAATAGATAAATGAAGACTCTAATGGCTCGGTCACATTCTAAAGCAAGAAGAAACATGTCTGGGGAGAGAAAGCAGATAGAAGGAAGGAGGAAAGAAGGGGGAGGGAGGAAGGGAAGCACAAGAGGGAGTAGAAAAGACAAGACACACACATATACAGTGCTCAGTTCAACACAACACACTTACATTGTCATTTGGGTACAGGACTCTGGAGATGTTTTCTGCATAGTTCCGTTCACAGACGGCATTGATGTATTCTCCATTGTTGACTGCAAATAATATTGCCAATACAACAACCAGATTACAATGTACAACTTTATCTGTCAACTGTCAACAACAAAACTGTCATGACTGTCTGCACTAACCACAGTTGTGGTGTAGGTAGTGAGGTTTCTGAGTCTGAGGATTAAGGGTCGTGTGGCTAGTGCTGTCACCACAGACTGCGCAGGGTAGGATTTTTGTGTGTGTGTGTGCTCAGGAAAGAAAAGCCTATAACTGTATCAAAGAATCAATCCTTCGTCTCCCGGCCTCTCATAAACATGGTTTGGTTTACAGGGAGGGAGAACAGGCGTGGACACTGGGGAGCGGGGAGGGGCAGCTTTGACCAAATGGTTGCACATATGTGGTGTGTTTTACTATAATTATTATTGTTTCTTAGTCATTTATACCCCTATCCATTTTCTTTATATTTATTTGTTAATTAGATAATGCCACTAAGACGTCCATGATTTATGTCAACCAAGTAAGGCATATGTGAGGTATGTATCGTATATGTAATGCATGTAAGGCATATGTAATGCATGTAAGGCATATGTAAGGCATGTAAGGCATATGTGGAATGAACCTTGATGTATGCCTTGGCTTACAACATATCTATTTTCGCCATGGTTCACTTTATGATTACTACAACATAACTTGCACTACTCGAACGTCTAGGGTTGATAACACAAACACTGCTCGGCTTTCTTATACATACTATCAGTTTATTCAGTTACATTTATTCCACATGTTTCAACAATTATTCAGACTTCTATCGCTCGCGAAATATTATAATACTGGTCACACGCACGACATAGGGACTACATCTTCTGCTAACACAACCCTCTTCTATGACTTCTGATGATCAACTGACGAGTCTAGCTCGGGCCTGCCCACGTCTACTCAACTGGCACCAAGACTCTCGTGCGGTTGTTTGTTTCACGGATTTTCTATTTTGCTCTCTGTGTGCGTGGAGACCATGCAAAGCATGTAAGGCATATGTATGGCATGTAAGGCATGTAATGTATGTGTAAGGCATGTAATGTATGTACTGCAGCATTCCAACATACATTTTTATTTTATTTTAAACACTAAACATTAAATTATTCTTTTGGCAAGTGCAGAGCCTAGCAATGAAGTGAGTGTATCGGTTATGTCCCATCAATCTACAGTAGCAGTAAACAGTGACAGACTAAAGACATCAGCTAGTGGGAGCCTTGCAGGACCAGAGTCACAGGCTGTTGACAGTGACAGACTAAAGACGGAAGCTGTTGGGAGCCTTGCAGGACCAGAGTCACAGGCTGTTGACAGTGACAGACTAAAGACATCAAACAAACATCCCTGACTTACAGAAGTGCAGATGGAAGCTGTTGGGAGCCTTGCAGGACCAAAGTCGCAGGCTATTGACAGTGTTGTTGTTGTAGCCAGGGATGGGGTTGTCGTAGGGCATAGCAAACAGAACCTGTTCCATCCAAGCAATAATACCAGCGTGAATGGTCTATCCAATAAAATGCAATTCTGACTACTAAAACTGCTACCTGGGAGCCACCGTTGATGACAGACTAAAGCTAGAGCTCCTGCAACCAGAGACGGTCACAGTGGTTCGGAAGCTGATGGAGCCTGAGGACCAGAGTTACAATGACCTTGGCTCGACGGGTCTGTTGGGAGCCGTCGCAGGCTGTTGACAGTCACTAAGCTGTCTGGGGAAACGTCCTGGCCACAGTGACAGACTAAAGACGGAAGCTGTTGGGAGCCTTGCAGGACCAGAGTCGCAGGCTGTTGACAGTGACAGACTAAAGACATCAAACAAACTCCCTGACTTACGCAGATGGAAGCTGTTGGGGCCTTGCAGGACCAGAGTCGCAGGCTATTGAAGTGTTTGTTGTTGTAGCCAGGGATGGGGTTGTCGTAGGGCATAGCAAACAGAACCTGTTCCATCGAAGCAATAATACCAGCGTGAATGGTTTATCCAATAAAATGCAATTCTGACTACTAAAACTGCTACCTGGGAGCCACCGTGATGTAGCAGCTAGACTCCTGCAAATTAGACGGTCACTGGTTCGGGTCCTGATGGAGCCTGATTTTTTTAATGACCTTGGCTCGCAGGTCAAACCAGCCTTAAATGGGTACCACATAAAGTCTATGCTGACCACATATAGTGCCCCAATTAGTCTGAAGGCGTAGTGAAAGGGTAAAAGGGTCCTTTTAACTGCTACCCATGAAGAATGTGCAGTGTTTAACAAATACAAATCTAACCTAATTTCAAGACGTTACCTGCTATATGTTACATCCTCTAGCTCTCACTGTAAAAAAAAAAAAAAGCAAACAAAAGACCCTTTTCCCCCACCTTTCACTGTACTGTACCATATTTTTCCAACCCCTATTTTGTTTAACCCAAAAGTAATAAATAAATATTTTAATCCCATTGCGTATATAAGATAACCCTTAATTCTTAACTTCACAAATTTGGGAAAAGCATACTGTTTTATATAAGGAAAATACAGTAAATGTTTTTTTTTTTTTTTTTTTTGCTACATGTTGAGTATTCAGGCATCGGTTAAAACTGGCTATCTGTAGCATCCACAAAATTTTGAAAAATGTATTTTTTAGGTGTCACATCCTAAGACGGAATAATTAATCAGATCAGCTACTTTAATCACTATCAGCAAATTATTATTCTGCTTTCATCCTTAATAAGGCGACTGGCATGTTATATTCTGGTCTACAGATGGGCTGTGATATATGTGCCTTTTAGCCAAACACATTACATTTCAGCAAATACTTAATCAATCCCTTGTTACTGTTTTTACTGCATGCATTTTAAAGGGCGGTTGGTTTGTTACCTCCCCCCCCCCCCTCCCCGGCCACCCTTAAAAAAAAAACTCAATTCATAAATGGGGACAGAACCCACACAGGTAACTTACTGTACAAGATGCTCTAAACATAGTAAGTTATTTAATCACTATCAACAAATAAGATGTAAAACCGAAAAAGAATGTTACCTGAGTGTCAACCCACTTGTCTTTATTATTTATTTTTTCCACACGTCCGTAGAAATTTATTGGCAGGCAATATTCTGGCCGTGACTTCTCCCAAGGATTTCCGAATCTCAACCACTCATCTGGTTCTTCAACCTTGAAAGTGTCACATGATACATTCACAAAAGTCATCAGTGCTTTATTATCCTAAATATAACAGTTATGAAGAATTTCTTAATTTTACCTTCATAAACAGGAGTGGGCTTCAACTGAAACCTTACAAGCGTGACAGAAATTTCAACAACTTTGTCACTGTCTTGTAACCTGTCAATATTTTTGTTAAGAATGTCAGGAGTCTGAAGCATGGGATATCACAGTATTTTATTCAGTTAGATAAATTCTTAAATACAAATGTATTCTCTATTAAAAGACATGTATCAATAATGTTCCCAAAGAACCCACCTTTATCTGTGAAAAGTATTTACAAGAGACCTGTACATTTTAATTTATAAGCATAAGTTTTTCTCATCATTATATTAATATCTAATCCATATCCAGGATTTATTATGTTTACCGTGCAGTCAGAAATTATTCTAGGACAGGCCTAGCAAGCCATTAGAAATAATGGTGATTAGACATTTCTAATGTCGGACTGTTTGTGTTAGCACTTCTGATGACTACCGTATGTTTTTAACGCGTGTGAATGCTAGTGCATATGCAGAGACAGCAGTCTGTCAATCTTTCCACAAGGGACTGTGATGAACATTCTGTGTGTTTTCCGTTGGCACAGGAGTGGAGCAACTATGGGGTGACCCGTTTGCTATGAAGTTGAAACTAAGATTATCAAGATTACCAAGCCATTGGAGGATTTAACTCTTCAACTGCACATGCTCAAGACAGGATGAGGAGGAAGAGTAGTAACCATTGGGGCACTCAATCTAGCCCTACAAGAAACAGTCACCAATGAAGAGCTAACAACAATGATAGCCCTGGTCCCCTTAAAGGATTTTATACAACATCAAAGAATCAAATGGTTTGGTCATCTGGTTACAATGGATCAAAATCAACCTGCAGCTAGAGCGCACTTCATGAGAACAGCAGTCAAGAAGACGACCAAGCAAGAGATGGGTCCTGTTCTTATTCTCTTCCACCACTTACTTCATCGAGGTGTTGGGGGGAGATGTAAGGATTGTCTGTTTGTTTGGTCCAATGCATTGTACAAGTTGGTGTTCATTTCTGTTAGATTGCCCCTGAAGATGTCACTCCATATCTTGTGTGGTCTTCCCCTTGAAAGTGACAATGGGAAAACGTGATGGAAAAAGAGCACAGAGAAGATATAAAAAGCTTAATGGCTTAACCACATGGATGGGGCAGGACAAGAGGACTGACCTGATCCATGATTCCGGCGATCATATGAGATGGTGAACCATATCCACCCACACTTATTACCATGACATATGATGATGATGCAATGAACATGACTAACCTGTGGTACTAATACTCACCTGCCACCCATTCTCGATCCTCTGAGTAAATATGCCATAGTCATAACGTATGCCGTAGCCATAAGCAGCCAATCCAAGGGTGGCCATAGAGTCGAGGAAACAGGCAGCCAGGCGGCCTAATCCACCATTCCCCAGACCTGCATCCAGCTCCATTTCCTCCAGCTCTTCAATATCCAACCCAAGCTAGAAATTGGCAAAGCAAAATAACAGAGCAACATAAGCAATTATTTCCAGAGCAACATAAGCAATCATTTCCAGAGCAACATAAGCAATTATTTACAGAGCAACATAAGCCAGTGATTACACTGTCAGACAAAACAACATATTAAAATCATTTCTCTTTTTGTGTTCACAAGCTGAAGAGCAGTTGGCATTTAGGGTCATGGCTCACAGCTAGGCAGTGATATTTGTGCCTTTCAGCTTAGCAGATCCAATTTTAGCAAAATTATAATTAGTCATCTCAAACTGCAAGCTTAATTGGGAAAGGGAAGGGGGGGGGGGGTCTATTCTATGTTTTTTCTTTCTCTAAACAAAAAAAAAGGGGGGGGGGGAGACTGGAACTACCTGATTGAGAAACAGGTCATATAGTAATAAGAACAGAAGAACCTGCAAAACTAATCATGTATAGCACCAACTGTAGAAGATTATGTTTCAGTATAAGGGATTTCAAACAACATTAAAGAATCAACTGTACATTGGGTACACACGGACCTTCCATCAATGTCTGATGCTCATTTGTCCTTGCCTTTAACTGACTGACATACACAGATTTAACAGCCTTGCACAACAGCCTTACACAACAACTTGCACAACAGCCTTACACAATAACCTTACACAACAGCCTTGCAAAACAGCCATGCACAACAGCCTTACACAACAACCTTATTCAACAGCCTTACACAACAACCTTATACAACAACCTTACACAACAGCCTTACACAACAGCCTTACACAACTACCTTACACAACAACCTTATACAACAGCCTTACACAACAACCTCACACAACCTACACAACAACCTTACACAACAACCTCACACAACAGCCTTACACAACAGCCTTACACAACAACCTCACACAACAGCCTTACACAACAACCTCACACAACAGCCTTACACAACAACCTCACACAACAGCCTTATACAACAACCTTACACAACAGCCTTACACAACCACCTTACACAACCACCTTACACAGCAACCTCACACAGCAACCTTACACAACAGCCTTACACAACAACCTCACACAACAACTTTACACAACAGCCTTACACAACAACCTCACACAACAGCCTTACACAACAACCTCACACAACAACCTTACACAACAACCTACACAACAACCTCACACAACAGCCTTACACAACAACCTCACACAACAACCTTACACAACAGCCTTACACAACAACCTCACACAACAGCCTTACACAACCACCTTACACAGCCACCTCACACAGCAACCTCACACAACAGCCTGACACAACAAGCTTGCACTAAAACAGGCTCACATTAGCCAGCACAAAATGCCTGGCACTAAGACAAAAGTACAACTACCCACAATGCTCTGCAGCAAGACAGACGCAGCACAGGAAACAAACAAGTTCTTCCACTAGTTTGACAGTCAACAGACAAGGCAAGATCAATCACATGGAATCCTCAACTCTTTCAGCACAGGAAACAAACAAGTTCTTCCACTAGTTTGACAGTCAACAGACAAGGCAAGATCAATCACATGGAATCCTCAACTCTTTCAGCACAGGAAACAAACAAGTTCTTCCACTAGTTTGACAGTCAACAGACAAGGCAAGATCAATCACATGGAATCCTCAACTCTTTCAGCACAGGAAACAAACAAGTTCTTCCACTAGTTTGACAGTCAACAGACAAGGCAAGATCAATCACATGGAATCCTCAACTCTTTCAGCACAGGAAACAAACAAGTTCTTCCACTAGTTTGACAGTCAACACACAAGGCAAGATCAATCACATGGAATCCTCAACTCTTTCAGCACAGGAAACAAACAAGTTCTTCCACTAGTTTGACAGTCAACAGACAAGGCAAGATCAATCACATGGAATCCTCAACTCTTTCAGCACAGGAAACAAACAAGTTCTTCCACTAGTTTGACAGTCAACAGACAAGGCAAGATCAATCACATGGAATCCTCAACTCTTTCAGCACAGGAAACAAACAAGTTCTTCCACTAGTTTGACAGTCAACAGACAAGGCAAGATCAATCACATGGAATCCTCAACTCTTTCAGCACAGGAAACAAACAAGTTCTTCCACTAGTTTGACAGTCAACAGACAAGGCAAGATCAATCACATGGAATCCTCAACTCTTTCAGCACAGGAAACAAACAAGTTCTTCCACTAGTTTGACAGTCAACAGACAAGGCAAGATCAATCACATGGAATCCTCAACTCTTTCAGCACAGGAAACAAACAAGTTCTTCCACTAGTTTGACAGTAACAACACACAAGGCAAGATCAATCACATGGAATCCTCAACTCTTTCAGCACAGGAAACAAACAAGTTCTTCCACTAGTTTGACAGTCAACACACAAGGCAAGATCAATCACATGGAATCCTCAACTCTTTCAGCACAGGAAACAAACAAGTTCTTCCACTAGTTTGACAGTCAACACACAAGGCAAGATCAATCACATGGAATCCTCAACTCTTTCAGCACAGGAAAACAAACAAGTTCTTCCACTAGTTTGACAGTCAACACACAAGGCAAGATCAATCACATGGAATCCTCAACTCTTTCAGCACAGGAAACAAACAAGTTCTTCCACTAGTTTGACAGTCAACACACAAGGCAAGATCAATCACATGGAATCCTCAACTCTTTCAGCACAGGAAACAAACAAGTTCTTCCACTAGTTTGACAGTCAACACACAAGGCAAGATCAATCACATGGAATCCTCAACTCTTTCAGCACAGGAAACAAACAAGTTCTTCCACTAGTTTGACAGTCAACACACAAGGCAAGATCAATCACATGGAATCCTCAACTCTTTCAGCACAGGAAACAAACAAGTTCTTCCACTAGTTTGACAGTCAACACACAAGGCAAGATCAATCACATGGAATCCTCAACTCTTTCAGCACAGGAAACAAACAAGTTCTTCCACTAGTTTGACAGTCAACACACAAGGCAAGATCAATCACATGGAATCCTCAACTCTTTCAGCACAGGAAACAAACAAGTTCTTCCACTAGTTTGACAGTCAACACACAAGGCAAGATCAATCACATGGAATCCTCAACTCTTTCAGCACAGGAAACAAACAAGTTCTTCCACTAGTTTGACAGTCAACACACAAGGCAAGATCAATCACATGGAATCCTCAACTCTTTCAGCACAGGAAACAAACAAGTTCTTCCACTAGTTTGACAGTCAACACACAAGGCAAGATCAATCACATGGAATCCTCAACTCTTTCAGCACAGGAAACAAACAAGCTCTTCCACTAGTTTGACAGTCAACACACAAGGCAAGATCAATCACATGGAATCCTCAACTCTTTCAGCACAGGAAACAAACAAGTTCTTCCACTAGTTTGACAGTCAACACACAAGGCAAGATCAATCACATGGAATCCTCAACTCTTTCAGCACAGGAAACAAACAAGTTCTTCCACTAGTTTGACAGTCAACACACAAGGCAAGATCAATCACATGGAATCCTCAACTCTTTCAGCACAGGAAACAAACAAGTTCTTCCACTAGTTTGACAGTCAACACACAAGGCAAGATCAATCACATGGAATCCTCAACTCTTTCAGCACAGGAAACAAACAAGCTCTTCCACTAGTTTGACAGTCAACACACAAGGCAAGATCAATCACATGGAATCCTCAACTCTTTCAGCACAGGAAACAAACAAGTTCTTCCACTAGTTTGACAGTCAACACACAAGGCAAGATCAATCACATGGAATCCTCAACTCTTTCAGCACAGGAAACAAACAAGTTCTTCCACTAGTTTGACAGTCAACACACAAGGCAAGATCAATCACATGGAATCCTCAACTCTTTCAGCACAGGAAACAAACAAGTTCTTCCACTAGTTTGACAGTCAACACACAAGGCAAGATCAATCACATGGAATCCTCAACTCTTTCAGCACAGGAAACAAACAAGTTCTTCCACTAGTTTGACAGTCAACACACAAGGCAAGATCAATCACATGGAATCCTCAACTCTTTCAGCACAGGAAACAAACAAGTTCTTCCACTAGTTTGACAGTCAACACACAAGGCAAGATCAATCACATGGAATCCTCAACTCTTTCAGCACAGGAAACAAACAAGTTCTTCCACTAGTTTGACAGTCAACACACAAGGCAAGATCAATCACATGGAATCCTCAACTCTTTCAGCACAGGAAACAAACAAGTTCTTCCACTAGTTTGACAGTCAACACACAAGGCAAGATCAATCACATGGAATCCTCAACTCTTTCAGCACAGGAAACAAACAAGCTCTTCCACTAGTTTGACAGTCAACACACAAGGCACACATGGAATCCTCAACTCTTTCAGCACAGGAAACAAACAAGTTCTTCCACTAGTTTGACAGTCAACACACAAGGCACACATGGAATCCTCAACTCTTTCAGCACAGGAAACAAAAAAGTTCTTCCACTAGTTTGACAGTCAACACACAAGGCACACATGGAATCCTCAACTCTTTCAGCACAGGAAACAAAAAGGTTCTTCCACTAGTTTGACAGTCAACACACAAGGCACACATGGAATCCTCAACTCTTTCAGCACAGGAAACAAAAAGGTTCTTCCACTAGTTTGACAGTCAACACACAAGGCACACATGGAATCCTCAACTCTTTCAGCACAAAGCAGAAATAAATAGAACTTTTTTCTGTTCTAAGAGCTTGAAACTTTCAAGTAATGGAAGTTGGGGACTGAAGAGTTAAAATAACAGTGACATGAAACAAGGGGGAGGCAAAGTTAAAAATTGGGACTAAAAAAGTGAGTGTAATATCTTGACGCATCACATGGGTTCAGGAAAGTATATTATGTTAACAAACCTACAGTACATCTGTTTGTTTTAAAAGAGTTCAGTGTTAGACAGAAACCTGTTACACTTATGGCTTCAAATGTCCACAATCACAATTTTCAAGCAACAAACCAATTCATGAAAGTCACATAAACACACATTTACACAAACACTCAATGGGTGATGTGGTCAACGTCACATTAGCTAGCTTGACTTCCTAAGAAATTTCCTAGTTTAGCCGTTTAGCCTGGATTGACCAGGGAGCCATAGGTGAATTATAAATATCAGTTTTGATTTAAACCTAAGACCTTCAGCTTGCAGGAGAGAGGATGGCCACTGCACCAAATACCCCCCTCCCCCACTTGTTTCCCTCCCTGAAGACTGATACTTTAACACTGGCAATGAGATGTTAAGGCAAAAGCAGCCCACCTGATACATGGCTTCATCACATGAGCTTTGAATGCCCAGGTTGACCATCGTGTTGGACAATGTCCGGCCCATGTAGAACTCCAGAGACAGGTAGTACACCCTCTAGCAGCAGAAGAACAAAGCAAAACTCGGTTATCCACAATTATCCTAGGATTTACGGATTCAGATATCCTATAAAACACTTTCTGATTATTTAAATTAGTTAAGCTATTGGAGTAAATTAAGTAAAGGGTCCTTTCTCACACCTTCAGGCCTACTGGGTATATAGGGCTAGACCTATATTTTATACACCAATCAGCACAATAAACACACTGGCCGCCTTTACTCCCCAGGACTTTTACCTGGTACACATTTAGGACTAGGTTCACCTGGCAGGCTAGGTAATTTCTGAAAAAAGTCCACCACTGTCCAGTCTTGAACCCATGACATTTAGATCCACAGGCAATAGTCTAGCCGCTACACCACAGTTGGTCCCGTGCTACTAGAGTAGTAGTGGTAATTTAATTCTTTTGGTAACAGGTTTCACAGAAGATGCCAAAGTGGAGAAATGACAATGAAAAATCATTAATGTGTTAATGTCAAAGTGGCAACATACACAATGGGAATTACAAGTGAGGAAGCCAGATTTCTTTAATATCTTCTGACTACATATTGTAAGTAACTGGACACAATATTCTATGGAAGGTAATCAAGCTCAAGCAAAAGAGTCACCGACACACAAAGCGTTGCTTGCGAGCCAAAGAGTTCATCAACTATATGCTTCTCTGTTCAACCTATTTGATTTATAAATAGAACATATAGGATTTGTGTCTTTTTTTTAAATTTTATACTGGCTTATCTAATCCTCTTTTGTCATCTGATACCCAGTGTTGTGGTTTGCTGTATTTGTCTTGCGCTTCTTTGGTGGCTCAAGTGGTGGATTTGTTCATCTTTTTGCAGGCTTCAGCTACATCATTTATCCATATCTTTCTTGGTCTTCCCCTTGCCTTACTCCCAGAAGTTCTGCTGTGAAAATTATCAAATGCAGTCCGGCCTGGCTGCATTCTAACTAGATGGCTGAACCATTTCATTCTTTGTCTGTCAGTTTAATCCAGATATGGTCTTTTTAAAACTTTCTCTGTAATGCTGGCATTCACAGCCCTGTCCTTTCTTATGTTGTTAGTAGTGACCTTAAAACACATTTCTCATGTAATTATTTTGTGTTCTAGTGCTCTATTCACTGTCCATGTTTGGCACTGATAGCATAAAGTAGGGATGAAGATGATATTAAACATATGCTGTTTTGCTGGAAGGAAGACATCTGTGTCTAAAGGGGCTGGTAGGTAACAGAATTTGCCTTCTGTACTCTGGCTTCTATCTATGCATCGAGTGTGCGATCTTCCATAAATATGCTTCCTAGATATTTAAATTCTTGTACTTGTTTGATTGTAGTACCGTTAACATAAACGTTCTCATTACGTCAGTTTTCACAGTGTTTATTCTCATATCATACTTTTTGCAGGGTTGATGTAAGCAGTAAATTTGCTTTTGTAACTTGGTGATGTAGTAGATAATGATTGTAGAAAACATATTCACTGCTTTCTTCAGTGTCTGAATTTGTCTCCTTTGTAATTCTATCCATGTAAGTAATGAATAGCAGTGGTGAAAGGACACATCCTTGTCTAACACCTGAAGAGACTGGGAACCAATCTTCATTCCTTATGCTGTTCTTACTGTGCATTGACTATCTTGATAGAGAGCCATGATGTTATCCAACAGTTAGTCATGAATACAAATCTTGGCTTGTCTAAAACTTGTTTAATGTTACAAGACTACGTGTTAGTTGTAGCAGATTATAAGACTGTAGGTGTTAAGTATAAAATATTGTCGGTGTACTTGTCAAATAACTGTTAGCTATTCTTGGTAATATTAAAAAGGATCCTGACTGCTATTATTATTTTACTTTGCAATATTTACTCTTTTAGTCCTGGACAGTTGATTGATTGTCTGAAACTTGTGTACCACAAAGTGAGTGGTCCTCAGAGCACAGTCTTAAAATCTGGCAGAGTTGAAATAATAGAACTATGGGACAGAATTCAAGTACCAGATGGGATAGAAAGGGTTAGAGTGACAGAAGATTTGGACATATTCATTTAGTTAATAATGATATAATGCATAGAGAAATTGACAAATGCATTCACTAGAACTCAGCATGTTTTTTATTGTCGTAGGGTTATGGCAGCAGGTCATGTACTCATAAGGGGTTGCTTCTGAGTTTACATTCCTAGCTATATAGTAAACAGTGTTGAATACTACCTTGTGCAGCATCCTGAAGTTTACATTCCTGGCTATATAGTAAACAGTGTTGAATACTACCTTGTGCAACATTCTGAAGTTTACATTCCTGGCTATATAGTAAACAGTGTTGAATACTACCTTGTGCAACATCCTGAAGTTTACATTCCTGGCTATATAGTAAACACTGTTGAATACTACCTTGTGCAACATCCTGAAGTTTACATTCCTGGCTATATAGTAAACAGTGTTGAATACTACCTTGTGCAACATTCTGAAGTTTACATTCCTGGCTATATAGTAAACAGTGTTGAATACTACCTTGTGCAACATCCTGAAGTTTACATTCCTGGCTATATAGTAAACAGTGTTGAATACTACCTTGTGCAACATCCTGAAGTTCACATTCCTGGCTATATAGTAAACAGTGTTGAATACTACCTTGTGCAACATTCTGAAGAAGTGTCTTCTGCTGTGACGAAATAAGCTACACTAGGTAGCAGTACTTGTAGCCTTAGTAACTAATATCTTAGAATCTCTAATTGCAGGGAATTTTAATAAGTTTATTTGTTTCCTGCCATGTTCCAGTCAGAGCTTTTTAAATTGTTTATGCATGTTTTTCCTTCCAGTATGACTCCCCACTACACATTGTCCATTCTTATGTTACTCTTGTTTTTATCTGTTAATACTTATTTAAAATCGTCTTTACTAATCTATCTAGTACAGGCACCAACTTGAAAAGTTTGGTAGTCCAATTAATCAAACTAATTCTTCTTTTTCAGCATCCCGAGCCCTTGAGATACATTGCTGCAGGCATTACCCTCCTCTCCACTCGTAGCTCTGGCTGACCTCTTTCCAGTTGGTAACACCTACAAACTTATCGAAGTAATACATGTTTAAAATATATTTAAAATAAACCAAAATTCACCTTAGGGTCGATTTCATAATAGTACTGCTGGGTTCGGATCCACCGGGAGACCAGATGGTCACGAACCGTGTAGGCTAGGGAGAAATAGTAGTCCTGTACCGTGGCCACATTACGGTCTTTGACCAGGGTGTAATGGAGGTGCCTGTTGAACGATTTCTTGATAGTAGCCACATTTTCTAAAGGCGCGATCCCTCTAATACTGATCTGTTTGTGCCTTTCGTTTTCTGTCATCTTGTCCCAGCTGGAAGTTTGGAGGAAGACTGTCCAAACTTGCGTGCGGGAGGTGTTAGGGCGATGTTTTCAGTGGAAACAGCGACAGGCGGTTCCGTGGATTTCGGCTGCAACCCATGGACGTCACCTTGGCGTTCAAGGTCGGTCATCCCTACTCTCTACTGCCAGCTGGTAGTCTCAAATCTCTCTTCTTCTTCTTCTTCTTCTTCTTCTTCTTCTTGTATTTTCAGTCTTGTTGCAGGACTTGAGTTTTGTGTGCACATCCGTTTTACATATCTGACTTATTCACATGTAGACTGGTGGTTCGCCGCCTCTCATGTAGATGCACCCTGACTTCGAAAGAAACACCCATAATTAGTATATTTTGTCGATGTGCTTGTTGAAATGGGGAGAGGCGGTGAGTCTATCGCCCCCCCCCCCCCCCCCCCCCCCCCCCCCCCTTTCCACAATGGGACCCTGGAACCCACACGAGTAGTATCCAGCAATTGAAAAGCTGAAAACTGTACATATCCTAATTATAACTCAGAAGTGCTGAGCAGAATATCTCTGATGAAATGACTGTTTTAAATAAGTGCGCTACAACCACCTGCGGGTGGTGGATTCTTTGCAGTCCGTTGCTCTCCTCGCATCTTGCTAATAGATTATCGATCGTCTTCCAGTTTCTCTGCCTCGTGCATTTCCATATCCTTGCGGTTTTAAATGTGTTAACTAAACAGTTATTACAACTGAGCAATAAGTATACAAACCTTATTGAGAATTAATAACAGAACACGTTAGGTGTTTCTAGCCACCGACTGGTTCCTGTGATGTGAATCTGAAGAGCCAATATAAAAAATCTTGCCGCTGTTGGAGAGGGGAATGACTGCTGTGTAATCAACATGAAAGCTGAGATGACGCTTCGATATCAGGTTGAGAGGAAAGTATTTTTCAGGGCTCGGATGTTAGGAAGACAAGCTGAACGTCAACTCACTAGACTCAATGATTAGGATTCAGTCTCCAGTTTGACTAACGAACCAGCAGCGGGTAACAGAGTGAGTGGAAGTAACAATCGTTAACGCCATAATCGATCAGGCAGTCTCATGGAGGATACAGCCAGTGGACTGTTGTGAAGTGAATCATCACCTATTCTTTTCTAGACCACAACATGTGAGCATGTCCGCTGAATCTGAATGTCGACCTCATCTTGGAGTGACATTTGATAAAAGGCTCACGTATAGCACATGCACAGAAAATGTAGAAGGCAAGGCTAGCAAACGATTTGAAAAACTGGCAGGTACATGTTACGGAGCAAAGGTATTAACTCATAAACGTATGTAATGGAGCGATAAGACCGCATCTGAAGTTTGGTGCAACAGCGCGGTCATCAGCTGCTAATTCATATCTAAAATTAAGCCCTTAGACTCATCACAGATCCATAAAAACGGCAGCAATCCTGGAGTCATATTGAAGAGAAACAAACTATGATCCAGATGGAGAAGTTTAACCGTATGCAGTCACACCTAATGAATGCAAGATGAGATGTCCTAGCGTCTCAAACGTAGCAGCTTTGTCCATCGCGGGAAAAGACTTAGAAGACAGTATCAAGCATATTTACCCGTCTATCCCAATGTGTATATAAACCCACGACCACTGAAACCAACCCTATATCCTGTACCTTGGGAGCAAGTCAGCGACACAGTACAGTTAATGACTTCAGTCATTGGACTCACAGCTAGAGATGAATCCAGTGACCTTCAAAAACGAACAGCCGCTCTTGGCATGGTCCAGAAAAACTAAACCGAACAGTCGTGGATGCATGCTTACACAGGTGGATCTGCTTATACAGATGGATCTGCTTACACAGATGGATCTGCTTACACAGATGGATCAGCAACCAGTGCAGTTAAAAATTGGTGTGCTGGCGTATTTATTAATATCCAGACAACCACTGCCACACAAAGTATATACCTACTGGAAATTCTGATCCAAACTCATAGCAGAGATCCCAGCACTAGAGCAGGCTGTCAAAATGTTACACAACACCAGTTCTGACTGCCACCGAGTGGTCATCTTCACCGATGCGCTATCGGTGCTCAAAGCCCTCAAGAATGGTAAACTCCTTCACCTGAGATCTGAACTTGGCAAGGTGGCTGCCCAAAAGTGTATTGTACTCCAGTGGGTCTCATCCTACTGTAATAAGAAGAAACTTCACAGGGGAGCATGTACAGCAGGGGTCTACCAATCATCAGTAGAAGTAACCTCTCGTCGACAAATGTTTCGGCCCACGAGCTCCTAGACATTTTCAGAGAGTGGGCCCACCTGAGTTCATGAGGCTCAGGGTTGATTTTCTCCTGCTGCACGTATTACCGGATGTTCTCGGACAGGGACAAGACGAAATTGGTGACCTTGCAAACGGTACTGTGAGATACTGTATTTACATAGTCGCTGGTATAGCATGAATCGAAACCGCAGATAAACTTGCCTCAGAAAGGGGCAGAATGTGAACAGGAAGAGAACGCAGAAACCTACTTTGAGACGTAAAGTATCAGAAATGAACAGTCTTGCCAAAGATGACTCTAGCCACATAGTTGACGTTTTGTATGTGTCTCTTATGTGATGCTCATCGATATACTTTTCGTTCGGTTTTATACCACTTTCTTGGCCGGCACTATTCTACGCTTCAGGACAGAACATAACACATTTTAACAAACACATGCACAGGCTTCGACTATGTAGTTCACCATTGTGCCCTTGTGGGATATGTGTGCAGACTGCAGAACATGCCCTGCAAGAGTGTCCCTTGTACAACCAATTAAGAAGGAAATACTGGCACAGTGAGACGACACTGTACTCAAAGTTGTATGGAACTAAACGGGAAATCCTAAAAACTTCTAAGTTTATCATGAGAACTTGTCTATCAGTGTAAATCAGAAAGCGAACACAGGAAGAAGATGATGATGAAGAAGAAGAAGAAGAAGAAGAAGAAGAAGAAGAAGAAGAAGAAGAAGAAGAAGAAGAAGAAGAAGAAGAAGAAGAAGAAGAAGAAGAAGAAGAAGAAAAAGAAGAAGAAGAAGAAGAAGAAGAAGAGTGTCAACCACATCCTCTCGTCACATCTCTCCAGACCCTAATGATATATTTGTGCTTGAAGTGAATGTTCCAGCAAGGAGTGACTAGGTGATTTGGCCTACACTCAATACTCAGAGAAAAGGCAAGACTGACATACACGCAGACTGCTACTGGAAACTGTTGGCCCTCATCGGAATTAGAACTCTGCGTTGGCTACTGAATATAGGGACGGGACGCCTATGGGAATTCACGGGTTTTACCGTGTCCTTTCATTACTGAAGTTAATGATATTTAATGAGACAAGTAACGATTGCCAACTTTGTTTCGATTTATATCAACGTCCTAGCCTCTTTTTTAATCAAGCAACTTAAGGGAGACCATTCCCATGTCGTTGATGTTGTAAACATGGCTACCACCACACGAGTTCCCAAACAGAAGAAGAAGAAATCGGGAGGTCAGAAGAATATGCACAAACGTATTGCAGATGACATTAATAGCGAAGATGAGAATGAGACGGACATTGAAAATCTCATGACTCCTGTAAGAGTATTATACAATTTATGCATACATTTAATTCATAATTAAAATTTCATTCGGGCTGTGCTTTCGTGGATTTGATTGATTTGTTGGTCACTTACTTATACGACTACTTCACAACACAACACTCACTAGTCATGTCAGTATCTCAGTTTGCAGTCATTTAAAAATATTACTGTAGATAGTTTAAATAATTCAGCAGTAGGAACTTAAGATTTTATTAACTTGCATGGCTCTGTTGAGGAGCAAGGTAATGGTGTATGTGATGCCGAGATGGGGTTTCATAGCTATAGGCTATAGCAAAGGCGAATGGACGTCGCCTAGTGCAGCAAAGCCTTGCATATATCACAACGTCTAGTTTAAGAATGGAGGTGGAGGCAGTCTCTGCTGCATTCTCACTGACTTGAGAATCAGCTGTACACTCATGCTGTGATTGTAACTGACTCACAGCATCACAGAGCATGTTGAGAAAGGTGAAAACAGGCATACTTCGTGCATAGTCATAGTGGCAAGCATCACTTCAGAGGGCCTGGGTAGTTAGCATCCTTTGGATATTTCTTCAGGTGTGTTGGGAAATATGCAGGCAGATAGACTGGCTGGCTCTGCTCCACTTGATGGTGATTTGATGTATGACAAGTTAGATATTGTGAGGGCCCTTTGGAAGTGAGTGAATTCAGTGAACAATGCGGAGGCACAGATAGATCATTACGGTCTAAGGAGAATGGCGCTGCGAGGAGTTACCAGGGGATCCGCCAGATGCTCAACACCCAGGGGAAGGCTGAGATAGATATACAATAGGATGGTTACTGGTGCCATCGGAATTGGAACTCTTTGCTTGCTGCTGAAGATGGGGACTGAGCACTTATGGGAGTGTCCCAGACTATGTGATGTCGATTCCTAATTCAACATTAACTTGAATATGTAAACCCATAAAGTGAAATGGTTTGTATATAAAGTAGGGAGTTCAGTCAAATTTTACATAATATAAAGTGACCCTTTTTAGTTTTTTATGACACCTTTTGATAATTGTTACTAATGTTACGATTGTAATTGTCACATCAGATCAGGCATATATGGTGTTAACCCAGTTAACGTTTGATTGGATGATGTAATGTACATCACACTGTACACCTTTATTATCCAAGGACATTTTCCTGAGATCTTCTTCTTCTTCTTTCGTTCGCATGAAATAAATTGTCTATATCTGCAAAGCCGTCTCTAGTATGAATTTCACTGTCTTTTGTAATTGACTAAGCGGCCCGTAAAGTTTGACTTCCACAAGTGTCTCTTTTGGCCAAAGGTTTTGCCTGAAAGCGTTGAATCTGGGACAGTCTTGAAGGATGTGATCTGTTGTTTCGGGTGCCAGTCCACAAGTACACATGGCTGATTGGCCAATCTTAAATTTGTTGTACATGTGGGAGCGAAGACGATTGTGCCCTGTTCTAAGGCGAAGGATAATGACTTGCTCTGGTCTGTACATAATATGGTAATCATCTTGTGCCAGTTTCGGTGGCATTCTGATTGATTTGATCATTCTCTTCTTCTGTTGATAAGAGACTGGTATGTCAGGTTGTTCTTCAGTTGCACCTTCCTTAGCTAGTTTATCATCCTGAGATCTGGTTTTAGCTTTGTGTTGACCTGAAGTTTCCAGGAATCAGGAAACTCAGATTAATTTAATTATTTAAAAATTATGTTTCAGTTCGATGTAAATTTAATCTTAACCAAAAACCTTTGGGCCAACCGGCAGGCTTGTAGTCATTTTGTGTGCAAAAGTAAAAAAAAGTAAATTTGTGTGTGCCATTGTAAAATTGTCTAATTAAAGAAAAGAAAGAAAATTCAGCACAATTAGATAGGTATTGAACAGTGCCATCTCAACGCACACTTTAACAGTAAGTTAATTTATTAAGGCTTATGTGTAAATAATAAGTCACAAAGAAATGCTGACAGCACAAACATTTTAGAACTTGAGCCATGTAACTTAAATTGTATAACTTTATTTATTTGTAGACATGACTTTAACAACTACAAGATATATATAATATCATGGGCTGTGTTTTATATGCAGCACAGGTTTTTGCAGAAAGTAATAAATATGTATGAACATACATTAAACCCATTTCTCTGATCATTGTGCTATTGTCTCTTGATATCCTAGTGACCTAGTTGTGACAATATAAAAAAAATTAAGACAGCGCAGTATCTTATTTCTGGTCTGTGTCATTTTGACTGTTGTATTTGATGATACTAGGAAGACAAATTGCTGCTGAAAGATGTTCATGATGATGAAGAGGTCTCCGATGTGGAAATTGATGCCAGTGGAAATGATGTTTCTGAATCTGAGGTGAGATTTTTGTCTGCCTTTCCTGGTTTCTTGTCCTTTACCTTAGGAGACAGTAAGACCTCAACTAATTAGGGGTTTTCTTCGAAGTTGGAGTGCATCTGCTTGAGAAGCAAGGAAGCAACAGTCTGCATACAAATAAGCTATGGAAACAGCATAAAAATGAATAATTTACAATGATTTATTCATTCAGTGGACTTGAAGTTGACCACATCACTCACTGACTACTGATGGGTTGATAAAATACAGTTCTAGCTCCTGTCTGTCCAACACCGCATTACGTCTCAGAGCATGGAAAGGGCCCTTTCACAAGATTCCCTAACTGGTACCAGCACAGAATATCAGGAGTTAAATGGCATGACAGAATTATTTATGCCGAAATTAAACAGAAAACTAAACAACTTCCACTGAATCTAGAATCGTAGCAAAGATACTGGCAAAGAAAGTAGACATACCGAGAAAAACTCATATTATTATTACTAGAATGTCTTTGTACCGAAACCTACAGGGTCAGGGAAATAAAGTAAGATGCTAAATACAGAGGAGAGAAAAAGTCCAATAAAATGGGGAAATCATGAGGGAAATACTTCATGTTGGGAATAATAGGGCAGCTTGGGGCAAGTTGGTTGGGTGGAAGCCAGTGCTCCACAGGGGAGTAAAGGGCAGAAGAAAAAGTACTGATTGGGTGATGTGTGATCAGCACAGCAGCTTTTACTTTCCTGAACTTTTTCAGCTATCCATTAAAACTGGCAGCCAATAAAACTTATAGATGAAAATTCAGTTACAGTACCCCTCGGTTGACAGTCTGTGCTAACCATTGTGCTACAGTAACTCCTTATATTACACATATCTGTCTGTAAACTGTTTGTATATGTTGTCTACAAAATCTACATTATTCATGGCCTCTTCATGCATAAGCTTTGTTTTAGATCTAGTTAAATCCAATTTACTTTGTTACACCCCTTCCCCCACCCCCTTCTGGTGTTGTTGTTGTTGTTGTTGCTTATATACAGAACATTGATGGTCTACTCAACACTGATAAATTAAGTCTGAGCCAAACAGCTCTATGCCTGTGTCCTAAAGCCAAACAGCTCTATACCTGTGTCCTAAAGCCAAACAGCTCTATGCCTGTGTCCTAAAGCCAAACAGCTTTATGCCTTTGTCCTAAAGCCAAACAGCTCTATGCCTGTGTCCTAAAGCCAAACTGATCCCAGAGCATGCCTTGCAAGACTGTCCTCTCCTGGAGATACTGCAAAGTAAAGTCACACCCAGCAGAAAAATGTAAGAAATGCTGACTTCACACATGAAGAGTTAGCAAAAAAATTCTCACACAAGTATATTCTAGTATCTTTACAATTTGCTGCCATTTCTGTACCTTTCAGATTTCCAGTTTTCTACAGAAACTTGGAGTTGAAAAGTACAGACCCCATCCAGCACCAACACCAGCAGAAAAACAGCAGAGCAAAAATGTGAAAAATAAAACCAATGTAGACACAAAAGTAGATGCTGAGATATTGAAACAGGTGAAGAAAAACAAGAACACAAAACCAGGCACACAAGATGGGATTACTGAGCATATGAATGCAAGCAAGAATGAAGTCAGCAAAGCTAAATCTGCGGTGAACCCGGTGGAGGTTCAGTCTGTGATGAAATTCCTGCAACTACACAAGACCAGAAAGCATTTACTTTTGAAACCTGGAGAAATGTGGAGAGAGGAGCAGGTATGCAGTTCTAGAAATGTGATGTTCATTTTATAGAGTTCTTGTTTGACTTTAAGAATAGCGTGTTTTCTGTGTAGACATTTTGGGGGGTGGGGGGGGGGGGGGTCTCAATTTTTAGAATCATCATTCTGTTGTGCTGTTTTACACCACCTAGGATTCACAGTCTATGCAGTCCTCTCAATATCGTGCCCTTGGTCTCTCACCAAAACATTCATCTCAGGGTTGCTTTTGGATGTCCTTATTTCTCCAGCCCATTTATTTCCCATTTCACTGCTTGTTTGGCAGTCATTTCTAGAATAGTGTTTATTATATATATGGTTATGAGTCTAATATCTAATTTTATGTTTGATTACAATAATGTAAATTGTGATACCCCAGGAGATTCATAACCTGTCAACCATGTCTTTCCTAGTTGTTGCTTCACATGGTTGTATTTTTGTGCTTGTTTCTTTGACTCACTCCTTTATAGAAAAGATCGTTGTTTGGCCCAGGATGTTGGTATTTAAAACAAACATGGGATGGATCATTACAATGTGAAGAGAATGTTGTGGTAGTGAGTTGCCAGAGAATCTGGCCAGCACTCTGCACTAGAAGGACAGACAAGACGGACATATAATCAAACTGCAACTAGTACCATGAGACTCTTGCGATGGCTGCTGGTGACAAAGACAGAACTTATGATGGATATTTCCTGTTGGTTTTTGACTCACCTCAGAAAAGAATGGAAAAAAACAGTTGAGCATTTCTCAGTTCACCCCTTGGTTTACTTGAGAAATAATTTGGCAGTATTGACTGGCATTCCTGGGAAGGCTAACCCGGGCACAAAATGTCTGCAGAAGTCAGATGTGTCGGCAGAAAATCGCAAATATCACAGCCATGTTGTAAGCGAGCACAACACATTTGCGTCTTTGGATGACCCCAGAAGAAATAAAAGAAGATTGGCATTGATATAGGTAAAGTAATGGAGTAAATATGAGTTTTTTCTTTTTAATTTCAGGCGCTATTGCCATGGCCTCAGTGGTTTCCTGACAGTTTATATTTTTCTGGTATTACTTGTTTTATAGGCTCAGCAGTTGCCAGGAGGTCCTCCTGATGAGAAACTGACACAGGAAGCAGAAAATCTGGCCAAGAGGCTTCTAGAGGAGGAAGTTGCTCTATATTCTAAACGTGAGTAGACAGCTGCGGTAGAATGATAACACTACTTAAGATAGAGTATTACTTGTGTGTCCTTTACAGGACATTGCAGAAGCAACCGGATCATTTGTTGTTGGGTGCTGGTGGTTTCACTAGGACATTGCAGAAGCAACCGGATCATTTGTTGTTGGGTGCTGGTGATTTCACTAGGACATTGCAGAAACAACCGGATCATTTGTTGTTGGGTGCTGGTGGTTTCACTAGGACATAGCAGAAGCAACCGGATCATTTGTTGTTGGGTGCTGGTGATTTCACTAGGACATGTTATGTTCATTAGTTTGCCATTGCTGCCTGAATGGTTGGTTCTCAAAACTGCTGTTGAAACCTACACAAGTGGGAGGGGGTAGGGGGTCAACTGCCAAATTATCTGCACCTGGGATCGAACCAGGAATTACGAAATGTAAGATGGGCTCTCAAGCCCAGTTTGTGACTCTTGAATAATAAATTTTTGTTAATTCTTCCATTCTCTTCCTCTGGTTTCTTAGATAGAGTTTCAGAAAAATTTTTTTTTTTTCAAAAAATTTAGAAAGGGTCTTTTTTAAAGATTCTTACAGAGAAAAGGTGTTAAAATATATGAAACATAACAGTGTATACTCCTACTTTGTTACAATTAATACATAATCTGTGCACTATTAAATAACCAGAAGTAATTGACAAGAATAAATATCGAGTATTTAAATAGAAATAAACTCTCATATAACCTTATAGCCTCATCTGAATAGGACTGCCGGTGACACCTGGCTAGTATTATTGTTATGGGGCCCTAGTTATAACTTCTTTAGAGGTTGAACGGGGTATTTAGAATCTGCCTTGTTAGTCTGACGTCCAGACTGAGATTTAAAAAAACTCTTAGGATGTATAGTAAACCTGTAAGTAGCAGCTCAGAGGGGACAGGTTGATGGATCTAATCCAAATGAGTTGAACAATATCTTCTTGTTGTTTAAATTACTACTGCTCTGCGTGTTGGTTCCGGGACCCCATTGTGGAGAGAACAAGAATAGACCTACTGCCATGTCTGCTTGAGACTGAACAAATGAACTTTTTTTTCAAAGGGTCACAAATTAGGCACACAGGCCTGTCTTACATTCAGCCATTCCAAACTCCCATCTTTCACACAGCAATTGTATTTCATCAATAAAGCATGCTATGTTCATGTAATAATATGCATATTATGAATATCAAGTCAAAAACAAAAGCAAGGAACCAAGAGTCTACGTACAGATAAGCCGTATCTATGAAACAAATGTGCGCTCTACGTTTACTTTCTGGAGCAAGACTAATGTCTACATGATGCAAACACCCAGAACTTGCCCCGAAAACTACCACTAGTACTGTGCTACTAACTTAGACTGCATTGTCTTTTTTGTTTTCCTCAGAGAGAGAGCACAGCAAGCGTTCAGAGGCCAGGTGGTTGAAGACAGTTTTGTCTTCAGGGACACTGTCAGACAAGATGGCCGCCTTGACACTGCTGATACAGGAGTCGCCGCTGCACAATCTGGCCAGTGTGGACTCACTGATTTCAATGTCCAGAAAGAAGGGAAGGCGAGAAGCCATGATGGCTGTTGGTAAGTTTTTGAAATAAAAATGACACGATCACAGTTTGGTTAATAAAGATCAACAAATAAAGTAAAGCCATAAACTCTTTATTGCATTGGATTTTGTGGATGTATAGTGCTAGTGCCCTATTTGACACACTTGATGTGTGGTAGATTATATGGTCAGTATAATGCTGGCTGCCTTTACTTCTTGGGGCATTTCATGGTACCCATTTGAAGCTGGATTAGCTTTGGATTAGCTGTTATAAAACAGTTCAAACTTCTTTGTCTCCGTTTACCTCATTGAGGTGCTGGGATGAGATGAAAAATGTTCTTTGTGCTTTGTAATGCGTTGCCTAAGTTGATCTTCTTTTCTGTGGTACTTACCAAGCAAGTAAATCAAACAGGACCATGGATTGAAGGTAGCCACAGCTTCCAGAGCACTAGCATAGGCAGCTGAACAAGCTTTTTTTACAAATCAGGTAAGATCCCAGGTGTGGTTTCAAGAGATTCATGTGAACAAGCAAAATTATTCTTCATATTCCTGATTTACAAGGCATCATACTGCAACAGAATCTCTTCTTTCCATTTCTTTGTTGATAAAATTGTGCCAGTCTGTTATATGTGATATTTTTTAGATGTGGTTCTGTGCACCTTCACTGTTTAGATGTGGTCCTGTGCACCTTAATTGTTAAAATGTTTTTTTCTCTGTGTGGTTTCTTAGGTCCCATTGGAGGTGGGGGGGGGGGGGGGGGGGGGGGGGGGGGGGGAGAGTGTAAATGCCGACAGGAATCCTTTAATTATAAAAGAGACGCAGATCTTTACCCGCACATGTTTTTTGTGTGACTCAATGAGTAGGCTCAGGAAAATAGAATTGGGCTGGGTCTGAAGACAGTGGTTGGCTCTAAGGTGGTTGGGGCTGACACATATCTCATATTCGTGCCAGAGCACACAGACGCGCAGGGTGGATGGGCCATGCTGACAGACTGAATGCGCAATAAGAAGTGAGACATTTGCGAGAATCAGGCGATGACTATGAATCTGCAGCCATGACCAGACTGCAAGAACACCATGTTAAAAGAGGTGTAGCCAGACAAGAGCACTATGTTAAAAGAGGTGTAGCCAGACAAGAGCACTATGTTAAAAGAGGTGTAGCCAGACAAGAGCACTATGTTAAAAGAGGTGTAGCCAGACAAGAGCACCATGTTAAAAGAGGTGTAGCCAGACAAGAGCACTATGCAAGAAGCCAACGAAGAATAAGAGCCGACACAGAACATGTCATTAACCGCATCACGTTGTGCGATTTACTGAGGGGGGGGGGGAAAGGTCTGAGCAGTTATGGACTGAATGGTTTGATGTGCAGGGAGATAATCTGTTGACTAGCTAACTAATCAACATGCTTAATGCCCTTGTAAAAGTGAACACAGACAAAAAAAAACAATGTTTTGTTCATGTTTAGATCAGTGTTAGTTACATTCTGGATAGAGAGCTGTCAACTGTCGGTTAGTTCCCCTTCTTCAGGTAAAATAAGTTGCATCCCCTTTACAGGACTTTGCAGAACTAACCCAAGCATTGTTTATCTGTTGTGATTGTTCTAGGCACATTTTGTATTCAGTAGTTTGCCATTGCTTTCTGAAGGTCAGCTACCACTGTCAAAACCAACACATGACAAAACGTCAAACCCTGCACCCGGACATTAAGAAGAGTGTTCGCAGTGCCTAAGCCACAGACGCCGACAGTCAGTACTGAGACCAAATTAGCATATCTCAGTCTCCATGTTTTGCTTGATGGTATTATAAAATAATGTGTCTCAGAGTATTATTGTTCTCTGCAAATTTTTCTGCCACATTCTCTGTATATTTAATTTCTGCATGTGTTTTATTCTAATCTTCTCTGTTTAAAAACTTCGCTAATCTGCTCTGTATATTTCTCTGTAATCTTCTATGTATATTTTCTCTCTCACCAGCAACCCATCTTGAAGTTGTTTGAAGTCACAAGTGGGAATGTTGATGCCAGAGACAAGCTTCTAGTCATGTGGCATTTTGAAGCTCTTCTCAAGAAAAGATACGCTGACTTCATAAAAGCATTGGGGGTAATGTAACTTGTTATCACTTCTTGTGTTAATAGATATCTTACTATTAGTCTGTCCTGGTTGCTTTTGAGTTATGTCTTGAAAAGATGTGTGTGTTATGTTTCTGGAAAATGGGCACTTGTGTAGCCTCATATTTAAAAGTGAGAGGAATGACTTCATGGCACATACCCTGTATGGCTCGGTCCTGTTTCTCAGAATGGCTTTCTGCTTGCAGAGAGTGTCAAACAAAGCACAAACTCCAGGGATTGCTATAACTATTGTACTCTTGAACTAAACATTACAGTCTATGAAACACCCAGAACTTTCGGAGTCTGAGAAAATTAACTTGACCACTGTGCCATGAGACTCCAACCTCTTTTTTTATGAATCTGCAGTTCTAGCCTTGTTGCACAACGTAGAACCGAATGCAGGAATATATGGGGAACCGTATGTGACATATAATGGCAGAACAGGACAGTGGTGGGAACGGCTATAGTCCTGATCCCCAGGTTAACCAGCATGGTGTCCCGGTCAGCAACTGTTAGGAAGATGTTGGATCAAACGCTTATGTGTCGCAATTCACCTGGATCTACCACCTTTTAGGGCCCTGTAGAAAGTGAGGGGAGGGGGGGGGGGGGGTTCCTCAAGCTTGAGGATTTAGTGACCGGTGACTTGTACAGGTTAAGAGTTTTATTTTTGCCCCTGACGTAAAGAAAAATCCATCACCTTGATAAAGGTAGAGCCTAGGTTTCCTCAATGAGAGCCAAGCATTCTGAGCTTCTTGACCAGCCACAACTCACGGCTCTTGAATGCTTACACAAATGTAACAATTTGCAGAAGGAAATATGTAGGTGGACAAGGAGTTTCAAGAGGCCCTTTCTCTGATGAACATGTTCAGTTAACATTTTTGGCACACGATCTTATATGCTAGGCACATTCCAGACATAGAATCAAATCTGAATTAGTTTGTTTTTTCTTCTTTATGTTTTTCTGTTGTGTATGAATGCCAGACTTTTTTGGCACACGATCTTATATGCTAGGCACATTCCAGACATAGAATCAAATCTGAATTAGTTTGTTTTTTCTTCTTTATGTTTTTCTGTTATGTATGAATGCCAGACTTTTTTGGCACACGATCTTATATGCTAGGCACATTCCAGACATAGAATCAAATCTGAATTAGTTTGTTTTTTCTTCTTTATGTTTTTCTGTTATGTATGAATGCCAGACTTTTTTGGCACACGATCTTATATGCTAGGCACATTCCAGACATAGAATCAAATCTGAATTAGTTTGTTTTTTTCTTCTTTATGTTTTTCTGTTATGTATGAATGCCAGACTTTTGTGGCACACGATCTTATATGCTAGGCACATTCCAGACATAGAATCAAATCTGAATTAGTTTGTTTTTTCCTTCTTTATGTTTTTCTGTTATGTATGAATGCCAGACTTTTTTGGCACACGATCTTATATGCTAGGCACATTCCAGACATAGAATCAAATCTGAATTAGTTTGTTTTTTCTTCTTTATGTTTTTCTGTTATGTATGAATGCCAGACTTTTTTGGCACACGATCTTATATGCTAGGCACATTCCAGACATAGAATCAAATCTGAATTAGTTTTTTTTTTCTTCTTTATGTTTTTCTGTTATGTATGAATGCCAGACTTTTTTGGCACACGATCTTATATGCTAGGCACATTCCAGACATAGAATCAAATCTGAATTAGTTTGTTTTTTTCTTCTTTATGTTTTTCTGTTATGTATGAATGCCAGACTTTTGTGGGCCACTCTCTTGTGATAATTCTGTTAAATGACCAAATCATCTGGTTTCCTGTTTTAAAAAAAAAAATAACCAACATTAGTTGTGCCCTGCTTGCTTCCTGAAATTGTCAATATTGAAATTTTCTGTCTTTGTTCAATTTAGAATTCCCCATAATCATATTGTCGATCTTGTTTAGTTTTGTTTTCACTATTGTTAGTGCCCAGTGGTATGGCTTGCATAATCTGGGTCGGATAATATTGAAAAGTGCTGTTGATGCAGATTGTCATATTTTTGTGTTTGTTGCAAATATTGAAATCTATAAAATAAATAGATCAGCAAGGCCTATGTATGTTTAATTTCTGCTACAAGTTGACCAGTTATGAGGTGGTGTGTGATATATTTGTTAACCTAGTAGTTACATTCATGATGTCCATATACTTGTAGTTCTGTTGACTTTGCCCTGTAAGATGGTTCTTTCCGTGTCTTCCACAGGATATGTCATTTGACACGCTGCAGGCTACCAAAGAGAAAGCATTGAGTAAGTCTGATAGTTTCCATTTGCTTTTACTAATTATTTCAGAAAATGTTTCTTTTGAAAATCTCATTTATAATATTAATTCCTGCCCATACTTTGTTTTGTGTAGGAAAATTTGCCCTGTAATAATTTTATACAGTGCTTTTGGGTTCATGAACCCAGACTTTTCTTCTGTTCCTTCACCATCTGAAAGTTCTGGTTGCTCATCCACTTCTGGACTTTATCCGTGTTCCAGAACCTCGTTTTTGTGTGCAAATCTGTTTAACAGACCTGACTTATTTGTATGCAGACTGTTGGTCCCTTGCCTCTCAAACAGGTGCACTCCAACTGAAAGAAACATCCCTAATTAGTGGTCTAACTACATGCTTATTAATGGGCAGTTGGTCTATTATATTCTCTCCCCAACAATTGTACTCCAGAACCTACAAACAAAATTTGGATGCTTTATTTATATCCTACCCCAAACAGAGGAGATCCACAGGTCATGGGACAGTCTAATATTTCAGGGGGTGGTAGATAGGCTGCATGCAGTTGTGGGACCTAGGCTGCACTCTCTCGTGGGACGTTTGTGATTTGGGGTTAGGGCCAGTTCTAGATATTCTGGTGTTGTTAAAAGCATCAGAAAGCCGGGAAACCCAGTCTTACCACTCTCTGTCATGTTGGACTGTCCTGTGACGTCATCTGGGGTAAGATATAAATAAAACACAAAAATGTGTGTCTTTTACTCATCCCTTGTCTACATTTGTGATTTCATTTTTATCCATTGAGTGTTGGATATGGCTGTTACTTGAGTATAAGAGGATCAACATCATTGCACAGGATTCCATTTTATCCTATGGCTTGATCTCTCTCTGCAAACTGCCGGCTGCCTGCCTAGAGCATCACACAAAGCACAAACTCCATAGCTCCAGTGATGATCCCCAGGGATCTCTGTAAAATTTAAACTCAGGAATTGAATGATGCAGCCGTGAAATGAACCCACAACTTTCAGAGCGCGAGGCAAATGGCTTGACCACTTTGCCACGAAGACCCAGATAAATTTATTAGTGTTTTCAGAATTCATTATTCAGTTGGTGTATTGTTGTGCACATGAAAGTCTAAAATCATCCTGTTTGTTTTGTCTTGTAAGTGCCTTTTGATCTACACTTGAAAGTCTGAATTCATCCTGTTTATTTAGTCTTGTAAGTGCCTTTTGATCTACACTTGAAAGCCTGAATTCATCCTGTTTATTTAGTCTTGTAAGTGCCTTTTGATCTACACATGAAAGTCTAATTTCAGCCTGTTTTGTTTCTGTGTCTCGCAGGTACTGTTCATCAACTTCTAACTAGTAAGCCTGAACAAGAAAATGTAAGTTTATTTAACTCTCTACGGACTTTTTAAACCACATAAGTGGCTTTTGGAATCTACTCCTTTCGGACTTTTAGCCACTATAGTGGTGCATCATAGAGACACTCTTATATTGTTTCGTTTGCTGGAAAAACGAATTTGTATGAATGTGTTTTTGAAAAACTAGAATTAGCTATACGAAAGTCTTTTCGATTGCGAAGTTTAGCGTTCTGTTTGCGTCACTTTCTTATTTGTTTTAGATTAATAACATGTGATACAATTTGTGTGTGATTTTTCCAGGATAAGGAAAAAGGTCTTGAACTGTTCATACTACTTTGTTATTGATAAATCTCAGCCGGATAGTGACAGTAATCTTGATATTATGACTGATAATGCAAGTGACAAACCTATTGGCGATAATTTAGGTTAGGATGACGTTGAACAAAATATTTCAGTCGGATCATCTCAGTTTTGATCAGCTGTTTTCCCGATTTCAGTTGTGAAACCTGACATATACAGAAATGGTCATAACATCCAAAGTATTCAAAATAATTGTTTCAAATAAAGATTAGCTGATACATCATTGAACAGAGAAGGCATGTGCATTCTTAGAATTGGATAGCAGTGTTGCTGAACAGGTAAAAAGTAAGGTAAGCACAATATAATTTTTTGTAAATAATCTTCATATGTGTCTAACATCCTTGAACATTGTGTGATTTTTAAATAATATTGTGTTGTAATACTGACACTTAAATAGTTTAGATTTATTCTGCTCCCATTTCTCTTTAATTTGATATATTATAAGTCTCTAAACAACCATTACGTTTTTTTTTTCAGGAAGGTTTTAACTTTGTCATGTTGCAGTAAAAAAATTCTGCTCAAAATTAATGCTGTCCAAACCCCAGAAACAAATGTAGTCTTGAAAGAGTTAATAATATCTTCTCAAAGTCTGTATCGTGTTGCATTAGTCATGTCCATCCATTTCCTCAGAATGGAGTTGTGTGTGCATACCTATCTTACAGATCTTATTTAGGCGTATGCAGACTGTTGGTTGCTTGCCTCTCAGGCAGATGAAGTCCCGATTTGAAAGATTGTGTTTTCTCCAGATCTGCTACACATGTTTGTGATTAAACTTCTTTCTCTGACTCCTTGACACACACACACAACAAAGAGCAAAAATACCTTTTAAAAAACCTCTTGAAAAAGTTTTTGAATTTGGCTACGAACTCTGTGGAGAAAAAGCTAGAAAGTTAACATTCTCTGTTCTCTGACATTAGACCCTGCTGCCGATGCTGGTCAATAAACGTAGAAAGTTAACATTCTCTGTTCTCTGACATTAGACCCTGATGCCTATGCTGGTCAATAAACGTAGAAAGTTAACATTCTCTGTTCTCTGACTCAGACCCTGCTGCCGATGCTGGTCAATAAATGTAGAAAGTTAACATTCTCTATTCTCTGACTCAGACCCTGATGCCTATGCTGGTGAATAAACGTAGAAAGTTAACATTCTCTATTCTCTGACTCAGACCCTGATGCCTATGCTGGTGAATAAACGTAGAAAGTTAACATTCTCTATTCTCTAACATTAGACCCTGCTGCCTATGCTGGTCAATAAACGTAGAAAGTTAACATTCTCTGTTCTCTGACATTAGACCCTGCTGCCGATGCTGGTGAATAAACGTAGAAAGTTAACATTCTCTATTCTCTGACTCAGACCCTGATGCCTATGCTGGTGAATAAACGTAGAAAGTTAACATTCTCTATTCTCTAACATTAGACCCTGCTGCCTATGCTGGTCAATAAACGTAGAAAGTTAACATTCTCTGTTCTCTGACATTAGACCCTGCTGCCGATGCTGGTCAATAAACTAGAAAGTTAACATTCTCTATTCTCTAACATTAGACCCTGCTGCCTATGCTGGTGAATAAACTGGGAGACCCAGCCATCAAATCTAAAGCCACCTACCTTCTGACTAAACTGGGTAAGCACCAAGATGTTTTTATTTTAGTCTCTATGTAGAACACTTTGTCATCTGTTTGTTTATTTAGCATGACTTGTTGACAATTCTCTGGCTATTGGGGGCATTTTATTCTAATGTAGATTTGTGTTGTTACTTATATTATTGTGATACAGTTTCCAATTGTTGCCAATTGTTTACATCACAGAGTGGAAGGTTACATCATCATTATCATCATCCTGTAACAGTGCATCATAACACTGTGTGTCATTAGGTCATTGGGTCACTGTGTCATTGGGTCACCAGTTGCTGGTGACTGTCTGATCAGCTCCCTCCCTCTTAGACGGTCAGATGCAGTGGACATCATGGTTGCATACCTAAGGCCTGTCCACTCAGTCAGGTTCTGTACCAGGTCTTTCTTGGTCTGTTTCACCTGAACTGGGCTCTGAAGTGTATTGTTTTTGAGAGGCCATTACATCTGTTTACCTGTCCATACCAGTGCATTTTCCATCTTGTTACTGCATTTAGATGAGGTTTATAGTTGCCACTGTGCTGGGTACTTATATGGCAAACCTCATCATTTGTGATGTGGTCTCTGTATGAAATGGTAATGATTTTTCTGAAAGATCACATTTCCAGTGTTTGTATTTTCTTTTTGAGTTCAGCTGAGGTTCTCATTTCACAACATCATACATGATATTTTATGTGGATCACTCATCAGTTCTAGTTGTGTATTTAATTATGATATGTCACACATTGGTATAGTATAATATATAGTACTAGCTGTACCCGGCCACACGTTGCTGTTACATAGTTTGGCTAAATGGAAATGAAAGAAAATAGAAAACGCACGTGTCTAATACAATCATTGTCTGCTCAGATATAGAGATAGTCTTTGATCCCCGCCCACCACCACAACTAAATCCACCTACTACTATCTCCCTCATCAAAGGTTTTTGGAAAAGAAAGACAATGGAAATCGCACGTGTCTAATACAGTTAATGTCGCAATCATTCTCTGCACGGATATAGCGATAGTCTGGTTTTCCAACTTTAGAACACGCACCATATAATTGTGTCTTTATATTAGTGGTCGTTTAAATGGTGTTATTAGCACAATAACAAAAATGGTTATTTGGTTATCACATGCTAAAGCTGTTTGTATTTTTATAGGGGACGGAAGTAAAGCTACAACTGTACTTGTGAATAACAAAGTAAGTCGTAAAAAAAAGAAAAGCGGAGGTAGCGTTAGTAAAATATAAACAAATTAGGCAATGAGAACTTGAAAATCAAGTGTAAAGCTCTTTAATTTCTCTTAAATTTAAGTCATTACCCCCTCCCCTCTTCCACCGACTACTGCTCTCTCCCTCTTCGAAGGATTTGAAAATCACTAACTGGCGATATTTTGTTGTTGCTGTAACTGACATTGACATCCCTGTCCATCTGGACTAAAATAGGGAGCAGGAATTGTAAAAGGTAGTGAATAGGGCTAGTGTAATATTTACCACATCATCCTTCAAGTACCAGTACAACTACTAAAATAATGTCACTGCTATCTGTGTTACCATCGGAGTAGACAGAGAGTCGTGAGCCAGAAGATTTGGTTCCGCATGGCTAGTGCTGTAGCCACAGACTGGTCAGGTTAGGATGTATAATTTCACTTGCCGACAGAAGAACGCCATAACCTTACCGGCGGTCTTCACATGAGAGCACTATGGTGTAACAGCCCTGGTGTAACAACTATTACTGCTGTTGCTACTTTAAGTGGGTAAAGCAGTTACTGTGACTTAAAGCTCTCTCAGTTAATAGTTTGCCCCCCCCCCCCTCCCCCCCTCCCCCAAATTCACCGACAACTCTTTCCCTCATTGAAGTAGTTGGGAGAAAAAAAAAAACACTTGAAAAGCAAACGAACACAGGAAAAAAACACCATAATTAGGAAATGAACGCGATTGTAAACAGCACAGCTTAAAATTCCAACACAGATGAAATAACTAAATCTAAATGAAAATAAATGAAAATCTATAAAATTTCAGCGTAACCATGCAATCGGAAAGTTTAACAATGCAATCATAAGTATGCGAAATGGTCAAATTTAATTATCAAATGGTTTACCCATTAACTTTTTTTTTTTTTTTTTTTAATATTAAGGCAACATGGCTAGTGCTGTCACCACGGCAGAGCAGATGAGGATATTATTTTAGTCCGGGGCAAAAAAAAAAATTTAACGACTGCGTATTCGAACCCAGGTCTACCGCACATGAACCCAGTGTTCTAACCATTCGACCAAGCAGCCACTTAATCGGAACAACGAAAAGAGAACTCAACTATTAGACATGTGAGTCCATACTACTGTGTCGCGATATAAACACAATTCAAAACCGCAGGCAATTGTTTTCTCGTAGACAGATACTCCAGATATATTAATGAAATAGAAATCGCACGTGTCTAACACGGTTAATGAAGTTAATGTCGCAGTCACTATCTGCGCCGACGTCGAGATAGTCCTTGATTGCCCCTCCCCCTCGAAGGTTGTTTGAAAAAAAAAACAGAAAATAGAAATCGTGTTTAATATGGTTATTGTGGCAAATATAGAGAAAGTCTTGTTTGCTGTACCACGACCTACTCTATGTATTAGTATTAGAGAAGGCGTGGGCTGCACGTAACTCGCCGGCGAATGGTAAATACGGCGCATGCGCAATTACTAACGTGGCTATAATTAGAAATCACTAAAGTTATAAATATTAGTTGCGTATATTTTGGCATAAATTGTGGTCACCTATCTCTAACAGTGACAGGTTGAATTTCAAACCCAGACAGTTCAAAATCCGGTATCACAACAAACATATCCTGAAAATTTCAGCTAAATCGGTTCAGTAGTTTCCGAGTCTATAGGGGTGAAACAAACACACAAACATTGATTTTTATATATATAGATAACCTGAAACAGGTTATTGGTTAAGCTGGTAGAAACCTGTCACTGGTAGAACTAGGATAAGCTTGTAACTACTGAAAGCCAGAACTGCCAAAAGAAATGCTAGGGCTGGTTCTGCTTCTTCTTCTTCTTCTGGACTTTTACCACTTCCTGTGTCGAGGGAGATATCAGGTCCTGCTTTGTGCTCTTCTGGTTGCTTTGACTATAGACACATCGTGGTGCTGTAGTTTCTCTGATGTTATCTTTCTATCTTGTTCTTGGTCTACGTCCCTCTCCTCTTTTGGTAAATGCCTTGTATGGTATAGCATCAGAAGGCATTCTCACCAAGTGGGCACACGATTTGATTTGCTGTCTTTGTATGTAATTTAGAATTGGTTCTGTACTGACTTTATCGTGAATGACCTAATTCCTGATTTTTATCTCTTCTGGTCACTCCTACAGTCTTTCTCAGACACCTCATTTCCATTTTGCTGGTTCTGCAACATCCTGTAAAAGAACACAGCTAACTTGTTGGTTATAATTGATGCATTATGTCTGCAAAATTTGATCTTATTGATGTTTTGTTTTGTAATCTTTAGTTGACGAGCACCCAAATATGAAACATGTGATAGTCAGGGAGGTGCAGCAGCTGTTACATCGACCAAACGTCTCCCCACGAGCCCAGTAAGGTTCCATCTTTCATTTGGTGATATTTCTTTTTGTCAGGATTTTAACAAATATTACTGAATTATTCTTAGCTGCAAAAATGTAGGCTTTTGTGAATTCTTGTTTTATATTGTCTTATTGTTTGTTTCATATGCTGATGAAGGCTTTTTTTTTACCTGTAGCATTCATTTATTGATGATTGTGATAATGTAAAGCTGACGTTCCACTTCTGTTTTGGATTGAAATCTTTCCATGGTGCATTTTAGCTTGATAATATTGGCAAATAAATTGGTTCAGAGAGAGCAACTATTTTGAACATTAAATGTATCTTCTTCTATCCCGTAAATTCATCTGTAGGTCAGAATTGTGTTATAATTAACATTTTCATAGTCAGACTTGTAATGCTTACTGCTTCCAGCAGTAGATGTAAGTATGAAAGTGTCATAGCCTTCTTTCCCTTCTGCCTGTCTTCTGCCAGTTAAATATTAGACCATGAATAAAGCGGGGATAAATGTTTCTGCTTCTGGGATTAAGCTTGCTAACCATCAATCAATATTGGCTCTGGTAATTAGTAGATCAGTCATTAAACTTACAGATGTGATTCATGGGCTGTCCTGCAATAATAAAGGGAGAAAATGAGGACTTTTGAGCTGAAATGCAATAGATTCTTAGAATATTGTGGACTAAGAGAAAAAGATGTATTGACATTCTTAAAGATCTGAACCTGAAGCGAAATATGCTCATAAACTGCATCTTGTCCCGGAAACTTTTATAATTTATCATATCAAATATCACAGTGAATTAGAAGGAAAAAAAAATAGTGGAGGGTATTGCATCAGGTAACAGTGGTCAGCCTAAAGATGATCACAGAACATCAGGCACCACAGGAAAATGCATGAGGCGAGAGAGCTGGGGAGAGACGAGGTTCCCTTCATGCGGGCAGTAATGGGAGCAAAGTTCTGTAAAGGCCCTGCTACATGATGATGATGTGTGGTCACTAACATTACTAACTTCTGTTGTTGCTGTATGTTTGGAGGTATTACAGTTTATTTTATATAGACCTGTATGACTGACTGTGAATGTTGTTTCCCCAGGTATTTCGCGATTTGTTTTCTGACACAGCTACGACTGAACCACGTGCATAGTGATCTTGCCTCCCAGCTGCTGCAGATTTATTTCTACTTCTTCCAGGTACTTGCATTGTCTTATCTGTATGTAGAAATCTTCATTGACCTGCCTCGTCTTGTCTATATGTAGAAATCTTCCATTGATCTGCCTTGTCTTGTCTATCTGTACAAATCTTGCCCAGCTCTCTAGCGTAGTTGGCTAAACCGGATTGCGCGGTGACCGGGTGACAAACATTCCTCCCATATTCATGGTAGTTACAATGGAATCAAGACCGAAAGGTTGCGATATCCATAATACTGAGCCTAAGGGTTAACAACTCATGGCTTCTGGATACTAAAACAAACAAACAAACATACGTAGAAATCTTCCATTGACCTGCCTCGTCTTGTCCATGTGTAAAAATCTTCCATTGACCTGCCTCGTCTTGTCTATATCTAGAAATCTTCCTTGACCTGCCTTGACTTGTCTATATCTAGAAATCTTCCTTGACCTGCCTTGACTTGTCTATATCTAGAAATCTTCCTTGACCTGCCTTGACTTGTCTATATCTAGAAATCTTCCTTGACCTGCCTTGACTTGTCTATATCTAGAAATCTTCCTTGACCTGCCTTGACTTGTCTATATGTAGAAATCTTCCATTGACCTGCCTTGACTTGTCTATATGTAGAAATCTTCCATTGACCTGCCTTGACTTGTCTATATGTAGAAATCTTCATTGACCTGCCTTGCCTTGTGTGTATGTAGAAATCTTCCAGGCACACACCATGTCTTGGTTCTTATGTGAACAGTTTTATTTTATTTAGGTCAGGTATCGTAACCACAATTAAAAATGAGAAGAAATAAAATTAGGAATGTAGCAATTTAATCTCAAGATTGTGAATAAGTGCACTTGACAGGGATTTAAAAAAAAACAACACATGAAAGGTGCACATCCAAAAAAGAACTTTAGGAATTCTGAAGAGAACTGTTAAGAAACCCCTGATAATGATCTAAAAGAAATATTGAAAGATGATGTCATAAAATTTACTAAAGTATTTTTAGTCGAGCTTTTTAATAATTAGAGGCACAAATGAATGTATGTGTGTATAGCTGCCTGTTTTTTCTTCTTCTTCTTCTTCGCGTTCACCGGCTGTAAACTCCACCGGACAATTCTGGTTGTTCATCCACTTCTGGATGTTCATCCACTTCTGGATGTTCATCCACTTCTGGACTCTAGTCCCGTTCCAGAAACCGAGTGTTTTGTGCAAATCCATTTTACAGGTTCCTTGCTTCTCAGGCAGATGTTCTACGACTTTAAAGAAAGCTCCAAATTAGTCGACTCTTATGACTAGCTTTGGGGCAGACAGTGGATCTGTTCTTGTTTTCCTCCACAATGGAGCCCTGGAATCCACACAGGGATGAAATAACAAGGATGGCAGAGTTTAGATTGTTCGTGTGGTTCAAGAAACTATGAGCAGTCAGATGCTATACATGTTTACAACCGGAATCATCAGTGGGTTTACTGTGTGGTATTTGAGTAGGGAGACGGAGCATCTAGAAAGTCATCCACAGAACTGAGACTATCAAGGTTGAAAGGGGAAACCACACATAAACAGCAGCAGTCAAAACAAACAAAAACCACATCAGAAAAGGGGAGTTTATTCTGGCCAAAGTGGAAGTAGGTGAATAACTTTACATTTTTGTGAAGAGGGAAAGGAAAAGATGATGAGGAACAACTCAAATAAAAAATCTTTTTAACGAATAAAGAAATGCTAGTCATTCCTGTTTTTGATTATTTTTGAAACAAAGCATCTATAGTTTTGCTAGGAGAGTTATGATGATGTTGATTTTTTATCAGCCCTGAAACAAATGCTTGTGATTTTCTTCCTAGACGTACCTGACCAAGGGTGAGATAGACAACAAGATGATGAGTGCCTTATTGACAGGTGTCAACAGAGCCTACGTCTATGCCAAGGGTAAGCATCTGTAACAGAAATCATAGTAACATACCAGGCCATCTGATCCAGGTGGTCATAGTAACATACCTGGTCATCTGATCCAGGTGATCATAGTAACATACCTGGCCATCTGATCCAGGTGATCATATTAACACACCTGGCCATCTGATCCAGGTGATCATAGTAACATACCTGGCCATCTGATCCAGGTGATCATATTAACACACCTGGCCATCTGATCCAGGTGGTCATAATAACATACCAGGCCATCTGATCCAGGTGGTCATAGTAACATACCTGGTCATCTGATCCAGGTGATCCTAGTAACATACCTGGCCGTCTGATCCAGGTGATCCTAGTAACATAGCTGGCCATCTGATCCAGGTGATCATAGTAACATAGCTGGCCATCTGATCCAGGTGATCATAGTAACATACCTGGCCATCTGATCCAGGTGATCCTAGTAACATACATGGCCATCTGATCCAGGTGATCCTAGTAACATACCTGGTCATCTGATCCAGGTGATCATAGTAACATAGCTGGCCATCTGATCCAGGTGATCATAGTAACATACCTGGCCATCTGATCCAGGTGATCCTAGTAACATACATGGCCATCTGATCCAGGTGATCCTAGTAACATACCTGGTCATCTGAATCCAGGTGATCATAGTGACATACCTGGCCATCTGAATCCAGGTGATCATAGTTCTCACATCTGTTCTGTAGCAGGAAGCATAATTAATTTGCTGACGTTTTTTGCATTCCATCATGTAAGAGTATCTAATCTCTAGGTTCAAATCGGCATCGAGGTGGGGGACTTTTTTTGCTAATGGTTAATTGTTTATAGCCATATGTTCAGTTTGGTTATAGCTTTCACACAAAACATGTAAGAACAAATAGCGTAGGCTGTTCTTCATTTGATAAAATGCAGTTTTGATTGTCTTTTTCTTGTGTGTATGTGAGAGAAATGATTCTTCAAGAAACAAATGAAAACTGTATATAGCCTTTAAAAATATAGATGTCAGTTAAATTCATTTGTATTATTATAGGCATGTTATAAGAAGGAATAACATGGATAACTTAGTGGATAATTTCTTGAAGAACAGAGATGTTTATGTGTCTCAAATACTTGCCATAGGAATGGGTTGACAAATAATGACTGGATCAAGATTAAAGTGATATCGATACACTTGTAACCTATAGGAAGAGATGCTGGCACTATTGTCTCAGGGGTGAAGGTTTCTCTTGGCCATATCTTCTGTTTATATGTTGTACAACATCTGTGCTACAGGAAAGATGCTTGTCAAGTTGATGCCCAGCTGACATATATTATTTCTGAAGATTATTGTTCATCATCAGTAACCTCTGGTAGAAAGTTCGGGTTGTTTGTCCACTCCTGGACTTTGGTCTTCATCCAGAACTTGAGTTTTGTGTGCACACCCATTTTATATTTCTGGCTTATTTGTATGCAGACTGTTGTTTCCTTGCCTCTCAGGCAGATGCACTCCAATTCTGAAGGAAACATTCTCAGCTAGTCACCTTCTATGACATACTTGTTAGTGGAAAAGTGGGCCTATTCTTTGTTCTCCAGAACCCCACACACAAAAAAGATGAATGTGATGTGTATATCCAACTGACATAGATTATCTCTTTTGCAGACAACAAGGAAGCCATTGCTGAACAGATGGATGCTATTTACAAGATCATCCCGAACGTGAACTTCCACACAGGTGTCCAAGCTTTGACACTGCTCCATCAGGTGATGGATGCCAGGTAGGTACTTGATGTTGTCTGGCTCTCTCACCATTTTGCCCTACTAGTATCTAGCTATGTAGATGTTGTACCTAAAGTTATATATTTAATGACCAGTATACATGCCTTGAGGTCTCTATCCTCTCCTTATATGGAATAGGTAGGGTGGGGGGGGGGGGGAAGGGGCACTTCCTGCTAGTTTTAGAATCATTGGTTAAATTGGTGCTTGACTTAGAGGTAGTCAGATAATTGCAGTTCAAGCTGCTTAGCAGAGGAGTCTCCCCATGATTGCTCTCTACCTGGACAAAAAAACCCACCCAGAATGTCCATGACTGTCACTTGTCAAACAAACGGACACAATGCAGTCTCAGCAAAGCCTGTAGCATACACATGCAGTAAATGCATAAGGCAGCCATCAGAAGTACCAACACAAACAGTCAAATACTAGAAACTCATTTCATAGTCCATGGAAGCAACAGTTGCAAAAGATTAATAGTTGCACACACAGTTACTCACATAAGGCACTAGGTTTTTTGGCAGCAGGCCACTCCTCTTTTTCTGAAGGTGTTCAATGTTGTTTGTTGCACAGTTAGACAGTTTGCTGTTTGGCAGTCACTTTTATGTCTCTTATCCAACATTTTAGCACCAACGCCTGTGATCGCTTCTACATGTGTCTCTACCGCAAGCTGCTGGACCCAGCACTGAAAAACTCATCCAAGCAAGCCATATTTATGCACTTGTTGTTTAAGAGCATCAGAAATGATGTGGTTGACAAAAGAACCAGGGTGAGTTATTGTGTTTTTAAAAAAGAAATGTTATGTGAATAAAGAAGACAGACAAGAGATTGCACAACTTATTTCCTAACATATTTCAATGTTTTCTGCCAGGAGGCATACCAGTGAAACAAGCAAATGAATTCTTCTCACCAAAATACAAAATCAGCCACATTGAAACACTAATGGCCTATTTGAACATGGCAGGTGTCTGTTCCTGACTTCATCTTTTTGTTTCTATAGTGTGCATGTGGCGAGAGTGAAATTTGCCAGAAAGTAAATTGTGCAACCTGTTGTCTTATTTGATAGACTGTACAGTGGGGAAACATTGCTTTGATTATTTGTTGTGATTTGTTTGCCACCAAGAGTGATATACTTTAGGAATTTCAAATGAAATCCAAATTTTGACATCATCATGTGCTCTGCCAAAGCTGGTTGTTATGGTCCTCGGCGAGAGGCCAGAGAATGTCTGAGTGTGGATTTTGACAAAATAGGGACATAGTCTTCTCAAGGTATCCGCCACCCATAACCAAGGAACCATAGAAAATATACTGCAACCTGATAAACATATAAGTCCTGTTCAGACCCTTGGCCATCTTCAGCAGTAAGGCCGAATAGGTTTATGAAAATTCCAGTTTTTTAGGCGGGTCTGTGCTCACCATTGTTATCCAGACTTGCAACATATTTTATTATTATTATATTTTATAATGGCTCACTTATTTATCTTCATTATGATAATTCTTTCAATAAAATATATTGCAAGTTAATTAAACTGTAGTTCAGTTTTTTTAATAAATTTATTCGGTAACAATGGTGAAAACAGACTGGCCTAACAAAATGGGAATTTCCGTAGACCTGTTGGGCCTTACTTTTGAAGCTGGCCGTGTTCAGAGCTCAATATTTATGTGCACAGTTAATCCCCCAGGACCACAGGACCTTGGAAAATATACTACTACTTGATAAACACTTGTCCTGTTCAGACCAGTATATATCTTTGCTTAGATCATTACATACAGTTGTATCCATGAAAGTCATTACAGTTGTATTTTTCTACCATTTTGTTGTGTTTTCTTTTTGATGTACTTTTTTTTAAAGATTACCATTCAGAATGCGCTTTAGTCATTTGAGATTATGTAATTTGTAGCTGCAGAGCTGCTGCTTGTACCTGCTGTGTTCTCACCTGTAGGTGTTATGTTGTTACCTGTACCCACCATGTAGTTACCTGTACGCACCTTCTAGTTACACCCCTTATGTAGTTAGCTGTGCCTGCATTCGAATTGTTGCTCTAAAAGTGTCTGGTACCCCTAATGTCTGTAATTTTATGTTATATATCCAACAGGCTTTCTTGAAAAGAACCCTGCAGGTGTACTCACAACAAGCACCTCAAATCATTTGTGGAGTGCTCATTCTCTTGTCGCAGGTAATTGTTAACAGTTAAAAAACAAATAACAGTGAAGCCACAAATGCTGACACACACGTAGGCCCGCCCACCCACCCTCCCTTTTCCCCCGCAAGACACATGTCAGCAACTAATTAAGGGTTTGCTGTATTCGGATGTGCTCGGCTGATGGGGCTCAGATATCACAGCCTAGCTGTACACCACAATATGACACGTCAAACACCCAATGAGGGTGAACACATGAACGACAGCATGAAGATGGGCCGGGGGCATAAGAGATACCTTGGGCAGGATAGGTAGGGGCTGACTAGCATGAAGATAGACAGGGGGCATAAGAGACACATTGGGCAGGATAGGTAGGGGCTGACTAGCATGAAGATAGACAGGGGGCATAAGAGATACCTTGGGCAGGATAGGTAGGGGCTGACTAGCATGAAGATAGACTGGGGGCATAAGAGACACCTTGGGCAGGATAGGTAGGGGCTGACTAGCATGAAGATAGACAGGGGGCATAAGAGACACCTTGGGCAGGATAGGTAGGGGCTGACTAGCATGAAGATAGACAGGGGGCATAAGAGACACCTTGGGCAGGAAAGTGCATGAAGGACCCAGTTACATTCCTGCACATAAAGGGACCTGCTACCTGATCAGTGATGTTGAGAGTGTGTGCCAAGTTATCTTGTATTAATTATGCATTTTGTTAGAATTGTCACATTTGTTCATTTATCTATAGAACTGTTCTTCTTTACATTCACTGGCTGTAAACTCCAGTGGAATTTTCTGGTTATTGGTCTTAAGTTTTGTACCAGAATTTGAAAATCTGCATCCACATCTGTTTTACACATTCTGCTTAACCTGTGTGCAGACTGTTGTCCCTTGTTTCTCGGGCAGATGGGCTCCGATGTTTGCAGGAAAATCCTAATTAGTGACCTTTTACCACAGGCTTTTTAGGAAGGTATTGGGTCTCTTTCCCCCCCCCCACTCCCCCTTTCCACAGTGGGACCTTGGAAACCCACACAAGAAATCTGCTGATGTCAAATGCTTCATGCAATGGCCTAAATGCAGTTCTCATCTTACCAGGGCAGACAGTATCTACCCAGAACTGTTCTGGGGTGAATGCCAGGAACATCTTTTGGAATTAACAGTTGCTGGCCATGTCACCTCTCATATGCCAATGTGGTCACGAAAAATGGAACTGAACACCCAATTCCCAGTTTAGATTGCTGGCACAAAAACAACGTTAGTGTAGTTCAGAGATGTTGTGTTTGCTGGCACAAAGACAAGTTTAGTGTAGTTCAGAGAAGTTGTGTTTGCTGGCACAAAGACAAGTTTAGTGTAGTTCAGAGATGTTGTGTTTGCTGGCACAAAGACAAGGTTAGTGTAGTTCAGAGATGTTGTGTTTGCTGGCAAAAAGACAAGTTTAGTGTAGTTCAGAGATGTTGTGTTTGCTGGCACAAAGACAAGGTCAGTGTAGTTCAGAGATGTTGTGTTTGCTGGCACAAAGACAAGGTTAGTGTAGTTCAGAGATGTTGTGTCTGCTGGCACAAAGACAAGTTTAGTGTAGTTCAGAGATGTTGTGTTTGCTGGCACAAAGACAAGTTTAGTGTAGTTCAGAGATGTTGTGTTTGCTGGCACAAAGACAAGTTTAGTGTAGTTCAGAGATGTTGTGTTTGCTGGCACAAAGACAGATTTAGTGTAGTTCAGAGAGGTTGTGTTTGCTGGATTGCTGTTAATGCTGGGATTTGTCTTGTATTACAGTTACTGAAAGAGAAGCCAGGTCTGCTGGATGTCAAACACATGGCAACGGTAAGTGCTCGTCTCCAAATCCAGGGTGATCCAGATGTTTTTGTTGATCTGAAGGGGATTTGCTCATATGGATTAGGTTCAGAGAAAGTAATTTGACGACCCTAGTAGGTTATTGCCTGAAATGGCTCTAGAAGGAAAGTATGGACCCCAAGAAAGTGTCTGTTTTGAGTTCTGTAAGTCGAGTAATCATTTGACCCTCTCACCCTAATCATCATGTGCCTTGCCGTCTGGCTTGGGTGATCATGTCTCTCCATAATCTACGATCTCCAGTAGCATGTATCAGTTTGTGTGCTGACAGATCTCCATGTCATGCAACAAGACTGTTGAAAATCTTCTCTCGTTGTCTTCCTCTATCCCTCCTTCCACAGATCTTTCCAGTGGTCACAACATTTTGCATTTTCCCTCTTCTCATAACATGACCGAAAAATAATGACTGTCTCCTTCTGGTGTCTGTGATAAGTTGTTTTCTGGCTCCCGCCTCTTTCTATACCTCTTGGTTGCTCTGTTAGGCTGTCACCCTGTAAGAATCTTTAAAAAATGACCTTTTTTTTTCTCTCAAAATGTTGCATATAAAAATTTTTTTTTTTTAAAAGAAGCGCATTGATAATTCTTAGTCAGTCTAACTAAAGAAACTAGAGATAGAGAAGGGGACAGAATGGGAAGTCTTGATAAATTTTTATAAAAATCCAATTTGTTGAGACTTAAAGACCAGAGAACAGATGTGCAAGCATGATGGTCATTGTGACTTTACAGCTGTGAAGTTGCTAGATAATGATTTTTGATTTCTTAAGTCACAATTTTCACGCAAAGGTATGTTTTTTTTACACAAAGGGAAGTAATCACTTCATGCAAATGGAGCATGGAGTTAACTGCTTTCCTTCCCACTGACCATGAAAGAATGTGTTTTCAGCCATGTTGGGCAAAGTCATCATGAGGTTATTATGACCAAAAAATGCATTTTTCTGTTACCATTTATATCTCAGATTTTTGATGTAAATATCATCATACTCACCAGGTCTACATACTGTATTTATAACCTGTAGCAAGACTGTTGAAGGGCCTAGTGACCAGTGCCTACAGACGTCATATTATCAAAAACCAGTAAATGCCGGAAAACTAGCTTGTACAGAATGACGTTACTTTTGGTTACCAGTGTCAGACTTGGACATTGACAAAAGAACATGAAAGAAAACTAACCAACTGTGAGATGATTTGTTTAAGAACGGCTGTAAATAAAACCAAAATAGATCGAGTGAGAAACGACATGATCACAAGAACTGTTGGAACAACGCCCATCGTGAAAGTTATTGAGAAAAAAAGAATGAAATTGTTTCGCCATCTAATGAGAATAAAACCAACGATGCCAGCAGCAAAAGTGTACACCCTGACATCAAGAGGCAGGGGAAGACCAAGAAGAATATGGATTGAAGGAGTGGCTGACACCTTGAGACTGCATAACATCATGGCACATCAATATGTTTAGATATAAATTATTAAATGCATATAAGTCTGTGGAATATAAAGATAGTTGTATATGGGAGATTGGTTTTGTTCTTGATGTTTAGAATCACCTCTGCTAGCTTCTGTCTTCACTTCCTTACTTTCTACTCAATGCAACAGGAAGGTTGGTCAGATGATGAGGAGGAGAAGTTTGTGGATCTCCCAGCCCCGGCCGAGTTCGATACACCTGGAAGCAGCAACCTGCTTAACCACAGTCGAGATATTGCTGAAAATGGCGTAGCGGTAGAAGATCACAAAGCTGCCCAGTCTGACAAGACCTCACATAAAGCCAAGGGGTCTTGGGTCCACAGGGCTAATTTTGGAGGCAAAGGTATTTGCTTTTTGAAAATAACAAAAAAAATAAAAACAAAATTTCAAGTACAAAAAGCTTGTCATTCATTCCAGCCTGCTTATTCTCGTTGGAGATATAAATGTTTTATTTTACAGTTTATTGTTACTGTTGACTATTTATTACAGAAGTGCCACTTGGTTTACGTCTTGAACATATTAAAAAGAACGCTCACTACATGCGTTACACTGCTCATGCAGAAACTGAAGGTGCTAGTTGTGCACACATACTGTCAACGCGAAGCAACAAGAAGGGAAATATGTGATGCTTGCACGTAGAATTGATCCCTTGCCACTGTCATATATATATATACACACCCTAATGAATCTTAAACTTACATTAAGTTTTTATTGTTGAAGATTTAGTTTGTAAGGATAACTTTAAGAAGCCAGCTTCAGGCCTCAGAAATGAGATATCTGAGAAAGATGGTTCAAGCGACAAAAACGGACAAAGTTCACAATCAGGCAATACGTTTTTGAAACCCGGGGTCTTACAAACTCGATCAGTCACAGATATGATAGTTTGGACATGTACGCAGAATGGGAGATAATCAGTAAAGTAGAGAAGGCCAAGAGCCAGGGTACCAGACCTCCAGGTCGACCCACAGTCCACTTGGAAGACAACACTCTAACAGTCCTTAACTGACAAAAGACTGGAATGGTACAAAGCCAGAAAGAAAACTGCTGATAGAGACGTCTGGCGATCTATCTGGCAAACCTCTACACAGCAAGGTAGAATAATATCGACTAAGTAAGTAAGGATCACTTTCATTGTAGAGTCATCTTAATAAATGTCCCATTAATTAATCACATAAAGAGAATTTCAGTATACAAAGCATGAACTCAGCAGCACTGGCGAGAACCTAGACTTATTTAAATCAGGATCACACATGCTATACATATTTTTATGTGAGCAAGTTTTCCTGAACAGCCTACTTGACCTGTTTTTAACATTGTTTTTAGATAAACAAAATGTCATCTAAGTTTTTTTCTCATTGTCTGAAAAATCATAAAACTAGAATATCTGGTTGTCATAAAAGGCAATAAATTTAGTCTTGTTTCCTTTGAAGTCGGAATGCATCTGCTTGAGAGGTGAGGAACCAACAATCTGCACACAGATTAGCCAAATGGATGTGCACCCAAACCTGAAATTATGGAACAAGATTAAAGTCCAGAACTGGACAAACAGCCAGAACTTTATGCTGGAGTTTAAATGTGGTGAATGAGTAGATATGGTACGTTTGAAAGAAGTGGGTAGAAAATATCTATTTTTATTATTTCTAGAATGTATAGCCCCATTTGGCTCTGCATATCTATTTCAGGTCAGAGTTCCGAGTATGATCCCTACAACAGAAACCCACTGTACTCGAGGGCAGAGCTTGACTGTCTGTGGGAACTAGAGCAGCTACTCAAACACTATCATCCTACCGTCAGGTTGTATGCTGCCTCCATTCTGCAGGTGAGAGCTGGCCAAACTTTGTATCAGATGACTTTCTTGCTGTTTTCCTTCGTGTTGACATATTGGAGTGTTAGCATCTCCACCTGCTGATACACAACCCTGAAATGTGATCCCCTTGTGGCTCCCCTTGTGGGTTCTGAGGCCCTATTTTAGGGGTCAAAGGAACCAAAAATCTGCTTACAAAAAAGCCAGTTCTACAAAATGGATGTGCACACAAAATTCAATAATGATAAAGTCCAGAATTGGACAGACAGCTAGAATTTTCCGCCACAATTTGAGGCCGGTGAACACTTAGAAGATAAAAAACCAAATGTGCCATTTTGTCTTCCTTAGTTCAGTAAATCAAAAGTATGCGCGTGTAATTATGCTAAAACTGCTTGGGTTTATTCCCAGATAATGGTTGGGTTATTTACAAAGTGGATGTGGCTGTGGGGCACAAAACTGTTCAGAAGTATGTTCTGAGAAGTACAGGAGGCCGGTATTCTCTTCACTACAACATCCATCAACTGCCCATCGGTGTACAGCACCGTAGGCTCAATACCTGTCATAGAAGAAGATAGTTTACATTCATGTTCCTATGTTGCTGATTTACATATTTATACATTTATGGGTGTAACATGTTTATCTCTAAGGTTCGGCCTGTGAAATCAAACCAAATACCCGGTTCAACTTCAGCTGCAGGCAATTTGGCTATAAAGGTTTTGCGTTGATTTCAGTCGTGGTATGTTGCACTGATAATTAGGAAAGCAGTGATTAATTACTGATCCTAAAAATCACCCAACAAAAACCACAGTCAGCCATGTCACACCTGTGGCCCTTTGCCAGCACACCTGCGGCCCTTTGCCAGCACACCTGTGGCCCTTTGCCAGCACACCTGCGGCCCCTTGCCAGCACACCTGTGGCCCTTTGCCAGCACACCTGCGGCCCTTTGCCAGCACACCTGTGGCCCTTTGCCAGCACACCTGCAGCCCACAGTATAAATATTCTGCAATAATTGGTTTGTTAAATGACTTCAATTAGTTGTCGTGTGTGGTTGTCATGGCAACACATGTGTCCCATACGGCTCTGGGAGACTTTCTGTTTGACTTGCCTGCTGTACAGGATATGCAGCTGACTTATTTAAATGGAGGCATGAGAATAACAGACCGTGGTGATAGCTTTTGAGACCAGCAAGGGCCACTTCTGTAATTAAAGCATGAGATTTCCAGATCCTTGTTGCCATCACATGTCTTAAAATGAAATTCTTTATGGCTTTTTTAAAAATTAAATTTAACAACTCTTTTTGTGTTTCAGAGGCTGCAAACTCACATTATAGCCACTTTAAAAAACCTGGTCCATCTGGGGTTCGTGCACTTCCTGTCAATTCTAAAGAATTCCTGGAGATTGGGGAGGAGGATGTGCCAGAGGATGAAAAATTCTTTTTCAGGTTAGTTAGATTTATGTTTATATGTAAGTGAGGTGTATAGGGAACACAACCCTGGTCATGTAGTCAGTGTGATGTCTGTTTATATGTAAGTAAGGTATATAGGGAACATAACCCTGGTCATGTAGTCAGTGTGATATATGTTTATATGTAAGTAAGGTATATAGGGAACACAACCCTGGTCATGTAGTCAGTGTGATGTCTGTTTATATGTAAGTGAGGTATATAGGGAACAACACCATGGTCATGTGGTCAGTGTGATGTCTGTTTATATGTGAGGTGTATAGGGAACATAACCATGGTCATGTGGTCAGTGTGATGTCTGTTTATATGTAAGTAAGGTATATAGGGAACACAACCATGGTCATGTGGTCAGTGTGATGTCTGTTTATATGTAAGTGAGGTGTATAGGGAACACAACCATGGTCATGTGGTCAGTGTGATGTCTGTTTATATGTAAGTGAGGTGTATAGGGAACACAACCATGGTCATGTAGTCAGTGTGATGTCTGTTTATATGTGAGGTATATAGGGAACACAACCATGGTCATGTGGTCAGTGTGATGTCTGTTTATATGTAAGTGAGGTGTATAGGGAACACAACCGTGGTCATGTGGTCAGTGTGATGTCTGTTTATATGTAAGTGAGGTATATAGGGAACACAACCATGGTCATGTGGTCAGTGTGATGTATGTTTATATGTAAGTGAGGTATATAGGGAACATAACCATGGTCATGTGGTCAGTGTGATGTCTGTTTATATGTAAGTGAGGTGTATAGGGAACATAACCATGGTCATGTGGTCAGTGTGATGTCTGTTTATATGTAAGTGAGGTGTATAGGGAACACAACCATGGTCATGTAGTCAGTGTGATGTCTGTTTATATGTAAGTGAGGTGTATAGGAAACACAACAATGGTCATGTGGTCAGTGCGATGTCTGTTTATATGTAAGTGAGGTGTATAGGGAACACAACCATGGTCATGTGGTCAGTGTGATGTCTGTTTATATGTGAGGTGTATAGGGAACATAACCATGGTCATGTGGTCAGTGTGATGTCTGTTTATATGTAAGTGAGGTGTATAGGGAACACAACCCTGGTCATGTAGTCAGTGTGATATATGTTTATATGTAAGTAAGGTATATAGGGAACACAACCATGGTCATGTGGTCAGTGTGATGTCTGTTTATATGTAAGTGAGGTATATAGGGAACACAACCATGGTCATGTAGTCAGTGTGATGTCTGTTTATATGTGAGGTGTATAGGGAACATAACCATGGTCATGTGGTCAGTGTGATGTCTGTTTATATGTAAGTGAGGTATATAGGGAACACAACCATGGTCATGTGGTCAGTGTGATGTCTGTTTATATGTAAGTGAGGTATATAGGGAACACAACCATGGTCATGTGGTCAGTGTGATGTCTGTTTATGTGTAAGTGAGGTATATAGGGAACACAACCATGGTCATGTAGTCAGTGTGATGTCTGTTTATATGTAAGTGAGGTATATAGGGAACACAACCATGGTCATGTGGTCAGTGTGATGTCTGTTTATATGTAAGTGAGGTGTATAGGGAACACAACCATGGTCATGTGGTCAGTGTGATGTCTGTTTATATGTAAGTGAGGTGTATAGGGAACACAACCATGGTCATGTGGTCAGTGTGATATATGTTTATATGTAAGTGAGGTATATAGGGAACACAACCATGGTCATGTAGTCAGTGTGATATATGTTTATATGTAAGTAAGGTATATAGGAAACAACACCATGGTCATGTGGTCAGTGTGATGTCTGTTTATATGTGAGGTGTATAGGGAACATAACCATGGTCATGTGGTCAGTGTGATGTCTGTTTATATGTAAGTGAGGTGTATAGGGAACACAACCCTGGTCATGTAGTCAGTGTGATATATGTTTATATGTAAGTAAGGTATATAGGGAACACAACCATGGTCATGTAGTCAGTGTGATATATGTTTATATGTAAGTAAGGTATATAGGGAACACAACCATGGTCATGTAGTCAGTGTGATGTCTGTTTATATGTGAGGTGTATAGGAAACACAACCATGGTCATGTGGTCAGTGTGATGTCTGTTTATATCTAAGTGAGGTGTATAGGGAACAACACCATGGTCATGTGGTCAGTGTGATGTCTGTTTATATCTAAGTGAGGTGTATAGGGAACAACACCATGGTCATGTGGTCAGTGTGATGTCTGTTTATATGTAAGTGAGGTGTATAGGGAACACAACCATGGTCATGTGGTCAGTGTGATGTCTGTTTATATGTAAGTGAGGTATATAGGGAACACAACCATGGTCATGTAGTCAGTGTGATGTCTGTTTATATGTAAGTGAGGTGTATAGGGAACACAACCATGGTCATGTGGTCAGTGTGATGTCTGTTTATATGTAAGTGAGGTGTATAGGGAACACAACCATGGTCATGTGGTCAGTGTGATGTCTGTTTATATGTAAGTGAGGTATATAGGGAACACAACCATGGTCATGTAGTCAGTGTGATGTCTGTTTATATGTGAGGTGTATAGGGAACAACACCATGGTCATGTGGTCAGTGTGATGTCTGTTTATATCTAAGTGAGGTGTATAGGGAACAACACCATGGTCATGTGGTCAGTGTGATGTCTGTTTATATCTAAGTGAGGTGTATAGGGAACAACACCATGGTCATGTGGTCAGTGTGATGTCTGTTTATATCTAAGTGAGGTGTATAGGGAACAACACCATGGTCATGTGGTCAGTGTGATGTCTGTTTATATCTAAGTGAGGTGTATAGGGAACAACACCATGGTCATGTGGTCAGTGTGATGTCTGTTTATATGTAAGTGAGGTATATAGGGAACACAACCATGGTCATGTAGTCAGTGTGATGTCTGTTTATATGTGAGGTGTATAGGGAACAACACCATGGTCATGTGGTCAGTGTGATGTCTGTTTATATCTAAGTGAGGTGTATAGGGAACAACACCATGGTCATGTGGTCAGTGTGATGTCTGTTTATATGTAAGTGAGGTGTATAAGGAACACAACCATGGTCATGTGGTCAGTGTGATGTATGTTTATATGTAAGTGAGGTGTATAGGGAACACAACAATGGTTATGTGGTCGGTGGATATCCTGCTGATTGACTATATTGACAACCCAGATTCACTCTCCTATTGAATGTATTTTGTTTCCATACTGTGATGTCTTTGGACTGTCTCAGTCTTGTTATTCAGATTGAAAATTGAAGTGGCCAGGGAAGAAAAAAAAAGCACTCCCGTTCCACATCTTCATGCGTATTAGGGTATAGGGCTAAACAGTGTATTTTATTTATAGCCCAGTCTACACTAGGTTGGTGATATAGTCAGCAACTCGCTGATTGTCTTTACTTCCCAGGACCTGGTATTCATTAAGGCTGGATCAAACTGGGAGCCACAATCATTTAGAAAATAAAAAAAGCCTGTTTCCCTGAGGATCTGAATCCATGACCTTCCGACCTTTACGAATGTAGTGGTAGGTTCATCCATGAATGTCATATGGCAGTTAATCCCTGTACACTTTTAGATTTATGAGAGAGTAGACCACATGATGAGTATATCTACAGAGCAATGATGTTGATTGTTGCTTATTATTTTGCATCTGGAAAGGAAAATAGGAAAGAAAGAGAGATGTTATTTCATCGCACAGTACCATTTTCTGCCTTATGTGGATTCTATAACATTGTCCCTGCAACAGTAGCCTTTAGGGGTGGATTACATGTGTACTGAGCCAAGTTGGTATACTGGTGACAGTTCTCTTCTACCCAGCAATGAGGTACAGGTTTTGGTTTCCATAACAACTCTTTGATCAACCCAGCCTCATTAAAAGGGCCACAGGTGATGCATTACTGGTCACCTCAGCTAGTCAGGGCTGCAGTGTATGCAAAGCTCTTTCTGTAATGTATGCAAAACTCTTTCTGTAATGTATGCAAAGCTCTGTCATTTGAAAGCCTTGTTGTAGCAACTCTGTGACATTACTGGACACCTCAGCTAGTTAGGGCCGTAATGTATGCAAAACTCTTTCTGTAATGTATGCAAAGCTCTGTCATTTGCAAGTCTTGTTGTAGCAACTCTGTGGCATAACTTTTTATTTTCTGATGAGTTAATTGGGGTATCAGAACCTGGGATGATTGATGAGAGAGAAAATCATAGCAAGGAGCTACATCTTCTTCTGTGTTTGCTGTTGGCATGTTCTTTGTAGTTTACACTTGGGCTGCTTTTCAATTCATCTGATCTCAGTGAATCCCTAATTAGTTGCCTTTTAGGACATGCTTGTTGAGGACTGAAGGCAGTAGGTCTATTCAAACCCCCCCCCCCCCCCCCCCCCCCCCCCCCCCAATAGGGCCCGGAATTGACACTAGGAGGAGCTGCGCCTAAAGCAGCAAAGTACTGTAGGAGGTAAGTCTTTGGGAAACAGATCTTGCACAAAAGCAAACAGCCTAGTGTATTTACTGTAGTGGGATTATGATCCATCAAACAGCCTAGTGTATATATTGTAGTAGGATTATTTAACAAACAGCCTCAGTCTCAGGAAAGTTCCCAAAAAAAAAAAAATGACACTTTTTGGTGCGCTGGTGGCATGTTGAACATATGGTGCTAGACTCTGATCTTGTCTAGACCCCTGACCCTGACACCTGACCCCTAACACCTGACAGGCGAAGGGATCAACATGATACCAACTAACTTTACTTTCCAGCGAATTAATTGGTATCTGTTTTTGGCTGAGTTGACCTGGTAGCGAATGTCAACTTTAGATTGGAACAAAAATGTGTTGATACCAATTTGAGCATAAGACCTTTGAGCCAGCAGCTGAGCATCTAGCCACTACACTATCGCGGCTCCCTCAGAGACTCAGACAAATTCTGCATGCAGTAGACAGCCTGGCAGAGTGTTAACTTTGTGATTGTTTCTACTTGACTCATTAAAGTTAAACCGAACAGGTTTCCACAGAGAGAGCCTGGCAGACGGTTTACATTGTGATTGTGTCTACTTGACTCATTAACCCTTTCGCTGCTGCGCCCTCCGCCAGCCAACGTAACCACTGTGCTAAGCCAGGCGAGAGCTAATCTTTCCCCCTGTGCTGAATACCGTTTTTTCCTTCAAAAGCAGAAGACGCGCTTACGGCACGGGTTAAAAATTGTACACCTAAAATAAAAAATCGTTGAAGGCGTGTGGTTGAACTTTGCGCTGACGAGTCAGACGCGCTATTACTACGCCGTGAAAACTCATTAACAAAAAGAAAACACTACAAACTTACAAGGCAAACACAAAACACTCTAGTAAGCAAATACATGGTTTTTATTATTATTAATAATATCTTTTTGTCTGAAATATTTCAAAACAAGGTGCGACACACAATGCCAAATCACATTCCTTGCACATGTATCTGGGTTTCCGTCGTTTTTTGCTTTTTGCGCATACCACACACTTTCTGGTTGGGAATTTTTTCTGCGATGTTACGGACTCTATTATTGAAGGGGAATGCCTTTGTACTAAACGAAGTGGCAGATCTTCACTTTTTTGTCCTCCTACACTTTTTCTCTTTTCCTTGCAATATTTATGTAGAATTTCTCTTACTAACATTAAGTGAAATTCGGCAACAGGTGTGTTTTTCCCCACAACAACTTTATATAATGAATGTGCACAGTACACCAACCACGCTTCACATAACGTGTAAAGCATCTAAATCCACCTGAACGCACGTGACAGGATGTTTAATTAATTATTTCTTTGGTTATCTGTTGCCGAAAATGCTAACAGCTTAAATTTAAAATAATTTAAAAAAAAAAAAGGCACGTAGGGGTTGAACGCTGGACCTTTCGATTGTAAGGCAGACGTGATACCAACTACACTAGAAATTCACATGAAACTATGAACTGAAAAAAAGACTAGTATTGTACACTTTAATAGACAAACACATTTATGTCAGTTGTATAGTATATAATTAACATTAATATTAATCATCACGTCAGTACGTGACTATATATATTTTATTTTTTTTTTGATAATTTTGGATCCGTTTCAAATCCAGTCGATGTAGATAGCTAGGTCATATTGTCACTGGTCAGTCTTGTTCACAGCCAGAAATACACGTGTCCGCCGGCGTGCCGCGAAGATAACCCAGCTCATATAACTCACACGTTTCAAAGTGATCCTTACTACTACTCCTTGAAAGAAACTCAATTAATTCTTCTTTATTTAAACAAATGTTCTTGTTATTTTGTTTTTAAAAAAAATTAGACTAACGCAAAACCAGAAATATATTTCAGGGCAAAAAAATTACCGATCACCGACAATGCTTCTATGGTAACAAAGAAACAGGATAACGTGAAATGCATCTAAATACGCCTAAACTTACTCGATAAGGGTTTTAATTGTATGTAAACGGGTCAGTTTGATCAGATTAAGTTAATGTGTATTGCTATTTCACCCCTAAGAATTACTGTCCTTAGCAATCTGTAAAAAAATGTCCAGAACGAGATATCTCGTCCTTAGCAGTGAGGGCACAGAAAATTGCAGCCGAGTTATCTCGTCTTTAGCAGTCTGCCGGGCAGACGAGTTATCTTGTCCATAGCAGCGAAAGGGTTAAAGTTTCACCTAACAGGTTTCCACAGAGAAAGTCTGGCACAGTTTTAACATTGTGATGGTTTCTACTTGACTAATTCCTGTATGTGTTTCACCGAATAGGTATTTCACAGAGAGGGCCTGGCAGACTGTTAACTTTGTCATTGTCTACTAAACTAATTTCTGTGTGTGTTTCACGAAACAGGTATTTCACAGAAAGAGCCAGTAGGCTGAAGGATCTGGGCAGCGATGCCGAAAGTGACAGCGGTAGCATTGGAGATGATGAGTTCGATGCTTTCTTAGGTAATAAACATAAGCTGCTATCAGTATGTTATATTAATGACCTTATGTTGTTATTATATTGTTATTTGTATGTGTGGGTTCTGGGGTCTCATTGTGGGGGAGATAAGAACAACAAAAGAATAGGCCCACTGCCCTTCCTTACAGTCGTGTTGTGAAGGGCATGTTTCATTTAAAGTTGGAGTGTGTCTGTCTGAGAGGCGAGGAACCAACAGTCTACACACAAATAAGCCAGCTTGTAAAACTGACATGCACATAAAATTCAAGTTTTGGAACATTACCAAAGTCTGGAAGTGGATGAACAACCAGATCTTTTCACTGTAGTTTACGGCCAGGAAGCACTAAGAGGGAGATATTGTTGTTATAAAGTTGTTTTTCTCTCCATCACAGCCATTACTTTATGTTTATAATTGTTGCTTCTGTTGAATCTGTTCTATACAGTTATTACTGTGGCTACAGTTGTTATTGTAACTACAGTCGTTACTGTAGCTACAGTAGTTACTGTGGCTACAGTCATTATCAAGTGCCATGCCACTTGACATGGGCAGCCTTGCTGTTCCACAGTGCCAATTCTCTCACAATCTGTATCAATAGATATGAAACATAGACAGTACCAGACAATCTGAAAGACTAACAGTAGTGGAAATGTGGTTTTCGGAGAAACTCAGATGCCGCAGACGGACATTGTTTTTTTTTTAAAAAATGCTTGCCCTTAAAGTACAGTTGGCACCTCATGTTGCAGTTTACAGCTAGGATGTGAAATCAGTACTTCAACCCAACACATCTGATTTCAGCAAACTTTAATTAATCACCATTTACTTCATGCTTGTTGGGAGCCGGTGGGTCTAACCTTATCCCCAGCAAAATGGGGCCCCAAAACCCATGTGAGGTAGACAAAAATGAATGAGGCTGTCCTTGAAGAAATATGAAGAAAAAACCAGATTTAGTTTTATTAGTTGAAGTAAGATGTAATCTGGCAGGTGAGATTGTGTGAGACGCGAAGAGATCACAAGAACTTTTGGAACAATATCCAAAGCTAAATTCTTTACGCATCAGGAGTTTATTGATAAGTAATTGAACTGTCCTCTAACGCTGAAAGGGTTTGGAAACGAAGACGGAAGTAGTGCAACCACCAAATGAGAAGGAATTAAATGATGGGAATTAGATGATGGGAATTAGATGATGGGAATTAGATGATGCCAACAGCAACAGTCAACAACCTGAAATAGAAACAAAGAGAGGCAGAGGGAAACCTATGAGAAAATGGATTGAAGGATCACTGACAGCCTGTGACTTAACCAGAGAACAGCCTACTAGGCAACTGCGCTGGTTGTGGCTCAGCTGTTAATCATCTCTGACATGGGACAGGGCAGATATTGACCGAAGAAGAAGAAATCAGATGTCCGTCACGAATATTTAAGCATGTTATGAGGAGAATTAAACTTTATAACTTAATGACTGGCAGATTTGATGGGGAAAAGAGTAAATGAAAAATAAAAGGATCAATTTTCCACTCACCTTCACATGCAGTGACCCTTATTTTTAACACTTGATTTTCCACAGATGGTTTTGAGAAAGACGTTGACAAAGATGACCTTGGCGACCTTGACTTAGATTTTGCTGGGTGAGTTATTAAAAGGATCCCAACCAACGGGGCAGAGAAGTATGGAGGAATAGAGAGGGAGAGAGAGATCTTTGTTGTAACAGAGTTTAATTAAACTTGTGTGTTTTAAGAAATGTGAGTAGCTGTTGTCGTAGCCACGATTGGCAGGTGATGTAGTTTGCTCTTTCGTATGATTGGTTGGTTATATAGGGTCACTAGGATGTGATTGGTTGAATGTAAGTTCTCTGGATGACTGAATTTGAAACCTTTAATCAAGATGCATTGATGTTCAGTAAGATTTAAAAAAAAAAAAAGCTTGCAATTCTCAGAAGGAGGTTGTGACTTTCCACCCAAGCTGAAACTGGAATAATTTATTCCTTGGGACTGTACTGCAGTCTTCCTTGGGGACTGTACTGCAGTCTTCCTTGGGACTGTACTGCAGTCTTTCTTGGGACTGTACTGCAGTCTTCCTTGGGACTGTACTGCAGTCTTCCTTGGGACTGTACTGCAATCTTCCTTGGAACTGTACTGCAGTCTTCCTTGGGACTGTACTGCAGTCTTCCTTGGGACTGTACTGCAGTCTTCCTTGGGACTGTACTGCAATCTTCCTTGGAACTTTACTGCAGTCTTCCTTGGGACTACTGTAGTCTTCCTTTCCCTCTCTAAACCTAGAAACCAATATCCAGTTTAAGGCTGCATCTTTTTTTTTTGGTATGTATTTAAAAAAAAAATATCCAGAAACCATGATTTGTTAACTCTTCGACCCTTCGGCCTTGATTCCATGAAAGATACAGTAAATCTAGGAAAAATTAGGCTCTTCTGCCTAACCCTGGGCTTGAACCTGGACCACAAGCTCATCACCCGGTTACCGCAAAGTCAGGTTTGACCATTTACGCTAGCAAGCCGGACTTGTGTGTATATAAAAGATACGATTTTGCTATTTAACAATAAACAGAAACAGTTTTTTTTCTTCAAATAGAGATTCACATAAATCCAAGGCAGCGGACAGAAAGAAAAAACAAGAACAGGTTTCTGATGATGAAAGTTTGGAAAGTGATGATTTTGATGAGGATGATCTGGGAGATGAAGAACTTGCCGCAGAGTTCCAGCAGGAGATGGAAGGTTTGGGCATGGACAACGATGAAGATGATCATGATATGGAGAACGAGCCGAGCAACGCTGATGAGCAGCTCGGGTCAGATGGGGACCTTTCTCTTGATGATGATAATGATGGTAAGTTTGTCTGCGGACCCGACTTATTTTATCTACATTTGGCTATTTGGTCACCTGCAGATTTGTTGTTTTTTTCCAGTATTTTTATTCTCAACACATAGATAAATTTTTTGTTTTGTCAAGATAGAGTTGTTTATGTTTTAAGATAGAATTATCTATATTTTAAAATATATGTAGTGTTATTGTGAATCTGGCTGTTTATTCATCTAGCTATTTTGTTTTTCACCCTTCAAGTTCTATCCTTTGCTCTGTTTATGAGAGCTGCGGAGCTCACCTGCCTGTACCACAATGGTGGATTCAAATCTGCACGAGGATGGATTTAGTTTTTAAAACAAATTGACCTTGGCTCCTGGGTCAACCAAGTCTAAAATGGGTAGCAGGTAATGTTCTAGGAAATGAAGGTAGCCAGTGTGATAATGGACCACATTAGCTAGGGACTGCTGATTGGTGTATACCAGACTATTCATCAGGCTATTGATCAGGTTTTTCATCAGGCTATTCATCTGGCTATTCATCTGGCTATTCATCTGGCTATTTATCTGGCTATTTATCTGGCTATTCATCTGGCTATTCATCAGGCTATTTATCTGGCTATTCATCAAGCTATTCATCAGGCTATTCATCTGGCTGCCTGAGATCTTGCAAGTGGCCAGCAGATCAATGACATTTGTATTGTTTTAATGATCTTTCTATGCTAGGGCATGGGCCCGCTGCCTGTGACGATCACCATTTTAAAATTGTGACCCATGAATAAACTGAGTTAAACAGCTCTGGTGTATAACAATATGTGGCTAACATCGTATTTTACTGGTGCAGAAATGGTGCTTTTACGCTTCTTTACGTTGATCTTGTTTACAACTAAGCAGTAACTTATTTTTGCAGCTAGTTAGATTGATTCTAGTTAGATTGATTAAGGATTAGATGAAGTTCAGTAAATTAGAGATGAACTTTGTTGTTAATCATTGATGAACTTTGTTGTTAATCATAGATGAGCTGAAGATGATGATGGAGAAAGGAAATGGCAAGAAGAGAAAGCAGCAGACAGTTGACAGTGATGAGTTTGCGATGATGGGGAAGAAACCCAAAAAGAACAAGTAAGATACCTTTTTATATTACAGAATCTTATTTGCTTTCCTCTTCTTCTTTTGTTCAACGGCTGTAAACTGTAGCTGAAACTCCTGGTTGCTCTACAGTTTGAAGTTTAGCTTTGTGCCAGTTATAGGTGACAGAACTAGAGGGCTGAGGTCATCTGAAGGCTAGTTGTCAAGGAGCCGGAGAAAAGATCACCTGGTTGTGAGTCAGCTGGTCTCACGATATCTGTAAAGTTACAGTAAAGTAAAATAGGCTATATCTAGAGTGACTGCAGACATTAGTGATGATTGTTGACTGACTGCAGACATTAGTGATGATTGTTGACTGACTGCAGACATTAGTGATGATTGTTGACTGACTGCAGACATTAGTGATGATTGTTGACTGAATGCAGACATTAGTGATGATTGTTGACTGACTGCAGACATTAGTGATGATTGTTGACTGACAGCAGACATTAGTGATGATTGTTGACTGACTGCAGACATTAGTGATGATTGTTGACTGACTGCAGACATTAGTGATGATTGTTGACTGACTGCAGACATTAGTGATGATTGTTGACTGACTGCAGACATTAGTGATGATTGTTGACTGACTGCAGACATTAGTGATGATTGTTGAGTGGGATTGAAATAATTTTGATATTGATTTGATGGCAGGTTTGACACGTCAGACTTGTTTGCGTCTGCTGAACAGTTTGCTCATCTGCTGGAAGAAGATGCTGAAAGTGGCCAGATTTCTTTGGGAGGCTCTGGAGATTTGAGAAATAAAGACAAAGCTGGTATGAATATGCTTACATTTTACAGTTGTTTTCGTTGTGAGTTGAATCTGTGTTTGATCTCGTTGTGAGTTGAATCTGTGTTTGATCTCGTTGTGAGTTTAATCTGTGTTTGATCTCGTTGTGAGTTGAATCTGTGTTTGATCGATTTTAACTTCGGAATGTTTACAATTTGAGCACAGAAAGGAGCACAGGCTTATCCTTGTAGCAGTTACCTAATAAGTAGCTTCAGTTCAACAAGCTCAGATCTTTTGCTGACACTGTACAGAAGGCTTGGTCAACCTGACATGGTACAGAAGGCTCGGTCAACCTGACACTGTACAGAAGGCTCGGTCAACCTGACACTGTACAGAAGGCTCGGTCAACCTGACACTGTACAGAAGGCTCGGTCAACCTGACATGGTACAGAAGACTTGGTCAACCTGACACTGTACAGAAGACTTGGTCAACCTGACACTGTACAGAAGACTCGGTCAACCTGACACTGTACAGAAGGCTCGGTCAACCTGACATGGTACAGAAGACTTGGTCAACCTGACACTGTACAGAAGGCTCTGTCAACCTGACACTGTACAGAAGGCTTGATAAACCTGACACTGTACAGAAGACTCTGTCAACCTGACACTGTACAGAAGGCTCGGTCAACCTGACACTGTACAGAAGACTCGGTCAACCTGACACTGTACAGAAGGCTCGGTCAACCTGACACTGTACAGGAGACTCGGTCAACCTGACACTGTACAGAAGACTCGGTCAACCTGACACTGTACAGAAGACTCGGTCAACCTGACACTGTACAGAAGACTCGGTCAACCTGACACTGTACAGGAGACTCGGTCAACCTGACACTGTACAGAAGACTCGGTCAACCTGACATAGTACAGAAGGCTCGGTCAACCTGACACTGTACAGAAGACTCGGTCAACCTGACACTGTACAGAAGACTCGGTCAACCTAACACTGTACAGAAGACTCGGTCAACCTGACACTGTACAGAAGACTCTGTCAACCTGACACTGTACAGAAGGCTCGGTCAACCTGACACTGTACAGAAGACTCGGTCAACCTGACACTGTACAGAAGACTCGGTCAACCTGACACTGTACAGAAGACTCGGTCAACCTGACACTGTACAGAAGGCTTGGTCAACCTGACACTGTACAGAAGACTCGGTCAACCTGACACTGTACAGAAGGCTCGGTCAACCTGACATGGTACAGAAGACTTGGTCAACCTGACACTGTACAGAAGGCTCTGTCAACCTGACACTGTACAGAAGGCTTGATAAACCTGACACTGTACAGAAGACTCTGTCAACCTGACACTGTACAGAAGGCTCGGTCAACCTGACACTGTACAGAAGACTCGGTCAACCTGACACTGTACAGAAGGCTCGGTCAACCTGACACTGTACAGGAGACTCGGTCAACCTGACACTGTACAGAAGACTTGGTCAACCTGACACTGTACAGAAGACTCGGTCAACCTGACACTGTACAGAAGACTCGGTCAACCTGACATAGTACAGAAGGCTCGGTCAACCTGACACTGTACAGAAGACTCGGTCAACCTAACACTGTACAGAAGACTCGGTCAACCTGACACTGTACAGAAGACTCTGTCAACCTGACACTGTACAGAAGGCTCGGTCAACCTGACACTGTACAGAAGACTCGGTCAACCTGACACTGTACAGAAGGCTCGGTCAACCTGACACTGTACAGAAGGATCGGTCAACCTGACACTGTACAGAAGACTCGGTCAACCTGACACTGTACAGAAGGCTGGGTCAACCTGACACTGTACAGAAGGATCGGTCAACCTGACACTGTACAGAAGACTCAGTCAACCTGACACTGTACAGAAGGCTCAGTCAACCTGACATGGTACAGAAGGATCGGTCAACCTGACATGGTACAGAAGGATCGGTCAACCTGACACTGTACAGAAGGCTCGGTCAACCTGACACTGTACAGGAGACTCGGTCAACCTGACACTGTACAGAAAGCTCGGTCAACCTGACTCCAGAGAAACAGACCATTATATTTAGACTGCATACTGGGCTCAACAGACTCACATCACAGACTGTATGGAGCAGTGGAAGATATACCTCACATCACAGACTGTATGGAGCAGTGGAAGATATACCTCACATCACAGACTGTTTGGAACAGTGGAAGAAATACCTCACATCACAGACTGCATGGAACAGTGGAAGAAATACCTCACATCACAGACTGTATGGAGCAGTGGAAGAAATACCTCACATCACAGACTGTATGGAGCAGTGGAAGATATACCTCACATCACAGACTGTATGGATCAGTGGAAGATATACCTCACATCACATACTGTATGGAGCAGTGGAAGAAATACCTCACATCACAGACTGTTTGGAGCAGTGGAAGATATACCTCACATCACAGACTGTATGGAACAGTGGAAAAAATACCTCACATCACAGACTGTATAGAGCAGTGGAAGATATACCTCACATCACAGACTGTATGGAACAGCGGAAGACATACCTCACATCACAGACTGTATGGAGCAGTGGAAGATATACCTCACATCACAGACTGTATGGAGCAGTGGAAGATATACCTCACATCACAGACTGTATGGAACAGTGGAAGATATACCCCACATCACAGACTGTATGGAACAGTTGAAGATATACCTCACATCACAGACTGTATGGAACAGTGGAAGATATACCTCACATCACAGACTGTATGGAACAGTGGAAGATATACCTCACTAAACAGACTTCATAGAGGCCTGTGGCCTTCTCGCATGAAAACTGCTGACAGGGAGACCGAAAATAAGAAAATCCATGTAGCTAGTTTATTTCAAGAAAGTGTGTGTAGCTAGTTTATTTCAAGAAAGTGTGTGTAGCTAGTTTATTTCAAGAAAGTGTGTGTAGCTAGTTTATTTCAAGAAAGTGTGTAGCTAGTTTATTTCAAGAAAGTGTGTGTAGCTAGTTTATTTCAAGAAAGTGTGTGTAGCTAGCTAGTTTATTTCAAGAAAGTGTGTGCCAAACTGTTTGAAAATTAAGATCAAGTTTATACCCAAAAACTTGGAGATGTTGTTCTCTTTAAAATGTGTTGAAGAATACATCACTTAATTTATAATGTGTTGGTAGATAATTATGTTTTATTTATAATGTGCAGTGGAAGCTGATCTATTTTTGTTGTGAAATAGTTTGTTGTATTTATAGTATGTCTTGTTGATAAGTATTTTTGTTGCATTTTATCATCATCATCATCATCCTGTAACGCTATGTGTTGTTGCTGTTAACTGTTTGATCAGATCCCTCCACCTTTCACAGTCAGATGAGATGAACTTCACGGTTGCCTGCCTAAGGCTTGTCCAGTCAGTCATGTTCTGTATCCAGGTCTTTCTTGGTATGCGTCTTCCTCTCCTTTACTGAACCTGTAGTATTGATTTTGAGAGACCGTTAGATCTTATTACATGTCAGTACATTGCGTTTTTTGCCTTTCCCTGCAGTTAAAAGAGGTTCATAGTTGCCAAAGTGCTGGAAAATTATATGGCGAACATCATCATTTGTGATGTGGTCTCTGTATGTTATGCCAAGAATTTTTTGGAAAGATCGCATTTCCGTGCCATACTTGGTCAATGTTTCATCAATCAGTGTTACTCATTTGACTAGTTTTTGCTCTCCCTGCCAACCCGTCGATGTCATCTGCAAATCTTAACTTTGTTACATTTTAAAATTATAAATAAATGTTATAATTTACTGTGACCTACAAACATTTGGAATCACCAACTAGAAAGAGAAGGCCAGTCACATTGATGAAAGGAGGGAGGTGATGTCGCCAGCAATGAACCTTGGAATTCCTAAGATGGATAAACATATGAAGACTTTTCTAGTTATATTTATGGCAGATAGTGATATGTTGTGGAATATTTTGGCTCCATTTGTCCCAGTATCTTGCAGAATATATTCAGCATGCACACTTATTTTTTGGTTACAGCTCAGAAACAGCTCAAGTGGGAGGCAGAGCGAGACAGGTGGGCGTCGGGTAAAATGAACAAGCATGGTGGTCACAGAAAAAAGGATTTCAAAACTGGAAACAAGAAATTCCAAAACAAGAGAAAGAAATAACTTGAATTAGCTTAATCTTGATATGACTCCTTAAAGTGTGTGTCAAACTCAAGGTGTTGGCAAACATCAAGGTATTAACTACAGCCACACTATTTTCGCCTGCAGATTCCACTCATGCAAGATTTAACTTTGAAAACATCCTCTAGCACTTTTGTTTTATGATTGTGAAATAAAACAAGCAGTGTGTTCCAAAATGGTTTTTGTTGAAGGGATTTCTAACGTTTCTGTAGAATCCTTGTAACTCATGTTTGTATTGATATAATTGTGTTATTCCCCATGGGGGTTTAAGACCCCATTATGGGGGGGAAATAGTAGACCCAATGCCTCCCAAACAGGTATCTTGTACGATTTGACTAATCAGAGGTTTCCTTCAAATCAGAATGCATTTGCCTGAGAGGCAAGGAATCAACAGTCTGCACACAAGATAAGTCAGATCTGTATACTGGATTTGCATGCAGAACTGAAGTTCTGGATGAAGACTAATATCCAGAAGTGGATGAACAACCAGAATTTTCCGCTGGAGTTCACAGCTGGGGAATGTGTAGAAGAAGAAGAGTTTTGTTGATGAAAGATGCTGGCTGAGTAGTCAGAGTACTGAGCTGTCATGTTTCAGGCCTGGATTTGAATTTTTGGTAAGATGACGATGAAAAAAAAAAAACCACATCCTAATCTACACAGTTGGCCTTGACTGTGTTAGCCAGGCAGCCCTAAAGCCTCAGACAAGACCATCCCAAACCCCATTCCCCCCCCCCCCCCCACACCTGAAGAGTAGTACATACAAGCAGTAAAAACCTGTTTACCTATTGTTTAGGGATGTTATTTGTGTCCAGTCAAGCAGACTTCCTACCACCTGACACATCAGTGAACTCAAGTTAAAATTACTGTCTTATGACCAGCAGATTTAATACCATTCAGTTTTTATATGGGGTGGGGGTGGGGAAGGGTGTCTGGGGTGAAGGTTGGGGAAGGGTCTCTGAGGTGAAGGTCGGGGAAGGGTCTCTGAGGTGAAGGTCGGGGAAGGGTCTCTGAGGTGAAGGTCGGGGAATGGTCTCTGAGGTGAAGGTCGGGGAAGGGTCTCTGAGGTGAAGGTCGGGGAAGGGTCTCTGAGGTGAAGGTTGTGGGTTTGTTCCATGGCTGTGTCGTTAAGTTTATAAGTTCAATTTTACAGAGATCCCAGGAGACTGTTGCTGAAGATGCAGAGTTTGTGTTTTGTGCAACTCTCTTGGCAGTTGGCTAGTTGTTCTGTGGAGAGACTTACAACTGGTATATTCTTTATCAGCCCTAAATCCTGTCCTGTATTATCATCATCATCAAGTCCCTTGCCGACTGGGGTGGGTGAACCTGCCTCTCCACAACCTGCAGTCATAAGCAGCATGTATCAGTTTGTGAGCTGAAACCCGTCCATGCCCTGACAGAAGGCTGTCAAGAATCTTGTCGCGTAGTCTTCCTCTGTCTTTTTGTTTACCACAGATCTTTCTAGCGATCATATGTTAGTGACAAGTTGTCTTCGAGTCCTCACCTCTTTTAAAACATCTGGCTTGCTCTTTTTATCTATCCAAGGCATTGTAATGATTCTTCTGTAAAAACCAAATCTCCAAGGCCTCAAGATACCATTTGGATTATTTGTTAATTGTCCAGGATTCATAGCCATATTTTAAAACTGTCTCTATATAGGATGCAGTTAATTCTTTCTCAGCTATCCTCCGAATAACGGCCACAAAAACACCCTAACAGGGGGCCTCAGCCACATGTAAATTGCTGACTTCCGGCGACTTAAATTGTGGACTTCCAGCGACTACCGCCACCACCGAAAGTATCTCCCATTCCACCACGTGCGGTGTGGATTGGGGCTAAACTAGATGCCTGGGACTCACGAGCAGCAGCTTCCGCATCTCCTGCAGCTTTACTCATGAGTCCCCGCCATCTAGTTCAGCCCCAATCCACGCTGCGCAGAGCTGCGCTAGAGATACTCTCTGCGGTGGCAGTATAGTCGCCAGAAGTCCGCAATTTACATGTGACTGAGGCCCTGTTTTTGGCCGCCATAATATGTGGCCGTTATTCGGAGGATAGCCTTTTTCTCTAACGTCCAGTGACATGGAGCTATTGTCTGAAGTGTTCCTCATTTGATACAATAAAGTTTTAGTCTGCCCTATTCTGTTATTTAATCTCTCTAGTACATATTCTGTTGGATGTTATCTAATTTATGGACCTAGATACAAACCTGTCCTATATAAACCAGAATAGCAAATATTCACACATCTGTACTGGTGTGCTGGCTTTATCTGTGCAGATGTTTCTTTCATGTTGCCAGTTTTTTTGCTGCTATCCTTGCTTGATTCCTCAGCTCATCACAGTAGTGTCACGTGGTTGACCCAGCTCATTGCTGTAGTGTCATGTGGTTGATCCAGCTCATTGCTGTAGTGTCATGTGGTTGATCCAGCTCATTGCTGTAGTGTCACGTGGTTGATCCAGCTCATTGCTGTAGTGTCACGTGGTTGATCCAGCTCATTGCTGTAGTGTCATGTGGTTGACACCAGCTCATTGCTGTAGTGTCATGTGGTTGACCCAGCTCATTGCTGTAGTGTCACGTGGTTGACCCAGCTCATTGCTGTAGTGTCACGTGGTTGACACCAGCTCATTGCTGTAGTGTCACGTGGTTGACCCAGCTCATTGCTGTAGTGTCACGTGGTTGACCCAGCTCATTGCTGTAGTGTCACGTGGTTGACACCAGCTCATTGCTGTAGTGTCACGAGGTTGACCCAGCTCATTGCTGTAGTGTCATGTGGTTGATCCAGCTCATTGCTGTAGTGTCATGTGGTTGATCCAGCTCATTGCTGTAGTGTCATGTGGTTGATCCAGCTCATTGCTGTAGTGTCATGTGGTTGATCCAGCTCATTGCTGTAGTGTCATGTGGTTGATCCAGCTCATTGCTGTAGTGTCATGTGGTTGATCCAGCTCATTGCTGTAGTGTCATGTGGTTGATCCAGCTCATTGTTGCAGTGTCATGTGGTTGATCCAGCTCATTGTTGCAGTGTCATATGGTTGATCCAACTCATTGCTGTAGTGTCTCGGTGTTTTGCGTGACCCAAGTCATGAACACTTTATCCTGGCTGATGTTCAAAGTGACCAAACTAAGCAAATATAAAACAAACGGGGACACTAATTCATCATCAACTTGTGGTTAACAGCTAGTTTGCGAAATTGCGGCTTTCGTCATAACAGACACGATATCAGCAACAATTTTGATTAGTCGCCTGTCATGGCATGTTTGCAAGGGTGAAAGGGGTCCAGTCTCCCCCCCCCCCCTCCCGCCCCTCGTAAATAGTGCTCCATCATCTACATGGGGTCGAGTCACCCCCCCCCCTTTTTCCCCTTCGTAAATGGTGCCCCATCATCATGGAATCCAGTCTCCCCTTCCCCCTCGTAAATAGTGCTCCATCATCTCCATGGGGTCCAGTTCCCCCCCCCCCCCCTTTCCCCTTCGTAAATAGTGCTCCATCATATCCATGGGGTCCAGTTCCCCCCCTTTTCCCCTTCGTAAATTGTGCCCCATCATCTCCATGGGGTCCAGTCCCCCCCCCCCTTTTTCCCCTTCGTAAATAGTGCTCCATCATCTACATGGGGTCCAGTCCCCCCCCCCCCCCCCCCCTTTTCCCCTTCGTAAAAAGTGCTCCATCATCTACATGGGGTCCAGTCCCCCCCCCCCTTTTTTCCCTTCGTAAATAGTGCTCCATCATATCCATGGGGTCCAGTCCCCCCCTTTCCCCCTTCGTAAATAGTGCTCCATCATCTACATGGGGTCCAGCCCCCCCCCCTCGTAAATAGTGCTCCATCATCTCCATGGGGTCCAGTCCCCCCCCCTTTTTTTTCCCCCTTCGTAAATGGTGCCCATCATTTACACAGAGATTTTCTCATTTTGTAATTTAAAAATTAAAAAAAACACACACAGCTGGGTCTTTATAATTCGAATACCGTGGGGGGGGGGGGGGGGGGAACTATTTCATTACAACCACGTATTTATTATAAGAGCTTAAAAAAACGAAACTACCCTTATTATGAGCAGTTCATTGATTTCCAAAGAATAGGATATTTTTGTGTCATAGGAAAGTTCTTGAAACACCGGGTCATGCACTCAACTCTCGTCTGCCTAGGACAACCCGGGAGCGTCTGGTCACGCTCCGACCCAGTCACGTAGAAATGATCCCGGTTGTAAAATCGGTCATGTCATTGACCCTCGGTTGTTTTCTTGTGCGTGCTTGAGCAATTGTGTTGTCACGTTTCCGAAAGAAAAAGTAAAAGACATGTAGGACACACTTTTGTTCAGTCCATACTGTCATTTTTGCACTCCGGGTATATCCTTGGATGCTCCAATCTCCACCATCCAAAAATCTACTATCATGGAGTGAAGGTGCTTGTTTGAGCCGAACCAAATAAATCACGAGGGCGGTTCCACATTTTTTACCGGGAAGGAGGCTAAGGTGACATGGAAGAAGAAACCAAAGGGGGAAGGGGGTCTGAGCTGCCATGTTAATAGCTGCCAATGCGTTAAGGGATGATACCGCTAACTTATCACATATCATGTGGTCTCTTTATACCAAGGTTATTTCGATAAGATATCATTTCCAGTTCGATTGTTAACATCTACCTTTTACAGTCGTGGATAAAGGTACTAGGGCTCTAGTAATACCAGTGTTCTAATAGTAGTCATGGTCGATAGAGATACGACCGTATCAGGCGGCATCGTAAGGGAAGCGGCGTAAGAGGCGAAATCAAAATACAAGTTGAACTTTGACCTGACAGCGCAAGGTTTTTAGGGGCGGCATGTCGAAGCTTTGCATCATAGGGACAAAATCTGCTGCACGGGGATCTTCAACCACGACTGATTGTAGTCTCAAACAAAATTCATCTCTTAGTCTGACTTACCAACGAATACGCAATATTACATCACACTGAGGCTTTTTTCCGGCGGTACGCAGCACCTTCGCCTTTTTTGTGCATCA